CGTACGGTTATTTTCATTCGTAAACTTACATCATTTTTATAGAAAAATCCACATTATATGGCATTCCATAAATCCTGAATTTTGTGTAAATTATAAGTTTATTCTCCGCCTTCAAACACACATTAAGTTTGAATGTCTGCTTTTGATAGGAAATCTAATTTAGGTTTCATATGAAAGACTGCATTTTCTGTCAAGTCCATTAGAGGAGATCGAGGTCTTACTAATGGAAAAAAAGTCGAAGATGGAGGCATTTGTGACCAACTTTAACTTCATAATTATCTCGATTTGGATTTCTATAACTATCAAAAGTCCACCATGTTGTAGAAAGATATGTCATTTCCATTGTGTTCACTTAAAACCTAAAATCGGAGCGATTAATGAATCTGAGAATAAAACCTTTTACACCTTAAACAATTGACTATGTCTGTCAATAAATGGAATCAGAAACTTAAGAAAATTGAGTATAAATAAGATTTTCTCACGTGTCTCTTCTTCATCATCCTGTACATAGAAGAACTCTTGGTGCTAAAACAATATACACTTTGTTTGATAAAAACAAAAGCAGAGCTCCTATTTCTACAGAAAAACACTACTCTGAAAGTGAAGGACATGCTAGACTGGGCATCTTTTTGACTCATCACTACTTATTGGATTTGTAGAGTGAAGTGGTGGACAATCTCCTTCATCATCAAAGGAAGCAGGAAAGACACGCGATTGTAATGATCTTCTGCAAGTGGATGTTGGTGGCTGTTGCTGCACCACCAAAACTGAAAATGTAAAATCTGTAGCGGCTAGAATGTCTCCGATGACCCCAAGCTCAGGGCACTCCACCCAATCTGCATTCATTAGGCCTGATAAAAGTGGTGACTCTGGATCATGGTGGCAACCCACAATCACCAAATCGAAACCATCCTCCATAGAACGTATTATCTGCGTAGTTTCAGACCCGTCTTTCACAGTCTCCTCTCTGTACTGGTTTTTCTCCTTGCTTATTGCTGCACTGATCGTGTACTCACGTAACAGTTCGTGTTCAGGATTAATCTCCCCCTTTTTGGTGTGCACTTTTTCGTGTTTGAATCGAACCAGTGTGAAGCTGATATTCGGATGCTCAGCCATGCGTCTGCCATAGGCAAGTGCCTCCAAATCATCCACACCGCCGAAGAAGAGTAAGGCGATACGATAAAATGTCTTCCCTATTACGACAGAGGGGTTACCACCTAGTTGGCCGCGGTCAATCAGGAAGCCAACAGAGCAAGGAGCCTTGTTCATGATTTTGCCGTTGACATATTTAATGGAACGGTTTGTTGCTCCCACTGATCCAAATATTGTCCATTGCTTGTGGTAAGGAAGGATTACAATGGTGGTACTCTTGTCCAGTGCCAAACTGCATACGTCGTCATGCATACTTGAATACGGCGCAATTGCATTGAAGTGCTGCACCAGAGCACTCCCTTGTTGGCGCTGCTCATATCTGTTGAAGGCGTTGATAATGTGTTCAGAACTGGTGGCCTGAGATGTAACTTTCTTCAGATGGTAGTGGGGAACAAGCGAAGCGACTGCATGACCAGTGAGTTCACTCAATTGTAGAACGAAGACTGTAATGGGATTGAACCTTGTGGGATTAGAGGCTTCAAGGAGGTTTATGAGGCCCGGGACATGTTCTTCGTTTTGGATACAGACCAAAATCCGGAGCCTGCTGTTGTTGCTAGAGTTGAGAATGGTCCTTCTCCCGTAGGCTGTGTACCTCCTCGATGGATCGTAGAGACGACCTACCATAATTCTGGCAATGCCGGTTACAATCAGCATCGTAATTAAGAGAAGGCCAAAACAAAGGTCATCCATGATCTGTGCAAGATTGAATAAGCAGGTACATAAATTAGCAAAATAATGAAAAGCCCACAAACTTTGCCATTGGAAGAAACAAATATACAGAACAAGATAGGGGCAGGGGGTTATCGAATCACCTTGCCGTCCCTCCATGCATTATATATAGCAACATCGATGATGCCTTTGCAACACATGATTAGAGCAAGAGATGTAGCATCCCGGAAAGGAACTCCGAAATAAAGTGCAGGCAGAAGTGTGCCCACGAACTTCCCTACATATCCCATAATGATGACTAACTCGGTTATGGCCAAAGCTCTCCGTCCTCGGAAGGCCATTAAGTCTGTAGTCAAGCCACTAATTGCGAAGAAAACGGGAATGAACAGCCCATTTGTGATGGTGTCGAGCTTCTTTACCACGGTTGTCGCTATCGGTGGTCCTTCAGGCAAGACAATGCCCAACAATAAAGGGCCAAATGCAGGTTGCCGGCCAAGATACTGGCTACAGAAGGCACACCCAAAGACAAGTACAAGAATGACAAAGAAGTGAAACTCCTCCAACTGTTGTCCTTCTGGGGTTTTTTTGGTTAACCATAGTATGAAAGGCCGCAAAACAAAAAGAACAACAAAAACAAAGAAGACCATCCAGAACATAGATGACAACGAATTCCATTTGGAGTGTTCGCGGAGCGCACCAACTGTTGTCAAAGTTGTAGCCATACACACGCAGCACAAATCACTGACCATCGAGGTGTAGATTGCTAAGCGTCCCAGTTCCGAATTGAGAATATTTAACTCAGAAAGGAGGCTGATAATAACAGGAAAGGAAGAAAGGGAATTCGCTGTCACTACCACTACAAGGCCAGTTCTTAATGTTTGGTCCATAGGCATTAGGGAGCGCATGGTCAAGTAGGACAAGCCACCAATAACATAAGGCATAGCAAAAGCCAGGCTCCCTATTAGTGCAGCATTAGTTCCTACCTTTTTCAGTAAGTTTGCATTCAACTGAACTCCTAGTATGAAGAAGTGAAGCATGAAACCCAAATTTGCAAATATTTGAAGAGTCACTCTGCCTTCTGGAGGGAACAAGTAACGCATAAACGTCACGTACCGCCCTAGAATGGTGGGACCTATTATAATACCAGCCTGGTTGAAGTAAATCATCACATCACTACAATCAAGACATATACAGCAGAGCAAAAGAACAAGAACAATCGCAGGCAAAGCAATTTGGATCATTCTAGTTGTGTAAAATGGGTATCTTGTATTCTTAGTTTAAAAAAGAGGATTAGCAAAACAGCCTCAAGCTTTTGATAAGTTCGCAATCATCCATTTACAAGGCTGAAAACTGTTTAATCATTCGCCTTCTGGGCAATCGATCTGGCGGAAGAGTTAATTGCTACTATCATACTTTGTAGGCATTCCTATATTGAGATAGATGAATACTATGTTTCTTGCAATTGTCTTACTGTTGTAGCAAGTTTACATGAAGCTGTCTACCCTGCATTACCCCAGCATGAGAAACTTGTGAAGTAATTAATATATGAAGTCAATTACAAGTTTGCATCGATATGATTTTGACTGAACTTCACTTTTGGTCTGTAATATTTTAATTTGATCAATTTACTCTTACATCTACACATTGTAGCAATATCCACACTCCATTTAAATTCTAATTTAAGTAAGATAGATCGGTGACCACCATTTAAACAGAGGTTAACAATTAACATTGCCACAATGTGCAAACAATAGGGTATAAACTGATCAAATTGAAACATTAAGAACTAAATGAAATTCACTCAAACTTGAATGCATAATGGTAGTGCATGGCTTGACTTGGCGTCTTTCCTATCTTTCTCTTTCTCCTTTGATTTAAGCAATTTGACCCTCGGTTTGACCCCCCCTTGATAAATTTTGTGTCATGCAATACATGTTGGTGTATACTATTGGTTGTGAGAGAGAGAGAGAGAGAGAGAGAGAGAGAGAGGAGCTCACCAAAAGTTGTGCCATCATCATACTTTGTTGAACAGGCCTCAATACAAAGTGGATAAATCTTGAAACAAAGAAAATTAGAATGGTCTGGACCAGTAGAACAGGCAAGGCATAATCAAAAATATGGATGTCATGCCATAAACTTTTGGGGCATATTTTGTGGATAGATTGGCACACCAAAAATTCGTCGGTGTATGGCCCAGTGACGGTTCCAATACTCATTGTTGTGGCTTACAGAAAACGACAACTTCTCATAGAACATAAGGAAAAAGAAACAACAAACAGAATAGGGAGAGGGAAAAAGAAAGAAAAAGAAAGAGATGAATGAAAAGAAAATGAGACCAGATGCTGAGAGAAAGAGAGAGATCATCAAACCTATTAATAGAACATAATGTAACTATCAAAGTTAGCCATGCGAATACAGAGACCTTCCATAATATTAGGGAGAATGGCCCCTCTCCACTCAATCAGGCTTTCCTCAATTTAGCTAAGATGTGATCCCCAGCTGACATATCGGCATCCAACAGTACAGTCATATACTTACCAACTATTTGATCAACGTCTCTTAGTGGTTACATTTTAGAAGTGATTTGAACCATCAGATTCTCGTGATAATTACAAATGATCAAGGGAATCTGAACCATGCCAAACACAGAGAGAGAGAGAGAGAGAGAGCGAGAGAGAGAGAGAGAGAGAGAGACAGAGAGACAGAGAGAGAGAGACAGAGAGAGAGCAGAAAGTGAGCCTTAATGGTTGCTTTATATTCGATTATTTACTTATTTAGCTTCAGGTAACCACCATACCTTGGGGAAGTGCCAGGGAATCAACAAGTTTCCACTCTTGTCCGTCAATTTGTAATCATATTTAACCAGCTTCTGAGCCAGAAATAGCCAAATAAAATATGTTCTCATCTCATATCACATAAGCATAATGTTGCAAAATAAATACTGCATCAGTACAAAATTTAAGCAGAAACTTGAGACGCCAAATCAGGGGAAAAGAATGAACCATCTCATTGAATATTTTTCATTTGAACTAACAAAAGAATCGAGAAACAAAGAAACAAGAATCCGACCTACACAATACAAAGAATCAAGCAACACCTAACAGAAAGAACTCTAACTAGTACGTTTCCTGCAAGACTACAAGTCAACTATTAGTCAATTACCGTACACAGGTCACCAGTCACCACCATTGATGTACAAGAACTCCAATGTCTCTGAGCTTATTGAACAGGTCCAAGCATTGACCATACGTCTTCTTGAACTTGGGGCTCCTCTGACCCGGACAACATCTCTGCCATCTATTGTAATGGCACTCAAGAAAAATCTCATCAATCAAACAAATGGCACCAGTCTCAATCAACCTGGGAATCAAATGAAACTCAGTCCCTTCCACATCCATCTTCACCACCACAAAATCTCTCTCAGAAACCGTGTTCTTCAACCAATCTGCGAAATCAAACCCCTCAATCTTATCCACATTATCCCCATAATTCGACGAAGGCCTCACCGGTTGAACCCTCCCCATTCCTCTACCTTTTTCCACAGTTTTCGTACTTGGGTCTCTTGTGATCTCAAAGAACAAGGTCTCATTCCTCACCCACGCCGCATAAGGCAAAAGAGAAACCCCTTTCTTTGTTCTATACTCTTCGTGAAATGCCTTATCAGCCTCAATTGCATACACCTCAAAGCTAATGTTCTGTTTTGGGTACTGTTTCTTGAACCAACTTCCTATACTAGAGCCATAGCTACGAGCCCCAACATCAACATAAACGTACCTCTGCTTATAGCTAATGTCCACCATTGAAGTTAAGTACTTTACCTTCTTCAAGTTCCTTTTCAATGCAATCCAAGGTTTCAGTGGCTCTTGCTCTATCAAAGCCTCTGCCTTTCTCACTATTTCCCGCTTATACCCTGGAACCGAGCATTTATAACCGGAATTGCCACCAGAAAATTCAGCCTCTTTCTTCATCACAACCTCGAGAACCGACGTCGTTTCCAGGCCGTCGATCTCGCTCGACCGAATGAGTCTACAGCAATTGAACAATTGGATAAAAGAATTGAAGCTGTACGAATCTTTAGCCACAATGTGAGCCACGAAGAACCCGCCCGGTTTCAGAGTCCGACAGAGCTCATCAGAAAAATCCACAGGTCGACCCGACCGGTCCAGAGCCGAGAACTCGAAATCGAACGTGGCTTCATCGAACTGCTGGCGGTGGGCCTCGCCGGCAACGACCAACGGCGGAGAAGCGTTCTTGGAGACTCCAATAGAGTCGACGAAGCCGTTTTCTTTAAGTGCCAGGACGTCCTCGCCGGCTAGGGTTTCGACGCAGAGGGTTTTGAAATTGGGCGAGAGAAACCCATCGGCGATCAGGCCTTGGAAAATAGCCGAGTAGTAATCGACTGTTCTGCGCCACTTCTTTGTGGTCCAGAGCTCGGGAACACGTGGCTGGGTGGATCGGCGGACACGTAAGGCCTCGCCACCGCCGCCGTGGAGTTTGAGGTTGTCGGGGAAGAAGTAGAAGTCGTTGTAGCCGCACGACTCGCCGGCAAGTGTGATGACGTAAGCGAATCGGACGGCCAGGACCAGGACACCGAAGGTGAGGATCCGTACGAGGATGTTCCGTAGGCGGTTGGGTTTCCGTGTGGGAGGATCCATGATCACGACGAAGTAAAAGAATCAAAGAGGATTCTGTTAAAGCAGGACAGGAGGAGGGCTTGAAAATAGAGGGAAAGTCTGGAGGGGTAAAATGGGAAAACTAATTATCTTTTTGTACACGTGGCTATTGAGTATTGGCTGATTTATGAATGAGTCGGCGGATGGTATTATAGCCGTTATGCTTTCTGCCGCCTTTGTTTTTGTATTTTCTTTTTTTTTCTTTTGGGTTGACTTAAAAGATGGAGAAGTATTTTCTTTTAATGAAGAAATCAGAATTAGAATTCATTCAGAGGATCAATTTTAAATTTTAAATTTTTTATTCGACGCAGTTAGAACTGTTCCTAACGATAAAATAATATAAAAAAATCTATTGAAATAAAAGAAATTAATAAAAAAAGTTTCTCAGTGGTCATACAAATTAATCAACGATTTAAAACAACAAGGGGGAGAAACCGAGGAAAGTATGGTAGAGGATCATGAAGTATTTATATAAAAAAATAGCTGAGCCTTCCCTCATAACTAATTTTCTGACAAGAGAATTTATTGTTATATTGAGAAATAAAACCAAATATGTTGAAATTTTTGAACTAACTCAACCACTACCTGACTGACATTCACTTCTAGAATGTGTTGGATATTAATATCACTTGAAAAGAGAGACAGACACAAAGATATGTAGATTTTGTGACAACACGTAATCCATGACGATTCCTAATAACTTTTGATCATTTGTGATATCAATTATCGTCTAAAGTGCATTGTATTTCCAACACCATAAATTCACTTTCTAATTTTAATTTTAATTTTAATTTATGATATTAATAACTCATCTAATTATTTCCCGGATCTTTGTTCCTATCTATCCAACATCTTCACCTATGAGTACCAAACAATTTTTATGAATAGTTGACATTCCAAAATATCGTGCACGTAAAAACAAGATCACATACGTGAGCTGCTTGTGCTCTTAAACGATCATGCAAAAACCCAAACAAAACAAAGCCCTTTAATTTGGCTCCATTTTAGAACTCACAAAACGACAATTTGACAATCTAAGGATATCTATGGAAAACCGGTTTTAGATAATGAAAAAAGGATTAAAGAATAATTAATATAAAAAAAGGGAACAAAGAGGCGTAACATTAATTAACAAATTGAATATAAAAATGGATTAAGAAACACCAACACATAATGCAGATAGGGAGCTACTGCATTGGTCAGTCGGTGGGAGTATGCGTGAAAGGGCCTCTGGGTCCCATTTCCCCCCCAACTTCGCACCGTGTGGCTCACGCTAGTGTCTTGCTCTTATCATCACGCCCTTGCTTTTTAAAATACATAAAACAAAAGGGTTAAATTGCACAAGTTATCCATGTCATTGTCAAGTGTGGGATTGTATGTGAATGCTACTCTTTTATAGCGAAGAACACTCTTTATTATGTCTTGTTTTTGTTACCAATTTCAGTCTATTTGCTTAGGTTTACACATAAGGTTTAAAATGACTCTTTTACCTCTGAAAATTCGATTAGGGTTAAGGGTTTGTTTGAAACTGCTTTTGAAAGTATTAAAGCATTCTTTGACAACCAAAATACTCGTCAGTAGAAAAATTTAAAGCGCTTATGGATCATAAAACCACTACTATACATTGTGTCATAAGAGTTTGTTTGAAATCGCTTTTTAAATTATTAAAAGTATTTTCTAACAACAAAAAGCACTGCTCTTCCACAGAAACTTAACAAAATTTGTAGGTCATAAAACCACTACTATCTATTATTTACTTTCTTTTTTTCTCATATGAGCAACGTTGACATATGAGCTGCATCATCGAAACGAAAGACGATTTGTGCAACTTAACCAAAAGCAAAGTGTCATGGAATAGACCAGAATGACTATATTATACCATCCATGACCCAAATTACTATGAACGCGGCATAATACAAGTTGGGCCCACCAAGCTACCGACCGAGAAGACTCCATGTGTGAACATAAAAAAGAAAGAAAGTATACAAATTTGACCCTGACCAACTTGTGCACTAAGTAATGTAATGTCCAGCTCCGACATATTTGACCCATTCAAACCTCTGCTTAAGATGTAACTGATGACGATTGCATATCTAATTAAAAGCCATTGCCTGAGAGTTTGTGGTCACTTAAGTTTAAAAATGGGCCCACAACTTGTACACAGAGAGAGAGAGAGAGAGAGAGAGAGAGCAGAGAAAAAAAACAATAGGAACAGTTGCAAGAACAGAAAGATAAATTCAAAATTCATTGTTATACACTATGAGCGAAAATGAAACATATGGTGTACGAAAAAAATTGAATCGAGGCTCCCTAACTGAGCTAGCAAAGAAAGCCCCAAAACAATTAAAATAATAATAATAATAAGATATTAAGAAACTTCTTTCTATGCCCATACAAGTTTTGAATTTACAATCAATCCCTGTAAAAGAATGTACAAGCACAAAAAACCAAAAATGAAAAAAAGAAGGAAGCAATGAATGGAATGAACCTGACTCTGTGTACTTATTGTAATTGTTGTTTTTGGTTTTTTTTTTTTTTTTTTTTTTTTTATCAGCAGCATGATTCAAAAAAGGCATCATCTCTTGGCTCTTCCTTGGTTTTAGAAAACATGTTCTCACTGAGCTGCGCTTGGTTCATGTATGACCCCATAGAGTTATCAAACCCTGCAAATCCGAAACTCCCGGGGCTCTGCAACATCTCTAGGGTAAAGGGTGCTTGTTGCCCTTCTGATGTTTGTTGCCTTAAGTTGTTAGTTTGATGGGCCACAGGCCTCATTGCTGTGGCTACATTGTTATTGTTGTTGTTAATGTTGTTGTTGTTTGGTAGAGCCCTATTGACAGAAGCATGGCTGCCGCTGCCACGAGCTGCCGGAACATCATGGTTGTGCTTTCCTTCATAGGTTGTGATCACAGCTCTAAGATCATGAGAAGCTCTCTCAACATGCTTTCTCACTGGACATCCTGGATTTGTGCACTTGTAGTAGCTCCTGCAATTTCAAAAATAAAACACACCCCAATTAGCAAACAAGTTACAGAATCTAGTTTCTTAAAGGAAGTCCACTTTTTCCCTTTCCCGAATGCAGTAGTGAGAATTCACAGCATTCACACCCATCAAAAGCAAACTTTAGAAGAAAGTGTCTTTTTAAAAAGAAACTAAGATGTTATCTAGAAGAAGGTACATATAAAGAATCCACTTTGCGTGGCACTTTTTTTATATCTTCTTTACAAAATGAGACTTAATTTAGTGATATGTTTTCCGGGAAAAGTGTCCAATTAGGTACAGATTGAACAATGGCAATAATAATATTGAATTATCAAAGCAATCCATCTTTCAAAAGTTTGAAAAAGTAAATATCAAAATCATGACCAAGAGGATCTTTACCTTGGATTTGGATTGCCCTTTACCACCTTCTGCCCGTACTTCCTCCATCTGTACCCATCATCTAGAATATCAATATCACTGGTTGTCTGAACTACAACTCTAGGCTCTCTCACTGTTCTGCTCCCAGGAGCTGAAATACCTTCATTATCAACTTCCTTTTTCCTGCATAATCATGGAAAATCACTAATTAATCACACACAAAAACCCAAAAAACTCAATGGAAATACTTCAACTTAACTCATCAAACACAAAATATTGTTCATGCATTAATAAATCAAACTTACCATCTTTTGGCATTAGGTTCATCTTCATCAAATTCATCCCCTCCTCCTGACTTGCTTTTCTGAGAACTCTGTTCAAAATCATCATCTCCCATCGAAATCGATGAATTTTCTGGAGTTCCAATGGAATCCATTTGTGAATTACCATGATTGGCAAAAGACTGATCTGGGATTTCATTGGTGTTGGGATTAGAAGCCTGAATTGCATGAGAAGAATTTGATGATGATCTTCTAGTATTCTGTGGCTTGGGATGGTTATGGTTGCCCTTGTAAACTATCTCAGTGATTTGCCCATCCAAAGACCTCTCTACTTTCTTCTTAGTTGGGCAATTGGGGTAAGTACACTTGTAATAGCTTCTTGGATTTTCACTTCCCTTCACTTGTTTTTGACCATATTTTCTCCAATTGAACCCATCATCTGACTTCCTGCTCAAGGTCTGAGATTGTTGGTGGTTGTAGTTGCTATACTCAGATTGGAAACCACCATTGGCCTGACTATTATTTTGGATATTGGTGGCCATTCCAGATGAGAAGCTCTGCACAGAACCATATTCAGGTTTCACCATACTCTTCCCTGAGGAAAAATCATCTTGCTTTTGGGGTTCTTGTGCCTGAAAGTAACTGTTACTCCATCCCTGTTCTTGTGCCTGAAAGAAAAGCAACAAATTAGTAAACAATTCAGAATATCTAACAAAGAAAAATAAACAAGTGAAAATTGAAAAAATAAAACACCACATACAGTTTGAATTGTGCCGTTAGAAGATTGAAACATTGTTGATGATGAAGTGAAGGGTCTTGTTTGTGTTTGGAAAGAGAAATCTGAGTAGTTCTTGCTTTCCTGTTTAACAATCTGCTGGTTGTTTCCAGAATTGGCCTTCCAAAAGGCCTGAGCTGCAAAACTTCCGGTAGTTGGAGATGGAAGAATCTGCCCACAATAACACAAAATAAGAAATACCCATTAGTAAAAACATCAAAACAAAATTGAAGAACAAACAAAACCCAACAATTAAGCAGCAAAATTATCAAACTCAAAAAGAACAGTTAAAAAAACCAGAAGACTTTGACTCAAAGTTAAAACCTTGTTAGCAAAGTCCAATCATTTGGTCTCAAGGGAAATGAAAAATATCTTCTTATTTTTTTAACTTTTCTTTTCCTTTATCCCAATTTTCTCGAAACCCAAACAGAGCATGTTGCAAAGCCCAAGAAAACAGATTCAAAATACACAAAACATATACATACGTTCGAAGTGCTTAGGAGGACAGGAGAGTCGAGAAGCTCAGCTGGGCTCAACCCAGCTGGGATTGCGAAGTAAGAAGAGGGAGAAACGGAGGGAGGAGAAATGGGCAGCGAAGGAGGAGGAAGAGACTTGAATTTGGGCACACCAGACCCAGTACGTTCTGCTATTCGATCTGCTAGCCCGCCATGGCCAACATGTTGAACTGTGGTGTTGGTGCTGGGGTCTTCATCTGTGCCAGAGGCTAAGAGGTCAGAGAAGGAGGTGGTCATGAACGGGTGCGTCGAGAAAGTGAAGGTTGGGTGTGAATTTGCAGAGGTGTCTAAGCTCCCAGAAGAGGAGGCCATAAAGAGGGGGGGGGGGGGGAGAGAGAGAGAGAGAGAATTGAGCTTAGTGAAAGAGAGAGCCTTTTTGTGTGTTGAAAATGGATAATAATAATAAGAGATTGTGGAGAAGAGAAGATGGTCACGTATCGCATAAGGCTCTTCTTTGTATTGGGGAGCTTTCTCAGAAGCTCAGGGGAGCTTTGACCGTTGAATATTTTGCCATTTTCTTTCTTCTTTTTTTTCTTTTAAATTTTCTTTTGTTTTTTATTTATATTTTTTTCTGGTCAAAGCTCGTGGGTTTGACTGGTTGGCGGCTATAGTTTTATGTATTTATTTTTATATGCTAATTTTAATTAAGTTAATTAATTGTATGTAAACCAATATAATTAATATCCCCATTTAAAATACATATCCAATCATGAATCATCTATCCACTCTAACGGTTGATATGGATGTCCTCAACTAATTCAATACCTCCTCCTCTCTTATACGCCACCAATTATATAAATGTTAATTTGATGAGTTATTAGAATATACTTATATTGTAAATATTATTATTGAAATTTTGGTTTAAATATTTCATAACTATATGGTTCCTTTTCGCTTTCAATGAGTAACTACGTTTATTAAAAATTTAAGATGACAAAATAAAAAGAGGGGAGTTTTGTGAGTGAGTTTTTTTTTTTTTTCTATATTTTTTTTTTTTTTTTAATTTTAATGATAGTTTTATTTGTATTGTTATGGCTTGGTTTTTCAAGCTTTATCTTTATTTGATTATTTTGAGTTTGCAAATGTTAGTTAGGATGTCTATGCCAAAAAAATTTCGATCATGCGTGATTGTTAGTGGATGCGCACTAGATTGTCTCAATTTTCATATTAGATCGTTTCATTATTGTAATGGCCTTTTTGTGGCTAGTTTGTATTGGTCATTTGCTATTAGTGGTTTTTTTGGCTGAATTATTAATGCAATTCCCTAATTTGTAAAAAGAATAGAGAAGAGTTAGATGAACTACATTAAGCTAATGCACAATTAAGAGCATAAAATAATAATGCGGTCCATTAGGTGCTACGAGTTAGGAGTATATAACTTATTAACTTGTGCAATACTCTAAAGGAAATTACTCAATTTAAATTAAAACTTTGAAAGTAACATGATCTTTTTGTCCAATATAATATCAGCCGGTTCATATTAAAAGTTAGGAACCCCAAATTTCTTCTTGAGGATTATCCACACCAATTAGGATAGTATGGTGTGAAATTTGAGGTACACATGACATGCATTAATGGTAGGTTTTTCTTTTAATTTCTGAGACAAGTGGTGGGAGAAGGATGGTACTGAGATATTTACAAAAGTCGTGCAATCTAGAAGATGCATGAGTCATCTCATAGACGTATACCGTGGTAAAGGGGCATTGTCCACTAGCCATGCAAATCTAGAAGCAAGCATCTTCCAAATCTTTGTGGAAATAAAAAACTAAGACATATATAACAGCTTAATTATTCTCCTACTACCTAACCTAACCCATATGCAAGTACTTTCTCAGCACTTTATCATTTTTATTTTATTTATTTCCGCTCCAGCCAACTTGGTTAAGTTCATATTTGCCGAGGAGAAAGTTTAATATCCTTTTATGTAAATATACCATTCTATGTGCCTATATGTTGAAGAATCCAAAAGGAAAAGCATCCTACATACATTATGCTTGAACATAAAGGTCTTCTTGGTTAGTTTTCCTCTTTCGGATAGGAAGCAAACAAGGCAGAACTTCAAATATAGTAATATTCTAATTATACCTCGATCACGCAGGTTCATATATAAGTTTTCTTATGGTGACATTGACACATACATAAAAGTGCAAGTTCACTGAATTAGTAAAAAAATGGTTTTGACCATGTTACTTAACCCAAAATAATCAACCTATAATTAGTGGTTAATTCAACTTTCATCATACTTGACCCTTTATTTTTCAATGGGTTGATAACTAACTAGCTGCTATAGTATGATTGCAATCATGTCTCAAAATGTCAACATATAGTATAAGTTTTACTTTGTTGGATAAATAACCAATATTTAAGGTGAATTTTAGTGAAAATTTGGAAGTAATTTGGATTTGGAGTTTAAAAAAAATATTTTTGTGATATATTATAATGAATAATTTCTTTATTTTGTGTGTGAGAATCCGGGCAGTGTGTGGCGTAAAAATACCCAATTGAGAATGTTGGTTGAGGCATTTGTGTAGAGAAGGGGTTTGGGATCAAACTGACAAAAACAAAAACGAAAGGAGAAAAAGAAACAAATAATAATAAAAATGTAAATGCAGTCAAAGTCAACATTTTCGCATGGATTGACTGTGCATCACTGATCATGCACTGCCGTGCGACCGCCAGAACTCACGCGCAAGAGACATGTGTGTAAATGCACGGAGGATTTTGATTCGATATTCGCATCCGTGCTTATTAGGTTTCTTTCTTTCTTTTTTAGGTTAAAAGGTTTCTCGTTTGTTTTTTTTGCTCCTCTCGTGTATTAGTTACTTTTTGTTTTGTTTTAAGTACACGTGCATGTTGTGGGTTGAATTTTAGAAATTATATGCAGATAAATTTTGGAATTAAGTTTAGCACTTGTGTGTATCAAGCTGGAAAAAGATAAAGATAAACATTAAAGTTGCGTAGGAGAACGGAGAATGTAGGAATTTTTATAATTTTTTTTAAAAAAGAACATGTGCTTTTTAAGCAAGAGCGAATTCGAATATGGAATTTCTTTTAACATTAGAAAGAAACGAATTACTAACTTCTTACTTTTAGAGTCTAATAAACTCACTTCATTACTAATGTGTTGCCGACTAGCATTTGAAGGCTTGTGCTATGTATCTTCTTAACGTTTCAAGTGGTCTCAAGTTTGAATTACCCCTCCTAATTGACAAGGCAAATTCAAACCCTAGAATCTTTCTTTTTTCTTTTGTGTAAATTTTTTCAGAGAACCATAAAATGTCAAAATTGTTTCAAGTTAAGAGTGAGTAAATAATGGGCCATCCAGTTCCCCATCCATTTCTCTCGCACGGGTCAAAAGGCCTTCTTCCTTTTTTATTTTATTTTAAGTTCAACTTCCGGATGACTCAACTCCCATCGTTTTGGATCCATCTCAAAGTCTAAGCCCGAGATATGGGTCAAAAGTTTGTTGCATGCATTGCTGTATGATGATCATTTGAGAATGGTCTAAGTTGTGATTCTTCTCTTCTCCTTGAAACTGGGGCGGGAGTTTCTGTTTTTTTCTTCTTCAATATAAGTGATAGTCTAAAATATAATAGGGAGTTTCACACACACTATCAATGTGTCTTTAGGGTTCGAATCTGAGACTACTTGTATACAAGTTAAGGTCATTTTTCACTGGTCTAGACGCTACTAACCGGGAGTTAAATAGGAGAAAATATGAATTATGGTCAGTTTGCTTACATAACTACATCAATCCAACAACTTAGTTTAACATGTGATCATAGAATTCTAAGTTGGAGTTAAAAGATAAATGTAAAAGAAAAAGGAAATCGATTAAAAGATAAATTGATTCATTTCACTCTTGGCTGGCTCATATAGTGGAGGCTCATGGCCTTATAAGACCAGAAACTATTCTAAAAGCTTCTAAGCTGCCACGGAGGCCCATTAACAAAATGACCTGGGGCCATTAAGCAAGGCACATGCAATGCAAGCTACGCAAGCCCCTCCTATATCTGCTAGGACCTTGGGCTTCCATGTATCAAAAATAGAGTACGGCCAAAGCTAGCTTTGACCCTTTTTACCACTCCACAGGCCCAAATGGGCAGGCCATTTGAAGTCAAGATCGTCAAAGTTTACAGTCGGTTCATGCAGGTTATAACATGAAGCCAATGAACATCTCTGGTTCAAACAATATGAGATGAGTTTATTTATCTTGAAGAAAACAAATAAACATGTGATTGTTGTAAAGGAAGCAGACGGAGCCCACACAAAGAAAATAAGAAAGTGATAATCAAAAGGAAAGTGATGTTGGGAAAAGAAGACTTTGGAGATGTATGGGAAGCCATCCAATTTGCCTATAAATAGGCTTTGTTCATTCAGTTGTAGAACACCACCAATCCAAAGAGAAAATAGAGAGAGAAAAATTTGAGAGTGTGAGAGCTTTATCTTAGAAGAGTTTTATCAAAGTGAGAAAGTTCTGTCAGTATAAAAATCATAATAGCAAATACAATCATACTTTATTCAGTGGTATTTTTCATATTCTGATTATTATTTTTATAACACGTTATCAACACGATAGTCTCTTCCCTTTACTTCTAAATTTTCTCAGCTCAACATTATATGGTTATTTCTCTGTCTCCTCTCACTTTACTACTACGACGACATGCAAACTTTCTTTTTTGTATTTTCACAATTCTTATGTTGCTTCATCCATGTTTGTTTAATTTATTTTTTCGTACTATTATTTGGAATGGTGCGTTTTATACCCATGTCCTGTTATTTTATGGTGGTGTAATTTTCATTGCCCATCGCGTTGTAACACATATTATCGTAATAAAAATGATGGCGTGATCTTAAAACCCATCTTATTATATCTTGAATAGTGGCGCAGTTATATTGCCCACAATATATGATATGTTATATACTTTATATATATTAGGTGGTGGCTTTATCCCCACATTTACTATATTTACTGTATGGTGTAGGTTTATTACCCATACAACTGTATTTATTTAAAAGTGTGGCGTTGGTTTATCGTCCACACAACCCCATTTACTTTTATTTAAAGTATGGTGCGGAATTAACCCTCATACAGCAAGTAATTTACTTTATGAATTTACTTTATCGCACATTTACATTTATTTAAAGTATGGTGCGGAATTAACCCCCTTAAAGTATGGTGCGGAATTAACCCCCATACAACAAGTAATTTACTTTATGAATTTACTTTATCGCACATTTACATTTATTAAAAGTATGGTGCGGAATCAACCCTCATACAACAAGTAATTTACTTTATCGCACATTTACATTTATTTAAAGTATGGTGCGGAATTAACCCCCATACAACAAGTAATTTACTTTATGAATTTACTTTATCGCACATTTACATTTATTTAAAGTATGGTGCGGAATTAACCTCCATACAACAAGTAATATACTTAATGAATTTACTTTATTGCACATTTACTTAAAGAATGGTGCGGGTTCTTCATCCATACTAACAAATTTATTTATAACACTTCATTTGCAGTTAGTATACATGAATAATGAGGGCCTGAAGTTCCTATTAATAAATGGCTTTGAAGATGGCAAACTTGGCAATACTGGAATTTGCTGCCTTGGACATTTTTGGGGATAACTATATTTCATGGGTCCTAGATGCCAGGATCCATCTACTTGCCAATGACCTTGAAAAACAATTGTAGATGGGAGTGATGCAAAGCCATCCAATTTTCCTATAAATAGGCTTGCTCATTCAGTTGTAGATCACCATCGATCCAAAGAGAAAATAGAGAGAGAGAGAGAGAGAGAGAGAGAGAGAGAGAGAGAAATTTGAGAGTGTGAGAGCTTTATCTTAGAAGAGTTTTATCATAGTGAGAAAGTTATGTCAATATAAAAACCATAAGAGCAAATACAATCCTACTGTATTCAGTGGTATTTTTCATACTCTGATTATTATTTTTGTAACAGTGATCTATATTTAGAACAATATGATAGGCCAACCCTGCCAATCAATTATGATTTTCTATCCAGCTCGATTATTCTAGTTTGAAAAGATTCAGTGCATTTATATATCATTTCATGAATCTAATATCAAATATGAGCATCTAATTCAAAATAAATTAGCAATGAATGGAGACGCTCAAAATCTTTTAAGTTCGTATGTTAAACTTTCATAATTTAATGTGTGATATTCTCAACACAAAGTAGAGTAGGAAATCAGGAGTTTCATACGAGGGAAATCTTGTCAGAGGAACAATTTCTAGGATTGTGACTAGCGTTGTTTTGACTTCTATTACTCTTATGTTGTCGTTCTTAATTACCCACAAAACATTGTGATAGAATAAAATTGGAATCAAGAAACATACTGGGGAATATATATATATATATATGCATATGCTTATATAAATGGTTTTAATAAATTTTCTTTCAATGAAGTTTCAATTTCAGAACTCCACATATAGGGACTACTAAGAACTGGATAAATTTTTGTATATTTTGAATACACCACGGGGCTAGTGTATCATCCAATACACATGAAACATGTGGAAATAACTGGACTCTAGAATGTAGAGTTCCCGATTTAATTTTCATATAATTCTTGACCTTATATTATAAAATTTCGTTTCATATCCTCCTTTTTACTTTTTTACCAAATAACATCTATCCTATCACAATTTTAACTTCATAATTCTTTTTTATCATGAAAGTTACAATTAAAAATATCTCAATGAGATCTCTGAATTAACCCTAATATTGAATATATATATATAAACTATTTTTAAAATAAAATAAAAAAATCTTAAGAGAATGTGAAGTTACTATGCATGTTAGATAGAAACAAAAATCTATAAAGCGCACATTACTAAAACTAAGAATACAATAAAAGAAGATTATAACATAAATAAAAAATATACTTTAAAAAAAAACATAGAATATTGTAAGAATAAAAAGAGGCTTTGAATATAGAATATTCTAAGAATATTCCGTTTTGGAGTTTTAAATATATAGTATGGTTGGAAGATTATGAGAATATGCCATTTCCAAAATTCATTTGAGGTTATGCTTATCTAATTAAATATATATCTATTTGTAAAATAAAACCCGTGATTAATTTTGTTCTTTGTGGGGTTTAAGATGAAGTTTGAGGTACTGTGTTTTTTTTTCTTCATTATATTATTTTTGAAATTATATACTCTCGAAATACGAGAAAATCCATGCAAAATTCATATTGTCTTTTGGTCAAGTCAACATAATTTCACCCACGTTGTAATTATTTTATGTATGTATAAATTTTTAAGGTAGAGTACAAGAACTGAGGAACTGAAAAACAAAATGATTGGAAAAATTCCTAATTTTGCCAAACCGCCACGTTTTCCTTATGTTTTCTAGAAAACCCGTGGAGGGTAGTCAACCAATTTTGTTTGACCAGATGTATTTCAAACTTTAAAACCAAACTATTTTCTCTGGAACCCATGCTTTGGGCATGTTGTTCAGTTCTTATCATATGTTAACGTTGTCAATTGTTATTAATGTTGTTGTAGAGAAAAGGACAATTCGGGTGACCTAATTAGTTTTTTTTTCTTCTGTTTTTGGGTAAAAGAGTTTAAGAACATATGAAAATTGAAACGAATATTTAAAGCACCCAACAAGAAGAAGAAATCACTACTTTAATTTAATGGGATGCAAAGATCTGCTTTTGATGTGATCAAATCAATTATTTGAAAGCAAATGATTATAGGCCAGCTGTTTCTCTCTGCAACTTTAATATTTAACTTGGATATGGTTTGTTTTTCACTGGCCATGCAACTAATATTCCACTGGCAAAGATGGTTGGTTATTATTATTATTTTTTTAATACAAGTGATAATTTAAATTATAGATAAGGGAGATTTCTCACACAAACAACTATGATACTATGAGCTCGAACCTGAAACATCTGGTATATTTTCTTTCAAGGAAAACTGTTAGAAATTAAACTAGAATATTATGGCCTTAAATTGTTATGCTCCATTGTGTTGAGATACATGTGTCTCATTAAATGATGACTCAGATATACTGAATGCCAACAAGAGCCTCTGGCAAAAGAGACCAAGAGTTTTGAAATTGGAAGAGCCACAACACATGGGATCATGTAATTTCAGTAAGGACAATGCTTGGCTCCTGATATATCAAGAGTCATTCATCTCTGGTCTCTAGCTGTTGGCAGTTAATGCAGCAGCTTGAGAAGTGCAGCATGCGTCATATTTTTAGGGAGAAAAACAGTGTTGCAGATCGTCTGGCTGCTTGGAGTTATAACTCAGATCTTGGTATCTGCGTTTTTGATGAGGCTCCAAGTTGGATTGGGACTTCTTTGGTGGAGGATTTGTTAGGGGTGTCTAGGCCCCGGTTGATTTGTGTTGGTTTGTTTGTTTTGTTTGTTTGGGGTTTTCCCCCCCATTTCACAAACAAAAAAAAAAAAAAAAAAAAAAAAGTCCTCCTCCACAATGACGTGGATTTCTTAAAAAATCAATACGTGTGTGTGTTTTTTTGTTTTTTAAATTCCCCTTTTTCCTCTTCCCCCAACCTTTTGGCTGGTTTTAACTGCAGCCTCCCCAAAGCCACCACCACCCCTGTTCCGAATCCAACCTCATAACCAACCTCGTCATTGAACCGATAAGGCAGCCCACCGACTTTCTTTTTTCTTCTCTCTCTCTCTCTCTCTCATTTCTCCATCACTTCTGCTCTGGTTGCAAATTCAAAAACCAAAAATTGAAAGCACATAATGATTTCAATCCAGGGTCTTAGGCTCCAAAATTGGCCGGAGGTTTACATGGGAGGTTTACATGGCGAGGTTGGTGTTGAGGGTGGATTCGGAACAGGGGTGGCGGTGGCTTTGGGGAGGCTGCAGTTAAAACCAGCCCACGTCATGATTGAGGAGGAATGGCTCCTGATATATCAGGAGCCAAGCATTGTCCTTTCAATAATTATCCTTACTAGTTTCAAAGAAATGATTGCTTGGAAAATGCGATATATCATATAAATATATATAGAAATTCTCTCATGTGGACGTCTGGACATCATGTTTTTTCTATTATCCTTCTTATTTTTATTCATGTTTACAATGATATTCACACAATTTATAATAACGTGCAGACATTTAGACGAGAGAATAACTGTGCATATACATATATTTTGAAAATCCAACAGAAAGAGCTTCTTCATTATTGTCCAGATCAAAGCACAGAGAGAGCTTCTTCCAACATTTAGTCGATGTCAAACTCTTTCCAACTTATGCGAATATGCATAAATATACCAGCAAGTGGAAGGTTCCACTGTTTGAATGTGTGCTGTATCAATAAAAGAAGCAATATTATTATTATATAGTCTAATAACGTGTACACATGGCCATTATAGTGTGACGAATAGGAATGAGTATTATATTGTAATTGTCTATATTGACCCACTAGCCAGGTCATTGACAATTATGGGGATTTGTGGTGGTGGCTCCACGTAGGGCATCTAAGCCACGACAAGGTTCATGAATTAACAATAACAGAAATGCTTTGATGTTTGAGATCATTTCTGTTTTACTGCACAGTAAGCGAAGGAAGTTGAGGTTCCGTCCCATGAGAATCTTAGCCCGATAACTTGTAGTATTGTTGATGAATATGGACAAGTGACAATGAACGTAGCCGTGTTTTATGGCCACAATGCGACAATGATCAGTGCAAGATTTGTCTCAATGAATAAATAAGTGCTCCCAATTTATTTACATACTTATTACTAGTAATGAATGGCATTGCCACCTTACTTGGGTACGATTAAAAACAAACATATGGGGGTGGCATGTGAAATCTGTCACCACAAAGAAGAAACGTGCTCCCATTCGTTTCACACACACAGCGTTTGATTTCAAGACCCTGAAACATATGGGAGCAGGCAAAACAGTAGGAAACATATGGAGCTTTTATGTGTTTTTTCCTCTTCCTAGTGCGAGGCTGCATATATAACATGTGCTTTCAAGCATGCTATGTGTGCGATGCGTTGTGGAAACATATGGGAGAGCAAATATAATATATATTAAATGTAGTTGCATAACGCTGTATGTAGGAAACCCATATGCCACGTGTACGTTTGAGGTTTCTAAAGAAGGAAGTTGCTTCTAATTAAGGACGGTTCTTTGATATATGTATATGTTGTCATCGTTAAACCAGGCACATCGCCCACGTGGTATGCGTGCGTATATAGGTAGGAGCATATGCAGAGAATGGAGGATATGAAAATGAAAGTGGAGTTGTTGACAACTACTGTGTATGAGGCTTAATAAATGAAGGAAGGTTTTAAATGAAATTTATTCCAAATAAAAATAAAAATGAAATTCAAACGTGGCTTTAAACATCATCTAATACGAAAATATCACAAAATAAAAATAAATGGTCATGGGTTTAATGCTCCTTAGTGCCATTTTACGGAGAGATTTGTGTTATTTAATGATAAGTAAAAAAGCAGCTATGTTAGTTAGCCCACAATTGTGCAATTTACACTGTATGAAAATTCAAGCGTCCTTAAAAATTGGAGGCCTTGTACGGTGGCACTATGTGCACACCCTCATGTCGTTTCCATGGCTATAGACATACATACATGCTATATATGCATGTGTTAGCAGAACATAAATCCAACTATTAATCCATCTTAATCTATCTTATATGAGAAAGGTATGATGGGTATTTTACACAAAATTATAGTGTTTTCCCATTGATGGATGGATGGAAATGATTCACTCAATAAGTTAATATTTGTTGAAGTAAAAAAACACACATACCGGGAACTTTTTTGTAAAAATTTATCGCGAATCTTGCCTTTTTCGGATTTGTGGCGGACCGCAAGACAAGAGCAAAAGAAGATTACGAGAGACAGCTTGGCCCTACAAAAATTTAGCCATTAACAAGCCAACAATTCAAGGTGTCAGAGTGGCCATATTGTAATTAAAAGAGAACGTGTTAGGCCCTAATACCCATATTTTAAGTTTCACGTTTCACCAAATAAAATTATTAATAAATAAAAATTTAAAATAAAAACACAAAAGAAAGTTTATTCACGTGCAATCATTTCTCCAACGCGTTCTCCATCCCTAGGCTATATATATAGAGGTACCAAGAGCTTTAAAATTAGAACCATCAGCTATCTCATCTCATCTCTCCTAGAGTTTTTTTCACAAAGCAAAAGAAACACAAAAGAGAGAGACAAAAGGGTCTCAAAACTCTCTCAACTCTCTCAACTCTCAAACCCTTTTTTCTACTCGTGCAGTCATGGAAGCCAATGTTGGCTTCCTCACATTGTGCTTGGCCATCACTTTGGTGCGTTTCTTAATGAAGCGTTATTGGCACCAAAGCAAGATTAACGACAACAACAACAAAGCTATCAAGCAACACTACCCACTTCCTCCCACTCCCAAGGGCCTAAGGCCTTGGCCTATTGTGGGCAACCTCCCCGAGATGCTCATGAACAAGCCCACATTCCGGTGGATACACAAGCTCATGGAGGAAAGCAACACCGAAATTGCTTGCATTCGTCTTGCAAACGTTCATGTCATCCCCGTCTCCTGCCCCATTCTCAGCCGCGAAATCTTGAAGAAACAAGATGCAACTTTCGCCACGAGGCCTCTCAGCATCTCCACCTTCCTCATCACAAAAGGGTACATAACCACGGTTATGGTGCCCTTTGGGGAGCAATGGAAGAAAATGAGGAAGGTCATCACATCCGAGTTGCTCTCTCCCATGAGACATAAGTGGCTCACGGACAAGAGGATTGAGGAGGCCGACCACCTTGTTCGATACGTGTTCAACCAGTGCAACAATGACGAGGGCAGTGGCATTGTGGATTTGAGACTTGCTACACAACATTATTGTGCAAATGTGATTAAGAGAATGATTTTCAACCAGAGGTACTTTACGGAGGAGATGAAGGACGGAGGTCCTAGTGTTGAGGAACAAAACTATGTAAATGCGGTGTTCGATATGCTTAGGTACATCTATGCATTTTCTGCATCCGATTACATCTCATGCTTGAGAGGCCTCGATTTGGACGGCCATGAGAAGATCATAAAGGATTGCATTAAGCTTACAAGAAAACGCCAAGACCCCGTCATTGAAGAGAGGATTCGTGAACATCAGAAACTTGGCGGAAACAAGGTCCCAGTAGACTTGCTTGACATTCTTATCTCACTCAAAGACGCCAGTGGTCAACGCTTGCTCTCAACAGACGAGATCAAAGGCCAAGTAAATGTAAGTCTCTCCCTCCCTTTCTCTCTCTCATTAACTAAATTACGACAAATGCTTATGTTGTAGGATTGTAAACACGGGTCACACAAGAGTCAAACTGATTAACTCCGCGGTGCTTAAAATAATAATAATTGTTTTGTAAATGCAGGAGATGATAATGGCAGCAGTGGACAACCCCTCAAACGCAGCTGAATGGGCAATTGCAGAGATGATAAACCAACCCCACCTGTTCGAGAAAGCAAGACAAGAACTTGACGCTGTGGTTGGCAAAGAAAGACAAGTGCAAGAGTCAGATCTGTCGCAGCTCAACTTCGTCAAAGCCTGCGCTCGAGAAGCCTTCCGCCTCCACCCGGTGGCGCCATTCAACGTCCCCCACGTGTCGATGGCCGACACGACCGTGGGCGATTACTTCATCCCCAAGGGCAGCCACGTGATGCTGAGCCGAATCGGGCTCGGCCGCAACCCTAAAATTTGGGACGAGCCCCTCAAGTACAAGCCCGAGCGCCACCTCAAGGACGACGGGTCAGGTGTTGTACTCACTGAGTCAGAGCTCCGATTCATATCGTTCAGCACCGGCATGCGAGGCTGCGTCGCGAGTACACTCGGCACGAGCATGACTGTGATGCTGTTTGCTAGGCTTCTTCATGGGTTTACTTGGGAAGCGCCGCCCAATGAGTCGAGAATCGACCTCACCGAGGCAGACGGCGAGCTCCTACTCGCCAAACCACTGTTTGCACTCGCGAAGCCACGCCTGCCAGCTCACGTGTACCAGACATAAAACTGCGGCAAATTGGCCTAGGGTTTCTGCTTGGCATGGAGGAAAGAGTCGATTTGAATAAATAATTTGGTACAAAATTTCATACCATCTTGTATTAAGTTAAATAATGTGATTTTTATGTTTGATATGTAATATGGGAATTTGCATTAATACCAGCCTTTTTGTAATGTTTGGCCACCTGCATTATATGCTTCATGTAACAATGTGGCACGTATATTTTTCACTAAAAATTAAGAGATTTTCTATTTAAATCCCGCACTTCTCTTTATTCACCCCAATACTTAAATCATTAAGCTGTAAGTTTTATTATTGTGTAAAAAGACAAAAAAAGTCATCCAACTTAATAATTAACCATAGTACATCTATACACACACCCCACCACTCTTCATATTAAGTTTTAGAACCCTCATTCCAACTTCTTGTTTATAAACTCACTCACTCTCTCTCTCTCTCTCTCTCTCTCTCTCCTCTCTCTCTCTCTCTCTCTCTCTCTCTCTCTCTCTCTCTCTCTCTCAAATACCCAAGTGTTAGAATTCTAGTTACAATTCTTGGAGAAAGGTAAAGTTGTTCTCTTTCTCTAGAAGGTATTAAGTTTCGGATTTGGGGTTTCATTTGTTTGTGTTTTTTTTTTGTTGGGAACAAAGAAAATTGTGGTGTTTAAATAGAAAATCTCTTTTAGTTCTTATTTTTTCAGTTTGGGGTGTATTTAAGGGTAGTTTGGGAAGATAGTGGGGTTTTCTTAGAAATTGTGAAAATTTAAATTAAAAGTTGGGGTGAACTTAGAACATGGGGTGAACTAATAGAAGTGTGGGATTTAAATAGAAAATCTCAAAATTAATCGTGTCCATTTTTTTAAAGGTATTACGAAGGACCTACAGTATGTACAGACTCAGCTATAGCCCAGTTGAGTGTTTTTCTTATCTTATAGTTAGTATAAAAGACATATACTAACAGGAAGAAAAAGCTGCAAGATATGTGCCCGTTTGGTATCCTACTTGGATTCAATTTTATAAACTCAAAAATAGATTTGCCCTAAAAAGCTGTTTGGTAGGCCCATTTTTAAAAATCCAAACCCTAAAAAAATTCAAAAACACCCTTATTATTAAAAACAAACAAAGTGAGGTTTTATAGTTTTTTTTTTCTCTTCTCTCTCTCCTCCTTCTTTGTCGCACGGTATCTCTCTGTCTCTTCTCCTCTCTCTCTCTCTCCACCAAAATTGATTGGGTTTGTGCCTCACATCTTTTTCTTTTGTTAATTTCAATTTGGGGATTAGGGTTTATGATTTTTTGATTTTAATTTCAAATTTTTTTTTTCAAATCTTAAAAATAGTTTGGAGTTCAATACCAAACAAGTTTTTAGATATGAAAATCACTATTTGAAAACTCATGTTTTTAAAAAGAATCATAGTTTTTCAGTTTACTTTTTTGAGTAGGATACTAAACAGCTTAAACTTAGTATTTCATATATAGGACATCGCTTGATTTTTTTATAGGGTACTACTATTTATATCATATTTACGAATCACATTATTGACTATCTCTCTAAGAGCAACTCCAGCGCTCACCCAAACCTGGGCAAAAGGCCCCCCCTGGCAGCCCAACCTCCCTCCAGCGCGCAGAAAAGAGCTCGGGCAATGGCTGGGTCCCACCAGCCCGGGCAGGCCCAAGGGCAACTTTCACCTGGGCTTCAGCCTGAGGGCGCTGATGTCAGCGCTGGTGTTATGCTGACATCAGCGAGCAAAAAAAAATTCTAAAAAATTATAAAAAATTCAATTTTTTTAAAAAAAAAATACCAAAAAATTATGGATATTTTCCCTATAAATACATAACAATTTTATTCACTTTCTCTATAAATACATAACAATTTTATATTTTGTTGCATATATATATTTTTTTCTTGCCCTTGACTTGCCTTAGACTTTGCCCTCATTGGTGGAACCACAAATGCAAAGGCTGACACTATTTACTTGAATAGTTGCAGCCCTTGCTTGCCCTTGCCTTAGACTTAGCCCTTGTGGGTGGAGATGCTCTAATGCATGTGGATTCCACTTTCATTGCTAGGGCCCACTTATATAAAACTGGTGGTCAGCATTAATGTTTTTTATATGTACGGAGTTATTCTTCTAAATATGTAAAAAGTCATTACAAATTAGAGGATTCATGACTATGATTTGTATACAAAGGAAAATGGTTCCTGACATGTAATGAAGGAACCAAGTACGATTTGCTCGACAAGATGATACAGCGCACGCACACCATGTGAAATGCCTTGAGTTTTTGAGTTCGTCAATTATTGTTAAGTTGATGCGGCAGACAGAAGCCTGCGAGAGAATCAGTGGGGGGATAACGGAAAGGACTTAAATACCCTTTTATATGAGTTTTTATTTTATTTTATTATATATATATAATTTTTATACTTTTTTATTTTATCAAGAATCAAATATTTTTATTAAAAGCGAACACGAACATTAGCATCTCCAGTTAAGATATTAAACAACCAATCTGGAGGTACAAAATCCCAATAGTAACTACCACCTACCCTACACACAAAAGTTGCAACCTCATGAGCAGCTTGTTGCACTGCTAGGTGCAAAAATAAAAATTACTTAAGGAATTTTCAAATTGTAGTCTAGATGTCGAAGAGAATACTATCTACCTCCACAACCACCGCCCTCGCCTCCTTCACTATTTTGATGGCAACTTGGGAATCAGACTCCACCATATGATGACTGGTGACTAATTCACATGTGACGCACGTGAATGCAATTGTTCATGGTATATGTCCAGAATGAGTGCATGATCGCGGACTGGGAGACTGGGGGAATAAAACCAAATTGACAATAAAAAATGGTTTAGGGTTGCCACGTAAGATGTCTTTAATTTTTTGACACGTGAATGTCTATGTATAAGGAAACGTTCAGGCTCACGTAACATTGCATGGCCTGTAGCCACTCTAATATAAGGGCGGTTCCAACCTTAATTCCGCCGTTACGTAAACGTAACTACGTTGACCGTCAGAAGATTCCGTATGGACCAAGTATTTCGACCAAAAACAAAAAAGGACAACCAAGCATGGGCACGACTATTTAGTCCAATCCATCGTTTTATTAGTGGCTTTTTGAGAGCAAGGCCCAATTACTTAATGGGCCAAATGTATAAAGAATTCTTGGAGCCCAATGGCGGCTATGAACATCTTCTAGGGCTCAGTCCGATTGGACACCGAGTCTCTCGCTTCTCTCTCCCACAAAAATCACAGAGACTTGAAGCTGTGCGATCTCTCTCTCTCTCTCTCTCTCTCTCTCTCTGAGCGACCATGCTTTCAGGGGACATACCGCCTAACCAAACAATATACATTAAGAACCTCAACGAGAAAATCAAAAAAGAAGGTAACTCAATCTATGCTCTATCTCTTCTTCCCTTTGTTTGACTACCGAGAAACTTGAGGTAACTGTAAAAAAACAAAATGCCGAATCTCTTACTTGTTTTAATTAACTCACCATAGTAATGTCTAGTCTGCAAAATTAATCGCAATTGAATCGATTATAGTGTATTTTCTTTTGTTTATTTTTTAACTTCTCTTAGCGCAAGTTGAGGTTTAGGGTTTTAGTTTGAATTGGCGAGTGCAACCACAGCAGATAGGGCATGGTGAATTTAGTGAAAATTCGGTATGGTAGTTGATTCAGAAACTATAATGGTGAATCTTCGTGCAAGTGTTGAAAGGACTATTGTTGGTTGTATATTGAATTGGGTACTTGAACTTACTCATTTGAAACCTAGGTAGTAGTTGAATTTCATGAATTATAACCGGATACTAAGGTTGCATTGCAGTTGTGAAATTAAAAGGATGGGTTTTGATTTAACGATTTAGTTTACATGATTTGCATAAAATGCTAACAATGTGGAGAAAATAAAATTCTGATACTTACTGTTGTAAATCAAGAACAAAACACTATATGTATGTCTTGAGTATTTGAACTTTATCCCATTTCAAACAATCAAGTTCATGTGGGGAGTTCATTACTTTTATTTTAATGGTTATAAAGTCTCATTAAACAATTTAAATGAGGAATCAATTCAAAATCTCATCTTCTGAATCCACACACCAAATGCAACATTAGAGAGTTTTGTGGTTGTTAAGTGATTCTGGTTTACTTGGGTGCTTGTTGGATCATAAAATTGAGAAAGTGACACTGTAGAGGCAAGATGGTAACCACAATTTTCTGCTTTAGTGGTCTTGACATCTTACTTCCTTTTTTGAAGTCGACTTTTGAATTGTCTAGCATAACAAGATATTAATCTTACTTTTAGGACTTTTATATGTTAATAGTGGCATTCTTTTTGCTTCCTTTGCAGAATTGAAGAGGTCCTTGTATTGCTTATTCTCGCAATATGGAAAGATTTTGGATGTTGTAGCTTTGAAGACACCCAAGCTTCGTGGGCAAGCATGGGTTGCATTTCTAGAAGTGACTTCTGCCAGTAATGCTGTGCGTCAGATGCAAAACTTCCCATTTTATGATAAACCCATGGTAGGTCTGAATAAGCCCTGTTGGTAGCTTATTGCATGTATGTGGGACATGTTTGCTAAGATTTCAACTTTCTGGAACCATGTAAAGCTTTCCTCCTAATCTGTATTCTTCTGTTAGGTCGCAGATTCTAATTCTATACTCTTATGTTTGTGTGTATCTCTGAGCTGTCTATGTTTTTGTAAAGTTTGGGCTTCATGACCATATCTGGCATGCTTAGCCTTCCTTTTCTCTTCTTTAATTAGTTTATGATGTAGGCATTGCATCCCTTGAAAGATGTAGTTACCAATACCTGGAAGTTTGTTTTGAAAGAGAAATCTATTTGTGGAATAAAGATGCATTCACTGTAAATGTTACACTACACTCTGCTCTTTAGTTGTTTTGTTTTTCTCAAAGGATGATGTTTGATTATAATATTGTGATGTTCCATTAAATTTTCTTTTTCTAAAATGTAAGGATGATCATAATTTTTTTTGGTGCAGCGGATTCAATATGCAAAAACAAAGTCAGATTGCATAGCTGATGCAGACGGAAGCTTAGGTCCAAAAGAAAAGAAAAAGAAGCAGGATGATAAAGGTGACTGAAATTACTTAGATATTTTGAATAATCTTGAATTTTTTAATTGAATATTTGATGTATTTCATTAAAATTAGTTATGAAATGCATGGACCATTGTTATAGCATAAGAATATAAAGATTACAATGAATAAATGACTGGTGTGTTCCTAAGAATGTTGAGAATACATTGCTTCTACTTGAACCAATAGAGCTTAAGACTGCTAAGAATTCTGACGGATTTTGCATATGAGTTTGGTGAGTGGGTGCTAATATTACAAAATAGCTTGCCATTCTGAGTATTGAAGTACGGCCATTGTTTGTTTGGCCATATGTGTAGAAAAATTTGATTAAATGCATTTGACTCCTGTAGGTCTCTCTGCCCTGCTATGTGCAAGAGCATCAATGTATTATTTAAGACATTCCTTTTTTCTTTGACTTGGGAAAATTTAAATGACACTTGATCGACCTGGTCTAATAAAGTAAAGGGTTGTTTAGGTAGGCTATATTTACAAGGTGGCTGATAGATAATACTAAATTTTTTAGTTTATATTGAAAAAAATGTTTGCTCAAATTAGATTCTTATAATATCTTATGCGAGTCGTGTTTTGAAATCAATCTGTTGATTCAGCTGAAAGAAAGAAGCGAGGTGATGAAGGGCAGCAATCTGCTACGGAAAATGGTGCAACTGCTGAAAATGGAGGCAGAACAGTAAGTGTTTCTAACACTATTATGCAGTGCCATTTGATCATCTTCTTTTTCAACTCTCACACTGAATGATGGGCTCTTTTTTGCTTACACTTTGAGTGTGAAAAATTAAATTTTATATACAAAGTGCTAATTGATTCATGTAAATTGTATGTGTATCATCAGCAGGCCTCATCTCGGCAAGGCAACCCAAATGCACATGAAGCAGCAGCTCCAAACAGCATTCTGTTCATTGAGAATTTGCCCCACGAAACCACTAGTGCTATGCTGGAATTGCTGTTCAAACAATACCCAGGATTTAGGGAAGTCCGGTTGATTGAAGCAAAGCCAGGCATCGCCTTTGTAGAGTTTGAAGATGACATTCACTCATCAATGGCCATGACTGCCCTTCAAGGCTTCAGAATCACTCCTCAAAACTCCATGGCCATCTCTTTTGCCAAGAAGTAACCGAAATAAACTCACCTTCCTATCTTTTGTAGTCAAGTGTTGTTTGGTTTCTTTCGTTGTGTTGCGGATATGTAATAGTCAAAGCGTATAATCTTACTGTACTCTTGTTGATCCTCAAGAAACTGAATGCAGAATCAATTTATCATGTGTTTGGATTCATATGAAAAATGACAAATGAGCAGAGACGCAATCAAACTCTTGAACCCAAATCCGGGTGATCTTCAGTACAAATTTGCGTCTAATGCAACCACAATCCAACCCTAGTAGAGAAAATATCACTATATCCTGATAGAGATTGGTGATTCCGTTAAATATAGAGAACGGTGAACCCGTTGATTTAACCGGCAAAAATCCCCCAAATAGATGAAAAATTGGGTTGTGTTGATGTTCTCCATTCAATAAGAAAGACAGAGCCACTTGAAGCTGAGATCACGCATCATACTCCGCCAGTTCAACAGCTATGAACAAATTCCACTTGCATTTTTCTTTCTGGAGCGTCAGTTGCATGTGACGTTATGGGAGCGTGAAATGTGTCCTGTTAAGTACCATGTGCACTTCAACCTGTCCTGTCCTGTCCTGTCCTGTCCTCCCTCCCTCCCTCCCTCATTTGTTACTTCCCCAGATAAGAATGAAAAGAAGTCTGCCCTGCTGCCCTGCCCCACCTATTATTTGCAACCGACGGTCTATATTTCGTAGAATCGTAGTACCAACTATGACCCCAGCCATTCCTTTCTCTCCACATGTTTGAGAATGCTTCCTATAGATATAACAGCACTTTTGTTCATAAAAGCGCTTTTATTAGAAGATCGTAAATTTTTTTACTGAAAATCCAACGAACTGCTAGTACGCACTTCTCCTTAAAATGCTTTTGTGACTCAAAATCATTTTTCTGTCATATAATATCAGAAGCACTTTTGGTTGTTAAGAAATACTTTTGGGATTCGTTTGTGAGTGATTTTAGATAGACTAATAATCATTTATGCTTCTCCTCATAAGTGATTTTAGCCCTTTCTTTTCATAATCAATTCTAAACATATCCTAAATCCTTTCAAAACACTCAAAAAAGAGAAAATTATTAGAACATGTATATTGCGTTTTTCTAAAAGCTGATTATTCGTAACGAAATTGTAGGCCAAGTGGTTAAAAACATTTACTTATACATATGAGATCCTAAGTTTAATTTCCCCTTTTCACTATCTCTTGTAGAGAAACAAGAACTTGCTGATTATTCAATAGTGCCTCGAGGTTACTAGTGTAATTTCGCAGGCAGCTCTTCTTCCCACTCTCTCTCCAAATCCACCGTTTTTCTGTTATACAGTTAGTTACCTCTACCTCAAACTCTTCTAAACTTGGGACGCCAGACCAGAGCCACCATATCCATGAAAAAGCTCAACAACAGCAGCAACATGACCAACCTATTTGATTTCTTCACCGATGAGATCATCCACACCATCCTCGACCATCTAAACGACGACCCATTTGCCAAAAAGTCCTTCTCTTTGGTCTGCAAGTCCTTCTACTTCATCGAGCGTCTTCACCGCAAATCCCTCAAGCCCCTTCGCTCTGAGCTCCTATGTAGAACCCTCCATCGCTACCCTTCAATTTCTCACCTCGACCTATCTCTCTGTCCACGTGTCGACGATCCATCACTCACCTCACTCTCTGTTTCATGGAAATCGACGCTCCGTTCGATCAATCTCTCGCGCTCCAGAGACTTTACCAGCATTGGGTTGCTGCGATTGGCTACCAACTGCTCTTCTCTGGTCGAGATTGACTTGTCCAACGGCACTGAGTTGACTGACTCGGCGGCCAAAGCGATCGCAGAGGCTAAGAACTTGGAGAGGCTGATTTTGGCGAGGTGTAAATTGATTACGGATATTGGGATTGGGTGTGTGGCTGTTGGGTGTAAGAAGCTGAGATTGCTTTGCTTGAGGTGGTGCTTACGTGTCACTGATTTGGGTGTTGGGTTGATCGCTATGAAATGCAAGGACCTTCGGAGTTTGGATCTCTCTTGTTTGCCGGTAGGTTTTTCTTTGTCTCTATCTCTCTCTGCATTTTTCTGGGAGCTATTTTCATTTGCATTTGATGATGTTTATAGCTCCATTGAGCTAGTGATTGACTAAAAATTAGTTATTATTGAACAGTTTAAAAAAAAGAAAAAGTCTTGTGCTTTCCTACATTTTCCAAGCATTTTGGGATTTATGTCTGTTGAATGCTGATTGACCAGACTTCAGTTAGGTAAATTTGATTTTAATGTTGTTTTTACTGCAATTTTTCACTTTCAACTCTGGTCAATATGCCTACCCAAATGATATGGTGTTGAAGCTCAAGTTTGGGATTTGGTGATCTGAACTGTGCTGTTCTTCTAGGTGTTGATGTTAAGTTATTGTTTTTCTGGTTTGGTGCATTGGTTCTGTTCACTATGGTGTATTTTTTAAATATTTATTTATAGCTTGGTGGGATGTAAAGGGTTTTGCTTTCTTGTATCAGCTTGCACTTTCATTATCAGATTCATAATATGGTTTTCCTGAAAAGTCATCTCAGATGCTTTATGTAATATAAGAAACGTTATCCCAACCTACAATGTTATTACAATTTTTATGTAGGTCTCGTGACATATTTCTTCCATTCCTTGAGATTAACTTTATATGTTTCTTCAATGATATTCCACAGAGTGCATGATTCTTTAAAGGAGTAAAGTTTTCTTGGTGGATCATTAATAACAAAAAGTTGTTAGTAGTGAAAGGCCAACTGTAGATACTTTTCGTCAACATTGTTGGCTATGCTGTCTAATTATTATGACCACTGTCTTGTTGGTGAATTTGATTTGTTGGTGTAGGGTGACATATTTGACCCATGTAAGCATGAATAAAACTAGGTCGAAATGCATTTCACATGTTCCAAACCTCTTTCTGGTTCCATTTTACCTTTTTTTTTATCGACTTGAAATTACATCTATGCTTTTCTCTGTAGATCACAGAAAAATGTCTCCCACATATCCTGCAATTACAACATCTTGAAGATTTAATTCTTGAAGGATGCCTTGGAATTGATGATGAAGGCCTTGTGACCCTTAAGCATAGTTGCAAGTCCCTCAAGGTACATTTCATTTGCTTGCTGATGTTTTACATAAGTTTCCATAACTTTAAGACACTTATTTTTAGCAATATACAAGGGTTTTACTTGACAAAAGGGAATCATATTTTTCCACCATGCCCAATTTTCTCAGACTTGATGGTGAATGCCCATTTCATAAAACTCTTCTATTTTATCACAATTCTATCAGAAATCATAAGAGCCACATTCCAATTATCTCCACTGATTATTCACTAATTCAGAAATCTTAGCTGACGCTGGCTCATTTCAACCGTATGTGTATACACTCTTTACTAATTTCCTCTTCTGCAGATGCTTAATTTGTCAAAATGTCAGAATGTTAGCCATGTGGGTTTGTCTTCTCTGACAAATGGTGCTGAACACCTGAAGCAGCTTGTCTTAGCATATGGTCCTTCAGTGAGTCTGAAACCCTGTATGGTAATAACCCAAGTAATGAACTCTATGCTTACACTCTTTTCTGACATTTTTAATCTTGTTTTAGGTCACCACTGACCTAGGAAAATGCCTACTTAATTATTTGAGGTTGAAATCGATTAGCTTAGATGGCTGTTTAGTTACATGTTCTGGGACAAAAGCCATTGGAAGTTGGTGTGCCTCACTGAGAGAGCTGAGCTTAAGTAAGTGCTTGGGAGTTACAGATGAGTGTGTCTCCTTCCTTGTGCAAGCCCATAGAGAGTTGCAGAAATTAGACATCACCTGCTGTCGCAAAATAACTTCTGCCTCTATAGATTGCATAACAAAATCATGCACCTTCCTCACTTCCCTCAGGATGGAATCGTGTAGCCTGGTTTCTGAAGATGCTTTTCTGTTGATTGGACAGCGTTGCCAATTCTTGGAGGAATTGGATGTCACAGATAACGAAATCAACAATGAAGGTTTACCTTGAATCTAACCTCTCCTTTGTGTAACTTACCTAACTTTTCTTTTCCCATGTAATCTTCTATCTGTTAATAATTGGTACTCCTTCATTTGTTTAGGCTTAAAGTCTATCTCAAGATGTTCCAAACTTTGTAGTCTAAAACTGGGGATTTGCTTGAACATTACTGATGATGGACTTACCCACATTGGAAGTGGCTGTCCAAAGCTTAAGGAGCTTGATTTGTACAGGTTGGTCGCTTTAGAGATCTCTAGATATTCTGTTCATTTCTTTTACATCTGAATCAATTGACTGCTACATGTATGGGGTGTTCTATCATTTGGTGAATTCAATGATCACTTGGCAGTATATTGTTTAAAGAACCTAGAAATTACATTCCTGTATGTAGAAAAAGAAAGGTAGGGGGTGGAGGATGGCTTTGCATTGATAATTTCTGAGACAAGATAGTGTATAATGATATACTTTAAAGAAAAGGAAACTGGATCTCATGCTGGCCTCATTATCAAATCTCTATTTCCCACCTCCAATTGCGCAAGTTGCTCCAGATCTACATATCACCAGTATTGGGTGGAAATTACATTTGTTTAGTAGTTTCTCCCAAATTACTTTGGCATCTGCTGCTAAGTTCTCTGAAAGATTAATGCTACATCAAACCTTATTGTACCTGTTATAACTTTCACCTCTGATAACAATCTTTTTGGGTTTTCTTTCCTCTCTTTTTTCCCTTCAGGTGCTTGGGAATAACTGATGTGGGCATTGCGAAAATTGCTTGCGGATGTCCTACTATGGAGATGATTAACATTGCTTATAATGATAAAATTACAGATTCTTCATTAATATCATTGTCACAGTGTTTGAGGTTAAAGATACTTGAAATTAGAGGATGTCCTAGTGTCTCAACAGTGGGTCTTTCAGCTATTGCTGGGTCATGTAGGCAACTTGAAGTTCTGGACATAAAAAAGTGCTTCAACATCAATGATAATGGAATGCTTGCACTTGGTCAATCTTGCCAAAACCTCAGACAGGTAATTTCTCTTTCCACTCTCCGTCTGGATCATTAAAGTTGATGCCAAACTAAGACCAGGGGTTCATTTCTTCATGTGGCAGATAAACTTGTCATATTGTTCAGTTACGGATGTTGGGCTCTTATCTCTTGCCAGTACCAACCGCCTGCAGAACATGACTATTTTGCATTTGACGGGATTGACCCCAAACGGCCTTGCAGCTGCCCTATTGGCATGTGGAGGCCTAACAAAAGTCAAGCTTCACACATCCTTGAAACCATTGCTTCCAAAATATATCTTTGGGTACATGGAAGGCCGTGGTTGTGTGTTTCATTGGAGAGACAAAGCATTCCAGGTACTTTAATTCTTTCCATCCAGGGTATGCATTGAATAAAGATGACATATATAAGAACAATGGAAGTGAAAACAAGTCTGGTCATAATTTTAGAAATCTTTCCTCTGACAATTTTTTCCTCATATCGATTTCCTTATACTTCCCTTCCTACTTTGGTTATTATCAATGATGGTTAAATGATAGGTGAAAGCATGCAATCAGCTGAAGTCATTGATGCATTGATTCCTTAGTAATTATCAAGTGTCTTGTGTTGGACGTGATATAATAACTGAGCTTGCCAGAGAATCATGATTGATAGGCAGTAGATCACCTGGAAGATCGTAGGGATTTCCTTTACGCCAATTTGTTAAACTGTTGTTTTATGTCTTGTTTTCAGGAGAAAATAGATCCAAACGGGTGGCAACTGCATGCTGGAAGGTCTCCTGAAGCTGCATAGATTGGGAAGAAAAAGTGAAAACCGGACGTGTATAGTGCTTATAACAATGAGTCAATGACCATTAACGACATAATCAAGACGCTTCCAATTTGTTCAATTCTCCCAATACCCCAAAACAGGTACTAGCATTCCTCTGTTGTTGTTTGGCACGTTGAAGGGGTGCTGCAAAAATACAAGTATATGTGTATTTGTTTTGTTCAATTAGAGATGCTGGCTTCATGCTGTAACCTGCATGAACCGACCGCCTTTAAACTTGACTATATCTTGCATTTGTTATTCTTTCCAATTCTGCTGCATATCAAACATAGAACATTATCTAGCTAATCTAGTCTTATGTTAGACCCAACAAGACACCATTAGTTTTATTTTATTAATCCAATCTTGCATGCAAGACAAGAGAAGGTCGATACTGGATATAACTTGGCAGACTGTTTCAGTCTGCTGGGTACACATGAGCAGGCAAACGAGGCTTTGCAAGTGCAAGCGGAGGCTTAGTGAGGCTGAGTTCATCCTTTTACTCGGTGAGGTCAATTCTGGACTCAGTGGGTGGTACATTCCAACTAAACCCATGAAGAAGCCTAGCAAATAACATGAGAGTCTTTGAAGTGCCAAGTGCAGTCGTTGCGCATCCACACATTCCAGTGCTGAATGATATGAAGCACAGCTGTGTCTCTGTGAGCAAGACCGCAGATGATCATCTTCCTTGAGATGGCGCTCAGGCATAAACTTGAGAGGTTCATCCCAGAATTTAGTGTTGCGGCCAAGTCATGGGTGGCTAAGCAGCACATGGCTTCCCTTGGGGATGAAGTAATTGGCAACTGTTGTGTTGGAGAATGGATACGTGGGGGACATTAAAGGGTGCAATGGGGTGGAGGCGAAAGGCCTCTCTAGCACGAGCCTTGACATAGTTGAGCTGTGTGTGACAAATCTGACTCTTGGACTAGCCTTTCCCTGCCAACCACCATCCAATTCTTGTGTTGCAAAATATTTCTGTTAAATTCATTTACGTATATGATAAAGAAAAAAAGAAAAGAAATTCAAGCACACGTAATAATTAGCGAGATATAACGGGACATCTGCATTGGAGATTAAATTATATGCACATGAACGTTACACTAATATCTCAAATATATATCTGAGAATTCGGTACTAATTAGGTTTTATTTGACCTATATTGAAAATCAAACTCTACAAGAAAACAATGCTCCATTTGGATGGAGGGATTTCAAAGAAGGGATTTGGATTTGAGAATAAAGCTAAATTTGCTACAAAAACAAGAACCACATTAGATTGAAGGTATTTAGAATGACTAGATGTGGTATATTTGAAATAGATTTGAAATGACTACATGCTAGGAATCATTTGAAATTCATTTATCTTATTCCTTCATTTCTTGTCCAAAACTTGGCATACATGAATTGTACTAGTCTAAACAAACAAGTTTATACATTATAATGTCATCTCAATCAATGGATTTGAAATCATTCCATCCACATGGAGCCTAAGGCTTTAGGAGTGATAAAAAATAAAAAAAAAATCGTAAAGAAACGAAAATGAGATTCATCGTATGTGACATTAGAAAAACTTCCATCACAGATTCTCGCTTTATGTGATAAATTTTGAGGCAAAAGACCCTGTTTTCTAGAGAGAGAGAGAGAGAGAGAGAGAGAGAGAGAGAGGGAGTCACCGTTACTTGATCTTTGATTTCTTCTAGTGACAGTAGTGGTTCCCCAGAACTGGCATCTTTCAATGAGACTAGAATGTCAAGCGAGTCCTCTGGGTCCTTTTTCCCATAACCAGCTTTCTCTTGTTGAACCCTCTCTTCAATCAGAGGGTCATGGTATTTCCTTGTAAATGGCCTCCTTTTTTATCTTCTAATGGCCACCCAGGTCAAGCCCTCTCGGCATGTAATCTGATGCACACAATGAATAGATGTATTTGAGCAGAGTGGAAATGCTAACAGGCCGGCATAAGTTGCATCTTGTTTCTTGAAGAACTTGCGGCTGGGTTTCGGGCAAGTGAGGGGGAATACATGAACATTTCCAAGGCGGAAGCATGCGATTTCAGTGTTCATCTCGTCCATGAGCTTGTGCATCCACCAGAACAGGGTCTTGTTCATGAGCATTTCGAGGAGGTTGCCAACAATAGGCCAAGGCTTTAGGCACCTGGGACTGGGAGGAAGTGGGTAGTGTTGCTTGAACTTGTGAAGGCGTGGATTGTCTGATCAAACATGTGAAGGCGATTGTAATGAGAAGAAGCAAGAAGGGGAGGCAGAATAGCTTCGAGGGAAATAAGGCAATGGCAACCATGACTGACTGTGGTTTAGAGAACAAAGCTGATCACCCAAGTTTTTCTCAGACTTGTATAGAAACCCTACTAGTGACTGGCAAGTAGTAACCTTTGGTTTTTTTGGTAACCACTACCCAATTCAGTCAAGATTTTTTTTTACCACTTCCTTTAGTTACGGTACATACAGTTACTGTCTAAGCGTCAGTTGAGGTTGACTATTTGGTTTTTTCATGATAAAAAAACATGTATGTTAATAATTTAGATGACCATACATCTTTTCACGTGATCAGTCCAAAGTTCTTATTATTTTGTTACTGCTAGCTAGAGAGGTTTTGTAAGGTATCCGATGGCTTTGTACGAACCTTAAAACTTCCTCTGGGCTATTTTTATCTAATCATGCACTTTAATTAAGCTCTTTTATCTTTTTGAGATACAAGCGATATTGGAGGACGAAACATAACCTCATGTACAAAGGTAAAATCTTCAAGATGCATATGGGTCATTATAAAAAAAAAATAAAAAAAATTTCGTATTAGATGGTCATATAGACCTCGTACTTGCAACTTGCTTTTACCAATAATCACGTGTACAAGCGATGCATGAATTGTTACAGATACACTCAAATTGTAATACATACATATGTTTAGTGCTAAAAGTTGTGTTTTAGTTTAGCACATTCATAGCAATGTATCGGTACCGAAGGTTATCTTTCTCTCGCATTTTCTTTTCTTATATTCCTTTTGTCTTTGAACTTTTCTTGTTCTCTTAAAATATTAATGTAGGCCGGCTAGCTCTTCCGAGTAATAGAACATTTATTAGTTAAAGGGGAACAGAACTGCAATAATAATCGATATTTGTTTTAAATTTGTCAAATTGTAAGTCTAATTATGATGAAGACTTTTAATGCGTTATCATTTTTTTTTGGACACCGTGATATTGAGAGATAGAAGATTCAACAGTCATAGCCGGTCCATTAGATATGGAGGCCCTGTGTGAAGAAAGCTGATGAGGCCCTATATGTATAAGTAAAACAACAATTTTTCAAATTTTAAAATTCATAAATCATAAATTAAACCGAAATATGTGGCATCAATTATATTAGAACCCACAAATAGAATCAAGATCATCCTTCATCTATTTTCACATACTCACATCCATTCAATTTTCTTTTACATACAAAAAATCTACACATACCCACAAATATAATATAATGTTGAGCTTTTAAAAACATTTGGAGGCCCCTAAATTTTAGGGGCCCTGTGCGGCCGCACATCCCGCAAATGCCATGGGCCGACCCTGGCAACAGTGAGGCTCTTCGTAAAAAATGGAGCCAAGGTAGCCATTGCAGATATTGAGGATACAAGTGGTACTATTTTAGCGAACGAATTGTACACTTCAGCGATATATGTACATTGCGATGTAAGCTTAGAAGACGACATCAAAAACTTGATCAACCAAACCATCTCCCATTATGGCCGATTAGACATTCTCTTCAACAATGCCGGAGTCCTTGGAAATCAATCGAAAAACAAGAGCATCACCAACTTTGATGCCCGTGAATTTGATCACATTATGCGTGTCAATACTAGAGGAGCTGCCTTGGGGATGAAGCATGCAGCTAGTCATGGTGCCTAGAAGAAGTGGGTGCATCATATCCACAGATAGTGTAGCCGGTGCCATGGGAGGCCTTGGACCTCATGCTTATACAGCCTCAAAGCATGCCATTGTAGGTCTAACAAAGAACACGGCTTCTGAGCTTGGTCAATATGGGATTCGAGTTAATTGTATTTCTCCTTTTGCGGTAGCTACTTCCATGCTAATCGATGCTTGGAGCGGTCACGAGGAAGATGGCGAAGGCATGGATTTTGGATCGTCACCTTGTGAGGAAGATGTGGAAAAGATAGAAGAGCTTGTGAAAGGACTGGCCAATCTAAAAGGTGCAACTCTAAAAGCTAAAGATATAGCCGAGGCTGCTCTTTTTCTTGCAAGTGATGAATCAAAGTATGTGAGTGGGCATAACCTGGTTGTAGATGGTGGTTATTCTACTACCTCAAAGAATTGCGTGGGTTTGTAAAGATCGATCAATTGGATATGTTCGATTGAAATTTTTAAGTAAATGCTTGAAATTTATATGATATTACAAGAAAGTAACAATTGAAGCTTACATGCCTTGAATTTTTAATGTTAAGTGTCCTTGCCTTTGTATAGATTCATGTCTTTATAGTCTATGTTATGCTACATTCGCTTGGTTGTCTCTTTACTTTCTCTTCATGGCCTCATGCCATGGTGCCACTCTTCTCTAACGGACGTGGTACACGTGTTATAATATCAGTGGATATTTATTGAACTATTCCCTAAAAAGAAGGAAAATAAACCACGTCATCCACTCATATTATAACACGTGTACAAAATGTACCATGTGGCCATATTACCTTAGTATTCTATAATTTCTCCAAGCATTATTTTATTTATTGTAACCGATCACTACAACATTATTAAAATAAACCGAAAGTTAAATTTATTTATGAAGAAAGTAAATAAATTGACATGACACATCTCTCTAATGTTTTCACTTAAAGTCATGAGAAATGAGCTTAGGGACATAAATGATTACGTTTGTGAACACTAGTTTTGCTTCAAGGTGTTAACTGCACAGCTAATAACTGTGATCAATTTTGCATCAGTTTTGACCTAACATGGATGATGCATTTGCATATTGTTTGTTCCTTTCCTTTCGTTTTCTTCTAAATACACGTGATTCGTTTAGGGCCAGCTAAAATATATAATAAAAAAAAACATAAACGCTTTTACAAATAATGTATAGAAAATTTCCCGCCTTTGATCCCACCTAATTTCGAACGTGAATTATTTCTTTTAATTATATTTGCTTTCATACTAGCATTCTTGGCTTTCCCGAAGGGTTGTTTATTAAATTAATTAATTAAACTTTTCATCTATTGCAACTCAATTTTGAGCTTTGTTTGTATTTGGCACCGGATACCTCCCCAGATTAGCATATTCTTTAGTAATATAATTAGATAAAACTACTAATTTAAGGACCTCATGCACATCTTGTTTATAGATAAATGTTAACGTTAGCGAATTAGCTGATTGACTATAATCGTTGATTAGTGTAAGACTCACAATTAGCCGGCGATACCAATTACTGATTCAAACTCATCGGCGTATCTGACTGATTGAGCTAGTTATATAATCTATATATATAAAGCAAAATGCAGAGAATGGTGAAACATTCAAAATACCAGAAAATTCCCTTGGTTAATGCAAACATTAAGAATTGAAATTATTAATTAAATTAAGATAATATGGTAAATTCACATTTTTTAATATTAAAAAAATTTAAAATTAAAAACAAAATCAGATAATAGGTCATACTTTTATGGAATATAACTACCCATGATATCTTTTCTTAATTTTTAAAAAATAAAACAAAAAACCAAAAAAAAAACCAATTGGCACATGCGCATGAGCCAAGGGGCTAGTGTATATATATATATTTGGAAATATCAAGACTATTGGATCTCCAGGTCATGAAAATAAACATTTTGATTTCAAATTTTATTTGAATAGCTGGGCCATAGTGTAAGTTGTACCGAAACCCTCCAAGTGCCCACCCCAGCTGCTCCTATATATAAATATGTCCCATGCACTCCTTCAAGTTACACCACCAACCAAAATATATAACAAACACTAAACTTCAACTTTTAGCTAGCAATAGCCTTCCCTAGTTCGTCCTGAAATTCTTGAAAATGGGGATTGATCAGGATGAAATCTCCACGGAAACCACGACTCTCGGGGAATTATTAGTGGCGGAAAACATCGGATCCCAGCACAGAAAAGTTGTCAAGGCGCTCTACAAGGCCTTGGCACGTAAAGACACTAGTACCACCTCAGAGCTCGTGGCTCCGGATCTTGAGTGGTGGTTCCATGGGCCGCGGCATTGCCAGCACATGATGAGGACACTGACCGGAGAATTGAGACACGTAGAGTTCAAGTTCAGGCCTCGGAGCATCACGCCTGTTGGTGACCGAGTGGTGGCGGAGGGATGGGAAGGATCGAAGGCGTACTGGGCGCATGTATGGAGCGTCAAGGAAGGGATGATCACTCAGTTGCGTGAGTATTTCAACACGTGGGTGACGGTGATTGTTGGGAATTCAGAAGTTGAGGATGAGATGATGAAGCTGTGGCAGAGTGATCCTAGGGAGCGGTCTCAACGCTCATTGCCAGATATTGTACTAGCGATATGATCATATATAATAATCGTTTTAGAAAATTTGAGATTTTCTCTTCAAACTCAAATTTCTCTTACCTTTGGCTATGATACTTTTTTAGTTAAAAGCGCGGGGACTAGAATCCAACTAAGCAAATTTCCTAATCAAACTTGATGTTAGTTTAGGAGTTCTCTTTCAAAAAATCCTGCAGCCAATTATTTCCTTCTTCCTTCTATCTTTTGTTGTTTCTTTTAAACATATATCTTCATACTTTGTAAGCACTCTACGGTGCTTGTTAATAAGTTGGTGGCGGCAAGATTGAAGGAGGAGGTGGAAAGTCTAGGCAAGAGGTGGAGAGTCTGTAGAAGGAGATGGTTGTTGTTGGTGACGAACTTAGATTGCTCTGTTATCAATCTATATCCCAGCTAGAGAATTGAATCCCAGCCATAAAGAGGAGGTGGAAGACATAGTAATAGGCTTTAATCATGATTTTTTCACCTAAAAATAGTTGGAGTTTGAGAAGGATTTTTCATGAGTTTTAGCTCACTTTACAAGTAGAAAGAAAGAGAGGGAGAGAGGAAGAATTCTGAAAGAAAAAGGAAGAAAGAAAGTCGTTTTGAGCTTTGTAAAAGGAAGGCCTAAGATTAAGAGCTTTTATGGTTTTGGGTGTCCTTAGTAAATTCTTTAGTTTTCAATTTGAATTCCAATACTTTATATGTTTTGATCTGAAATTAGAACCTTCTCATATCATTTTTGTGCTTCCATGATTCTATTTGAACCTCTGTTTTATAAGAAAATCAATAGAATTTCAATTGCAAAATATTGTAGGTTTTTAGTGCAGATTTCAGATTTTTTTAACCTCTATTCCGACTCAATTTTATTTCATTACAAAGCTTCTTTTAGAAAAAATAATTCCACAACATTGAAGAAGGTTTCATAAGCTTCAAATCAAGTACTTATACGAAAATTTTCAAGGAGAGATTTGAGGGCTTAAAGTCAGATATGAACATGGCCTGTTAAATTGAGTAAAATTTTGGGCAAAGTTTCCTGCTCGTACATGTTAATTTAATTTGTGATTTCTTTCGTTCCAGAACTCGGTTTTTAACAAATTTTACATGGTTGTAAAGCTGATTCTTCAAGCTTTAAAATGACTATTTGTTGTGAATAATCTTGTTTAAATTACTTATTGTTGAAGCTTTACTAATTCTTTTACATTATTAGAATGTTTTACTTATGAAATTGAGATATGAATATTGACTATTATATAAAGCTTTTCATTATCACGATTTGCTTATCATTGATTTTTGGAGTAAAGGAGTTTGTTACATTTTTGGGTTATGAAAAAGGAAAATTGCTTTTGTATATAGTTCAGTCTCACCATTCACCCAAAAAAAAAAAAAAAAAAAAAAAAAAAAAAAAAAAAAAAGCAACAACAATCTCCATTTTGGCGACTACCTTTTTTGCTTTTCTTTTCTTGGAGACTAAAGGCCACCAAAAAAAGCAAAAAAGATGACTAAAAGCCTTTTTAGTCACCAAAAGGTAAAAAAAAAGGTGACTAATGCCTTTTGTCACGACCACAAATGTCACCAAATAATGGTAACTGTTGCCACTTTTTTTTACTAGTGATTGTAAGGATCAAATTCAGGCGAGCTCATGTACACAGTAAAATAGGAAATCGGCGGTATAATTGTTGAATGGGTGCTTCGGGCTTGGAGATCAATGGTTTAGGTACGACGGCTAGCAAAAGGGGATCATGGAATTGGGAATGTTACATGTGTTAGTTACGTAATGGGGCAAACAGTATCATATTGACAAAATGCATGGTATGAGACATGCAGATTTGCTTGCTTTATTATATAAATTAATGGGTTAGGTAGAATTGAAGTTCATTCATGCATATCATAATTTGTATTGTAAATCTTACTAATCACAAAAGATGTAGGGTCCCTACTAAGCTTTTAGTGCTCACCTCGTTTTACATCTCTTACAAGTTTTGAAATAGAGGTTTAGTTTGTGACCCAGAAACAAAAAGAACTGTTTAAATAGTTTTGGGCTTTTTGTGAAGAGAATGTTGTTCTCTTTTTATTTTAATTTCCTTGTAAAATTACGTTGTAAATTACTTTAATTTAAATGAAAGTTTCTGTTCCTTTTTTTTTTTATTGTCCCTTGTTGTTTAAATTTTAGTTTTTTCCTTTACCTCACAGTACTCTAATAATAATAATTTTAAAAAAAAAGAAAAAAAAAAGGGTGTGACATTGCCACTTGATCATATACATATCAATATCTGCAATGATTATGAAGTGACCGTCTCTAAAGTTATAGATCCTTGTTCTACTTTTGAAGAGGGCAATAACATACTAATTAAACTCACACACACTGCATGGACCTTTCTTGGAGTAATTGCTTCAAACTACTAGTGGTGGGTCTTTTGCATTTTTAGTGCATCAATTGAGAAAATGAATAGAATTTCAAAATCCCAATATAATATTATTAATGCACCCGCAAAAACAAAAATCCAATAAAAGTCGTCATACAAAAATATATATATATATGCACTGTCTAGGTATACTAGAAATATCATTAATTATCTCTTACCAAAACTAAGAGACACTATGATGGAATAAATAAAATTGAATCACATTTTCCTCCCTACAGATTATGTTGCACATAGTTCCATTCTTTTCGGGGTTTGGAATAGACAAGTACATCAATTCAATACAAAGTTGAGATATCCACGAAGACCAAAACTAAATAATAAAGTAGAAGAAAGGCCACAACACTTATTTTACAAACATAAATTAAGTCATACCATTCCACATATATATCTCTCTCTCACACACACACACACATATGTGCGTGCTCCCAAATATTCCCAAGCACGTATAATAACCAAGAACTAGACGGACAAGACAAGACCCACAAAACGCACATTATTCATCAGATAATTAAGCCAACGTTGTTGCATGCTAATTACTCATTGTTCTTGTGCTTTTTAAACTCTTTCTTAATCAAATATTAAAGAGCTTATTAGATCATAATTGTAGCATTTTGCTAGTTATAGTGCCAAAATGAGGCCAGGCACAGACTCATTATCCGCTAACTTACTTTGCCACACACTCTGGCAATTGCTTGACTGTGACCTAATTTCGGGTGACGATAACCGGGTGACTGTGACGGACGTGTTGTAGTATTCCCTGACCTGGGTAATTACCCCGTCCGTCACGGTCCATGCATGCACCCACGACACCGAACGACAATCGTCGAATCCTTCAACCAGCACCATTGACCCGAACGCGACGATGGAGAGCGGGACGAACTTGAATGACGGGTCGTATGGTGGCGCACCGGTGAGCAGGCGGTTCAAATGCTGGTGGGTTGGTGGGCCATGGAACCACCACTCGAGATAGGGTGCGAGGAGAAGGTGGACGACATCCACGTCGTTGGAGGTCAAGGCTTTGTAGAGAGCTGTCACTGTCGTTTTGTTTCGTGCTTCTTCTGCATCTTCTCCCTCCTGCAGACATGGCTGAAAGTTTGCCAGGTCTAGAGACTGGATCTGGAAGCTGTGCTTTTCACCTGGGAATGTTGGGTTTGAATTTTGAATAAGTTTGATGGGATTGGTGATTATATAGGGGCAAAAAAGCTGTTGAGTGGGAGTTGGACGGTTGCATTGCATGAAGTAAAATTGTGGAAAACGACGTAGGATTAATTGGGGCCTGCAAGGTCAAGCCACTAAACTCTCATTAATTGGAATTTCATCTGCATCCAAGTTCAAATCACCTCTCTAGTAGAGGTGGGTCTCACCAATGTATGTGAGACCCACCTATATTAGAGAGATAGTCAGCAATGTAATCAGTAAATGTGATCCAAATAGCAACACCCAAAAAATAAGTACCATTAAATTACGACTAGTTGATATCTCAATTCATTCCTTGAAGACCATAAAGATATTATTTATGCTTATTTTAGAATATACTCAAATAACAAAAATTTATGAAGTAAACACACTTAGATTTAGATTAATCAGCTTTTTGCCATAATGATTAATAGTCGGTTATGGATGTGAGACCGAAGGTCATAAAATGTACTTACTCATTCGTGATAATGATGGCTCTTATATCATTAGTAATTTAATTAAGATTTAACAGAGGTAACCAATAACCATCGATGACTACATAATACATATGGACCAACCAAAAATATTACTCTAAGTTCTAATCCACTATTTGTTCTCTGTCAATTTTCATGGTCTTCCACGTGTATATATATAGGGGTTTTTTTAAAAAAATATTTATTTTATTTTTAAAAGTAACTTAAATTTTAGGCCACACACTCGCAATCATTTTGAACACCCAAATTGCATTAGCAATAAAAAATGATAATAATTGCTGCATTTACCTGACAGTCACTAGTGGGTGTTTAATTACGTGATCAATTTAAATAATAATTCGCATGCAAACGAATACCTAACTTAATCTTCGTCCATTGGTGCCACACCAGTCATTCAGACAGCTATTTTCCTATTTAAATCCAACATTATCCATTGGAAATCCAGGTGTTCAAATTTGTTAAGTTTCACGTCAGCGAGAAATTTTTCAGTGTGACGGTTAATAAGCAACGTATAAAAATTTGAAGACGTGTCAGCCTGACTTCTGACGTGGATCACACAAATCTGTGACCCCATAAGGGTTTCTTATTGTCCATGCCACAAACACCACTATGACCAAAAATAAAATAAAAACCTTCACCGCCATGCATCATAACGCATGATCCTTCGCCGTTATTGGGCCCAAACATCCAAACCCAGACCAATTCAATTGGGCCCAAAATCCGACTATCAGGCCCGCTTCCAGCCCAAACACATATATTGCCCAAATTGTTTTGAAATTACAGATTTGCCCATCACCTGGTGCGGCTAATTTCCCGGTGGCGCCCAGCTTCACAGTTTCGCTTTCTTCTCCCAAAAACCTTGCAAAACCTTGAACAGAGCGAAATGTTGCGGACCCTTCTTCGACGGGCAACGGGGTCGGGTTGCCCAAGGCCAGACCCGTGGAGGCTCACGGCGACGACGAGTTACTCGTCTAAGGACAATAAATCGACGGGGAAGAAGGCGAAGAAGGGCAAGGACAAAAACGACCCTGCAGCCGCAGCCGACGACGCCATTTCGGACGTCGACGCGGCTCTCTTCGACGAAAAGGCTCGTGCTCGCCGGCTACAAGCCGATGAAAATGATCCGTCGCTCGATGTGGGGCCCAATGGCCGCCCTCTATTCACTGCCACTCCGACACTGTCTCAGCTCACGCGCAAGGACGCGTGCTCCTACTTCAAGCTCAAGTAAAACCGTAAACCCTAATCCCTGACGAAATTGATGTATGTATGTATTTATTGGGATGTGCTTGTTTTGATTTGCAGGATGGAGGAATTGAACAATGTGTTGCCCGAGGGGTTGCCGTTGGGGATGGTGAAGGAGTTCGAGGACGCAATGCAGAGCGCTGTGCTAGTTCGCCAGAGCTTTCTTGATCTCCGAGATAATTTTCGATGGATTGTGGATCCTCCATTGCACTCTTCTACCACCAAAGGTGTGTGCTTTGTGTCCCATTGTTTCTCACATTAATTGATGCTTTGTTTGTTGTTAGGTCAGAGCTAGTGAGGTTTGAGATTACTGTCATTGGCCACATTTGAAAATGATCATTTTTGGTTTCAACTTATTATGATTGATATAAAAAAAAAATTGTATTAATTTCTTTGGTTACTCATTCTTAGATGACTTCAATTAAGCTTTTTCTGGATTATCCTTTGTATATAATCTATGTTGTAAGGCATACTTAGTTGCTTGTACATCTTGTGCATCATTCTTTGAAGGAACAAAATTGTAGAAACATATGAATGAGGGATCACGTGTAAGATGTCCTTATACCTGTATTGTTTTTTCAGGTACAAAAGTTAGAAAGCAGATTGTGTTGGACGGTCCTGTAAGTTGTGGAAAGAGTATTGCTCTTTCAATGTTAGTTCAATGGGCTCGCGGGGAAGGTTGGTTGGTGTTATATGTCCCAAGAGGCAGGGACTGGACTTATGGAGGCTTTTTCTATAAAAACCCACAAACAGGTCTTTGGGACACACCTGTTCAGGCTGAAAATATTCTGAAGGCAAGATTGCGACTCTTTTTTTTTTTTTTTTTTTTTCTTTTTTTTTTTTTTCTTTAATTAATTCATGTAACAAGACTTTTACAATGTGCTATTAACTTAAACAGGATCAGTAATCTGTGTAGCTTTAATTAATAGTAGTCAATAAGCCTCTTCTATTCTGGCCAAAACAAAGGCTTCTTCTAATCAGTGATCATGCCTAAAAGCAATGATTTTCTACAGGGTTGTATTAGAATTAATGTGATCTAAACTATAAACCTCTGTCCACTATGGAGTTTTTGGATTATATGCTCTTGATCATCTCCATGGCTTATATTCATCTTTTGTGTCATTTTATTCCAGGACTTCCTGAAATTTAATGAATCCCGTTTAAAAACAATTGTTCTGCCAAATATTTGATCCTATTCCATTGGGAGAGGGTGCTGGTGTTGGATGGATGAAAGATGGAATTGATACCATGGCAATGCCTGATGGTTCAACTCTGTATGACCTGGTTGATACAGGAATCAAGCACACTCATGCAGCTGTTGGAGTGGTAGTTCGTTTGAGGAAGGAGTTATCTCTAGTGAAAGATATCCCCGTGCTTATTGCAATTGATCAGGTGGGAATGATCACTTGATATTGTATTGCGTTAATTGTTTTCAATGAATTGTGTTTCAAGAGCTTTGTTGTAAAGTGTTGATAGGTCGCTATATTTTTATGTTTCTTGTCTGCAGTATAATAGCTGGTTTACGTTCAGTGAGTATGAAGAGCCAGTAACTGTTCGTTCTACTCGACCAATACATGCTAAAGAACTTGCTACGGTAGGTATCTTCTCCTTCAGTATTATGGTGGTTTATACTTGTAATTCTTTAAGGAACATAGGAATGTCCATTCAATTATGTTTTTTAGGCTTTGTATTACATCGTCAAATAATCTCATTCTCCTTGAGATGTTGTCCTTATAAATTTGGGTGTACAAGTGGGCATTGAGTTTGGGTCTATGTGCAGTATATTAGAGACTGATGTGCACGCACATATGAGAAAATTCTTGCAGGTGAAGGCTTTTAGATCTATGCGACATGATGACATGATGGTGGGCGCGTTTTCTCATTCAACGGCAGTAGGAAAGCTCCGTCAAGACTTGCCAGAAGTGCCTACAGATGCTCGCGTGAACTTTCCTCGCTACACTTTAGATGAAGCAGCAGCTGTTTGCCATTACTACCTTAGGTATGCTAGTTGATGTCTGCCAAGTTTGCAATGCAATCTTGCTGATTGTATATTTATTGCATGTTTGCATATTAGATTGGGGTATTATATTAATACCGATTTAATTTGTTTTACCTTGTCTCGTGCAAATGTCGGTGGAGAATTAGTAAAAACATAATACACATTACCTATCATTTACTGTACTTTTCAGCTTATGGCAATAATTCTTAATGTTGGCGGACATGGATGGTGTCCTTAAAATTCAAACGAATCACGTTAGGCCAACAACCGCATAATGATAATGCATTAGTCTTTGAGCCAGTGCTCTGTGGAAGTTAAAACTCTACAGGAGCTTTCTTTCATGTCTAATGCTTTCCTGATGCTTTTTCCCTGCAAACTTCTATATTCTCAGCCTTCCCTACTGTTTTATATGGCAGACAGAGGCTTATACGCCGTGAAGCATTCACGGAGGAGAACTGGAAGAAAATATACTATTTGTCTAATGGAAATGGAGCAGAAATTAGATGGTTAGTTCCTTTGATGCGGGGAGATGGTATGCAGGCAGATGGTTAGATCTCTGGTACGGGGAAAAGCAGGGAGAAGATTTGTATCACAGTATTTACAGAAGACACAAATTGGAAGAACTGCTCTTTTGCCTCCTTACCCATTGATTTTGATATTATTCAATCATAATGTTACCGTTTTTCATTGAGTTATTACTCATGATTGTAGCAAAATATCCTGTTTTTGATCACTGAACCTTCTAGTGGGATCAGTTTTCTTTGGCCAACGAGATGAGCGTCTGAAGACATTGTATCATATGCAGATCAGTTCACATTTTGTAGTTTTGATGTTGAAAGCCACTCTATTTATTGCAAGATTTTTGTTTTTCTTCCTTAGCCAATTTCACGTTACCTCCGGACCGCTGTCTTTCTCCACTACCTGTTGAAAATGGCTTACAAATAAAGAATTTAGCTACGTTTTTAGTTTTTGGCTTTTCAAAATCAAAACTATGCACAGATTCATAATGAGAGACACAGTTATATTATCGCACAAATTTGTATACTGAGTACTGAAATGGTGCAGCCAGGATATAAAAGAAACTGGAGGGCAGATTGAATGAAGAACTCTGGTAGGACCATTATAACTTAATAAAATTAATTATAAGTTGTATTGAACTGTTTGATTACTTTGAATATACAGACTTTTGTAGACTGTTGGCATCCTAAGTGAAGCAAGATTCGGCACATACTAATATTCAAAACTATTGATGACTAATGTTCACCTAAAAGCCCTGAGCACAATCTCAAGACCAAATCTGGTTAAGAAAAATCTCAAGAGTCAGATACCTCAAAAATAAAGTTACTAGATAATTTCTCAGAACTCCCCATTAGAAGATGCTTTGCTAAACTGCAAGCATCAAACTCCTTCACCTTGATACAGATCCTAAGTACACGATCAAGATGAAGTATTCCAAAATTGATAACTTGGCTGCACTAGATAGGCATGGTAGTGAGAGCTCAATATATAGAATCAACTGTATCAAGATCTTCTGTGTAAGTAGACTAGCAAATACCCAAAAGACCAGGCTTCAGATTGATGTCCGAGTTCAAAACGGAGACTGACACAAAGGGCAAGTTGACTTGTGAGAAGTTGAGAACCACTTATAGAGGCAGGCAGAATGGAACTTGTGCTTGCAGGTCCTGCATGGAAGGCGAGGAAGGCCGTGGTTTGTAGTATGGATGACACTGTAACAGATAGGGCATTCCTCCACGCCTTCAAATTCCTTGTCAAAGTTGCTCTTCCATATCTTGATAGCTTCTGCTAAAGCTCCATTCTACATCACACAAGTAAAGAAAATTATCCATTGGGTCCATCTGCCATATTATTACAACCTATTCATGTAATTTTGAGCCTTCCCTTTCATCTCGCTCACCTAATTTCATTATTGATCTACACCTGTTCTCTATAATAGAACGAGATTACTCCTCCCTCCCTCCCAAACATTCCCTTCCATAGGAAATGCCAAAAATACACAACTTGTAGTGAATCAAATTACCTTAGTTTCATCTACCAAAAAAAGAAAAGAAAAGAAAAAACCAGTTTCAGAAGAGTGTGCTGCTTTTTCCACATATATTCTCATGGTCAAATCATATTTCATAATAGCATGAAAAATATTTCTCGGTCTTCAACCTTCTGCTACTAGGTGGGAAATGGAATTCACCAATAAATGGCAAGGTTAATTAATTCAATTACCTGATTACGAACGAATGATGACATAGACATTAACCACTTCCTCTGCTTCACTTCACTAATGCCTAGGCTCCTCATACAATCAACATCAACGGGCCGTAATGGGTAAGATGAAGGAAGATGGATAACTAGATCCATTCCAGTCTCATCCTTTGTATAGGTAGCAACAACCTCATTTGCTGCTTTGCTTACGCTAATGGAAAAATTCTCATCAGCAAGATCATTCTTTTTAATCTGCATGAGAATTTAAATTCAGAGTTACATAATCGTAATCAGTAATGACAGTGCAAACATGGTTAAATTATGAATTATAACAACAGCTTTCTAAAAATTCCCACTTTATGAACAAGTTCCCCCTTAGAGAAGCAGCACAGAAATATAATTTTTTTGTCAAGATATCCACATGTCCTAAGCAATACAGAATTAACCAATCTCTCTCAAGCTATAAATACCAGGCTTAATTCATTTGCGATGAGTGGTGGACTGCACCATGCTCTTGTAAAGGATTCAATTCCAGATAATGTAGAACGGTCACGTAAATCACTGAACCACTGTCTTACATAAGCAGGAAGAATGCGAAGCATCAAACCAAACATTGCTCCAGAAAGCGAAGCCATTTTCACTGGTTCAACAGGCCACAGAGATTGTACAGAAAACAATAATGAACCAGTAGTTATGGCACGTGTTGCTGCAGCTGCAGCTTCTGCTATACCAGCAGGAAGCTCTGTATCTTTCTTCTTAATAACATGTGCCATGCCCAGTCCTAGAGGAATATGCTGGAAAAGGCAATCTAATATCACTGAATCAGCAGAATCTTGAATATACTGGACCAGTCTCTCCCTTGCAGGTGATGACGATGGTAATGACCACAAATGCGATAGCAACAAAGACCATGCCAGGAAGACATGTACCTGCAAATTTGAAAAAATCAAAATCAGAAATCAAAATGCCATCACAAAGAGAGCTAGTAATTACTAAGTAACTAGAGATATAATGATAGAACACAAGCCAGAGGATTGATTTGGTTACTAGTGAAAGCACATTTACCCTTTGCTCTGCCACCAAATCCATTTCAAGAACCTGATGCGGTAACTTTTCAATCATGCAAGATATTTCCTCTTTCAAATGGATGCTTGTTTCTGCCGACATATTATGCGGGGATGAATCTTCTTCACTGTTAGTGACACCGTCCAAATAAGTTTTGTCTTCAACAATTGCCAAGTGTAAAACAGGTTCTGAAGAAATAATAGAATACGCGGCGAACTGCAACAAAGGAATGGTTTTCGAAGAAAAGAGAATTGCATACAAAGAGCTAATAGGTCCTTTGCTCAGCCCCCAAAATTCTACTGACTTCACTGCCCTATCTCTAGCATTTGTTGACGAGTTGACAACACTTGAGGCCACCAACTCCCAAAACTGAGAATGTTCAAATCGAGACAACGAAATTAGAGATGCAGCCTCATCACAACAGGAACTTGCAACGGCCTCTGCAATGCCGGTGCAGAAGAACAACCGAAGTATACCTTCTAAAATTCGATCTTTGATGGGGTCCCATCTTTCCATTCTCAAGGGGTTTACGTTATCTGCATCTTCTGCTTGTCGGAGACCAAAAGGTCCACAAGACAGAGAAAATGATAAAAGGGCATTCTTGGCAATGTCTATAGGAAAGGGATCTGAAATATAAAGAATTGTCCCAAGCTTATTAAGGATAGAATCCAGGTTATGAGAAGTAAAGCTGCTAGTGATGGTGTCATTAACATTTTCAGCAATTTCCTCCATCATTACAACAGCCGACTGAATCCCGCGCCTTAACTGATATAACACAAACTCCCAGTCATCTTCATCAAATTCCTTCCAACAATAACCAACAGAAACAACGATTAGCCTTGAAAGCAAGTCTGCACAACTGGAAGCTGATTGATTACAGTTGATGTGCCAGGACCCCTCTGCTTCCGAAATAATTCAAGTAGGAGTCTGCTCTCTCCAGAGCTGATATTTCTCTCCAGGGTCGGGGTTTCTAAGCCCCCTAGTGTACTAAAAGGATAACAAGATATAACCAACTGAAACCAATCCTCCATATCTACAAGAAGAAATCAAAATGAGGCATTAATACCATTTCTTAGCAGATTATACTGTAAATCAACAAATGAACTGCAAGCACCATCAATCATGGCCCTTCATTACAAGTGAGAGACGAGGGAGGAAGGGCCCAACACTTGATGCTCCGAAGTGGGGCATTCTCTATGTACGAAATCCAAATAGTTTCTATTCTTACTCTCAACCACACTGTTTGATTATATACTTACATTCTAAAACTGAAATGACTAAAAATATTTGTATTGACTTACAGAAAATTAAATGCATTTACCTTGTCCTGTTTGCCATGTGATCAGAGGCGGAAATGATATAGCTTTCTGGAGCCAGCCTGCAATAATATCAGGTACATGATTTTCCCCAGAAGAATCAGGTTGGGTATCTCTACTAGAGTCATGAGATCTGATGCTTCTTTGACTTAATGGTCGAATAAGAACATTAACAATCAGGGGAAGAATCCTCAAGCAGTTCGTATTTATAGCTTCACCAACAAAAATTTTATTTACTAGCAGTTCAAATAGCATCATAGCCTTTTCTGTTTCCCATATATTATCTTTGAACAAAGTTAAAAGAAAAGCTACAAGGGCTCTCAAGAAAGGTTCTTCAATATCCTCCACTTCTTCACTTGAAGCAGGCCCCAGACAGACAAAATTCTGTGCACCACATCCTCCATGAATAAGTGCACCGTCAAGTAAAATGTTGAAAACAAAATCTAACAAGCTCTCCTGGGAAGAGTAATTTCTACTCTTCGCATATGCACTCAATGAAGGTAAGAACGAAGCAACAGCACATCCTCCTGGCCATTTCCAAGTACACAATATTTCAGCAGCAAGCCAGGATCGAGTATGCTCTTCATTTGCTGTTTCCTGGGAGGGAGGGAGACTATGTTTTACATAACCCGCAACAACTCTATCAATCCCAAGTTCTGAGATGATCTTGACAATAAATGAAACAAACTTTCGATGGCCAAAGTCCTGCATTTGTCATATATTTAAAATCTAAGTCTCTACATCCCATACAATAAAAGACGGCAAAAGCAATTTAACAAAAAGTAAAATCCAAAAATAAAATCAAGTAAACTATTTCATGAGCACAAGTAGAATCAGGATGAAACAGGTTCCCTGCTCTATTACTACTCTGAGAGAAAAACCATAAACTAGCATCAATGGCACAGTTATTGAGTTAATTCTGTTCTGAACTTAGCTGATTGGATCATTATATTTAACACAGTTCTAATTGAAGTTTTCCATTCGGTACTGGATTGATTGAGGAAGTGCAGAAAGCTCTACAACAATCCTCAATGACTTCAATACATTGATACATACTATTTTGGGGGTAGAATTATATTTCCTCTTTTCTAAGCACCTATTGGTAACCTGACAGTTTGGGGGATGATGAATTGATAACGTAACCAATAAAGAACGACAATAGATATCCAGCTAACAGACTACAACTCAACAAAGTGAGCAATCATGAGCACATGTTTAACAGAAAATAATTGGCAACCAATATATCAGTAGCACCAAGGGCATCTGAGGGCTGGAAAAGTCATTCTAGGTACTATTGTATTTCAAGTTTCCAATCTCACAATGGAACTTCAAAGAGTATTGTGCTTTATAAGAGATACAGGTGCAACAGTTCGCACCAGTGGAGAGGTGTGCAACAGTCCGCATTATATTTGTAACACATGAAAAAAAAAAAATTAACAAGAAACATGGAAAAACAAGAATCAATAACACATGTACAAATTAATAATTCCCACTCACATGCACATCAGCAGAGAAATTTTTTGCAACTAATCCCTCTGGGCTACTAAAATCGGGAACAATCCACAAAGGCCATCTGTCACCCTGGCAAAGAAGCTGGTCTAACAGATTTTGTTCCTCATACTGATCCTGAGAGAGACAATCAAGAACTTCAAGCATCCACAAGCAGCACAAAGATGTGAATTTTTCTGTGTCTAGTTTATCTTCATTGAAGATTGCAGATCTCATACACTGAATCAAACTACTCCCCAATGCCTGCCGATTGTGTAAGCTGAGGCTTTTCCAAAACTGATTACTTATCTTACATCGAAAAGCATGAAACAATTCACTAAATACCAGCCTGGACTTCAATTTTTCCTTTGATTCATCATCAGGGGCATCATCTCTTATAGTTACTAATACCAAAAACTCCCAATCAATTAAAAAAATTGCAGACAAGATAACTGAAACCAGCCCACTTTCTTCACCAAGTGTCTTCAAGGAAAATAAGGTGCCATCAAGTACTTCAAGAGCAAACTGAGCCATCTCAAACATCGTGACAGAACTTTCAAATTCCAGCCCAATATTGTTTGCCCCAGAAGTCAATAGATTGGGACTCAAAAGAGGACCTGCATTCCTAACCCAAGTAAAGGAGGAAGCCAGAATAAAAGAAAGCAACTTCTTGAAAACCTCCTCAAATATCAGGACCAATGCATCTCTCGACACAAAAGATGTTTGATTGTTTTTTGTTGAACCACCAACAACAGTACTGCAGGCAAGTAAAAAAGTTTAGGCCATGAAAGTGAAACACAACATTCAAATTATAATCAGATTATGTTCTATTATAGGGATGAAAAAGTAAATAGCCTTTCCCATTTTCACTTATCTATATGGTCATTTTCAAATTACAATATCAGCCACAGATATATAGAAATCAAGTTCAGAAACGTTATTTTCAGATGATCGATAGCTCTCCTTTGAATTAGAAAATTAGTCAACCCAAGGAAAGCAAGGACTGAAAATCCAGAGCTATTCCCATCTTAAGAAAATCAGTTGGAACAAATACTATACACATACCACACAAATTGAGAATTAGAAGTTCCGAAAGCAGGAGGGGAACAAGCAACAGCAACAGCAGCTGATTCTAGAAGCTCATGATGCCAGTGGTCTGGGTTGCCCATGGATATGTCTCCTTCCTTCCTGTTTGCAATTTTATCTCTTGCTTTCTCTAAGAGCATTGCCAATATGGTTATGCGGTCAGAGTCTAAGGAGGAAGTTGCAGATCCAGAGTGTTCCAGGTTAGTAGCATATCTGATAACAGTATCCCACTGTTCAAAGAAATATTCATCATCGAGCAATGCAAGTAACATATCAAGTCGAGCACTTAAGGAGCAACTATTCCCACGCAAACACCAAGGAACAATACTTTCCTTGAACATCTGCATGAATAGATCTGCCTCGATTTCTTTATCCCCCCCATCAGTAGAATGACTACAAGAAGAAAGATTATGTTGGATAAGAAGCTGTTGGACTATCTTGCGCGATCCAAATACAGAAACAGCAACCGATAGAATCTTCACACAACTTGGTGAATCCTGATATCAAGAAGATAGAAGAGCGAATATCAAAAGTTAAAGAACATAACAATTAAACATAATATGTAAACTATGTTACATCTATTCTCAGCATAACATAATTCAATTCAGTGAATTCACTGCTCCTCTTTATGTCCATTACCATAACAATCTTTATCTTTGACCTTTTCTTTATTCTCAACAAGATTACTAAATAGAAAGATTTCCAGCAAGACTAGAATTGGAAGGCAGGGGAAAGACTTGATGGAAAGGCACAAAAGGTTGAGTTTTCTAAAACTTGAAAGATGCACTGAACTCTTCAACTCCGCAAGCTCCAATTCAGAGAAAAACAAGTTAGCATGCGGGCATAGGTACCACTCTAATGTCATCCAATAAAAATCCAGGCAAGGGACCACAGATGTTCACCATTACCCCAGAACATAGTTTAATCTATCCAGATATCACTATCTAGTATCCACAGAAGAAGAATAAATCTAGTTCTTAAAATAAATGTCTCAATCATCAGAGGGGTTGTGCAAATGCTACTTACATGTGATCTCATCAATGGGAAGGACATAGCCAACATTGGTCCAACTAGACAAACCAAAGGCCAACTTCTACCTTTCTGCATTGCAAATTCTCCAAGTAATGATATAAATTGATTAACCCGTTCAGCACACTCACTTTCTGTTTCCAAATTACCAGCATTATGAAACAAACCCACACAACTCTCCTGAAATTCTGCAGAGAAAGCTGTGAGCAGATCATGCTCGAGCAAATAAATGCCTGAAAGAATCCCAACAATGCAGTTCCCCAACTCTTGCAAGTAGCTCATTGGATACATAATATTCGTTGTTTCAACTGTCTTCTTGTTGGAAGTTAAGCCACTTTCACATGAATCTGCTGATAAACTGGAGAAGGTTTTCTCCTTAAGTTTTGAGCTACTAGAGAAAAGGTAGTCATGCCACAAAAGCTTTACCAGAACATTTTTAACAAGAGTTACTTGAAAATGAGAGACGGAATCCACCTTATCACAATATCTGGAAGAAAAAGAAAAACGATTAAAAATCCAAAAATATAAGAAACATCAAAGTTAAAAGAAAAAAGAAAAAGAAAAAGATATAAACTGAAAATCCACAGGAACAAAACCAAACAGATTCAAAAAAATTGTAGTGTCATAAGAAAAAACTCACCTTGATGCATTACGCAATCCCCACAGAAAGCAGTCCTTAAATGCCCCAAAAAATGCTAGTCTATCTGCATTTGAGGAGTGGGATGTATTCCTTCCTGCCCATAGGTTCTGGAAAAATTCAAGCAAAAAGGTATCTCCCACTACTGTGTTAGATGGCACAGTGTCTAAGAATGGAACCAAGGCTGGATAAGAAATCTTCGGAGATCCAAAGCACCCATTTCTAAGAAAATTCCAAAATCGATTAAGTACAATTTTCTGTACATTAATGGAAGTCCAACTGTCAGGAAACCTTTTAGAAAATAGCAAAACTGCATCCCACATTGATGAATGACAAGCAGGATCCTTCTCCTGAAATGCACCAAATATTGCAGCAGCAAGAGCTTTCATATTTCCTTCGTTAAAGGCATGAGGAATGTTTCTAATGAAACTACTTAATACAGAATATGTGGCTGAACGGATAGCAGAAATTGGAGATTTCAAGAAGTCTAGAAAATATTTATGAGCAGTGAACAACTTCTCAGCAAAAGAAATAGCCGTTTCCCTAGCCTTCAAAGCATGTTTTGGTTGAGCAGTTATATTTTCAGTGCCTGGTCTTGCTGCTTGTAAGCTAACCAATACATCAAGAAGTGTAGCCAATGCCAGAAGTGATGAAGATATCACCTGCAATCCAACAGGATAGGAGACATTAAATCTGAAAGTATTTTTTCTTCTTTCAAGTCTTCTAATAAGACATATGCACATTTTTAATGCGTCCTACTTGACAATTTACCAATTATGATGCAGAAAATATTTTCTGAATGCATACCTGCTGATGCATCTCTTCTAATTCATCCAAAGCAGTTGCTTTATCAGACATACTTTGCGGTGTAAGTCTCAGATTTTCTTCCAAATAGATAAAAACCTCTGCTGTGCATAAAATTAAAGCATCTAATCTCTTTTCCTGAGCTGGAAAAGCTCCCTGTTGTACACAAAATTAGACAGTCAGGTCAAAAGTTAAACCAGTCACATATGAAATGCAAAAGCTGCAAATGGAATTTCAATTCATAGGACCATCAATATACTTGATACATTCTGAATTTTGTATACCAGACCCAACCTTAAATTTCTTTCTTTTGTTGAGAAAGGGATAGAAATCACAAATCTCTAAACCATAACACTGATTTTCATTCTTCATTTCAGGTAGAAATTCAATGCTGTTATTGATGCAAACTCCAGCATTTTTGGGACACTATCGTATACTAAGCAATGTAAAACCCCAATAAATGACAAACTTGGAAAAAGAACCTGTAACGAACGCTTTGCAACTTGAGAAACTTCAGAAACTGGGTCAAATTGAGAAAACCACCATGGTCCCATCAGAGACTTCAGCTGTGGAGCTAAGTCTCTCCTAAAACAAACAACCATTATTGTCTCAGTGCATTTATGAAAAATCAGGATAACCAACATTCTAGACAACTATGTGGAAGCTCATAGTCAGTATACGATGAGCTTAACAAGCAACCACTATGCATAAACATTAAAGGAAATCCAAAACAAAGGGGTATATTTACTTGACAAATAGTTCGATGTGGAGACAATTTGAGAATGCAATAAAGAGGGGAGGGAATATGAGGAGAGAGAGAGAGAGCAATGTACAATTATGATTATGGTCACAATGTAGTTATGTGAACAAAATTTGCGTTTATAAAACTAATCACTCTGTGCAGATTAATCAAATTATTCTGCTGTTTTCAAAACCACTCCTGACCTCAATAGGAGCTTATCCATCAAGCTAAAAAATGCTTACAATCAACCAATGCAATGGACTTTCCAAGACACAACCAACAAGATGTAAAGCACAACACATAATTCTTCTTTAACTTCATAGATTTCCAAAAGGCATGTTTTATACAGAACCAAAAGGCAGGAAAAAAAACAAAAGGTAAAAGTATGCAAAAGAGTTCAAACCCAACAGCGGTAACAAGATTGTTCATAGTATCATGAGTTGCTCGCCGAACTTCTCTATTGTAATCCACCACAAGCCTTTTGTATTCAAATGCCTACATAAGAAAGAGCTGCGTAAGTCTAAAAATTATGAAAACGGTTTTCAAAACCAAAATGCAAGATATATCCTTTCCAGTGACTCTAATGTTACTATGAAGAGATGAGAAACTATACCCATTGTGGAATGATAGGTATTATGTCCTTCGTGGACTTTTCCTTGAGCAGCGTGGATAGAGATGCCAAAGCTTTAAGCTATTTAAGAGCACAAGTCAAATAAATTCTTATCATCATACATGAATAGAGATCAAATCCTTGAGGGCTAAAAAGACACACGGGTGAACAAGCTTTACCTTGGTGGTGGGATCTTTCCTTGCAAGCCTCTTCAAGTGTAGAGCCAATTCACTATCTACATCCTGCATGACCAAAAAAACAACACGGAACCAGATGAAGAAACTACTCTTGAAATGAAATTGCACATAAACTCCCTTATTAAAAAACAAAATTATTGAACTAATGAATTCCTTCATGTAGGGCCCATTACTTATAAACCTTAAACAAAAATGGGAACTTTTGTCTCATTAGTGACAGGTGGGTTCACTAATTAACCAAATGAATTTCACAGAAGGATATTATCACAGCTCGTAAGAATTTCTAAATCAAAGTAAGAAAAAAAAAACTTCAAATTGAATTCTACCACAGTATATAAGTGTGAAAGTTAAATAAACTATCAATGCATTTAGCATTAAGAATAAATAAAGTACACAATTTAAGATCCAATTTTGGTCCTTGTATTCTACTTCTCAATGCACTAACCATAAAAACAGCGATGCTAGGCCAATTGAAGAAATAAATGGATCAAAATGCAACAGCGATGCTAGGCCAATTATTCAACCCAGAGAGGATTGTGCCATGTCTGAATTTTCTCATTCCAACTTTTACTCTAAGTTTGGAAAATCTGAAGGAAGGGGATCTGCTACACCAAGAAAGAAAGGAAACGACATAACGGGTGAAGCCCATAAATCGAAGGACGCTTTGGAGGGGGAATCCTGCAACTCTTTCGAGGGGTTATCGATTTCTTAAGAGGATTCAAAGGATGGAGATCTTAATTCTGAGTCGGAGGAAGTGGTTGATGTCATTGAATGCAACGACGAATCCATTGCTGGGCTTCTCGAAGACTGTGGAGTGCCAGCTGTTCCGACGGAGCCAGACCGAGCAATCAAAAGGGGGGCTAAGTTCCAGGTCGCGCATGACAGTGTTGACATTTTCAACACTGCTGCGCTGGACGGAGTCGCAACTAATGATTCAGTCCCGATTCTTGTTGGAGAGGCTGATTTGGGGGATGGGCTCAAGGGTGGGGTGGGGGTAAGTCATCTAGTGGTCGAGGGTGTCAGATTGGCACCATCTATCCCTATTACAAATGAGGTCAGGATTGAAGAGGAAGGGGCTGGGGTCATTGTTGGGGATGCAAGTTCTGAGCAGAGTCTGGTCTTAAAGCATTTTAGAAGGAAAAAAAGAAGAAGAAAAGGTCGTGGCAAAGGTCCCTGGCAGGATAAAGGCAAAAATGCTCGAATCTTATCAAAGCTGAATCTGTCTATTGTTCCTATTAAGAAGAACTCAATCATCGATAGTTTCAACAGAACAAGCAAATCGAGATCGAGCAGTGATCATGGCAAGAAGGGGAAGGGATATTCGTATGCTCCAGAGTTGGAAGTGGACAGCTTGGAGCAGAAGTTGTTACAAAGGGCTGTTCAGTTTAGTCAATGAAGATTATCTCTTGGTATATAGGAGGTCTGGGAAGCAGAAGAAAGAGGCTGGTTTTGAAGGAACATTTGGTGTGGCTTAGGCCGGAAATCGTAATTTTGCAAGAGACTAAGAAACAAGCAATTAACAGGAGATTGGTGGCTAGTGTGTGGGGTTCTAGATTCAGGGATTGGGTCTGTGTGCCTTCAACAGGCAGGTCTGGTGGTATTGTGATTATTTGGAATACTCAGTTTATCTTGGTATCTGATTCAGAAATTGGGGAGTTCGGCTTCGATTAAAATTAGAGGAATCTCCAGGGTTGATCACTTTCTTGGTCAGAGATATGGTTCTTAAAGAAGAGATAAGATGGAGACAAAGGAGAAAAGTGGAGTGGGCTAGAGATGGTGATGGGAACACAAAGTTCTTCCACCGATTGGCCAACGGAAGGAGGAAGAGTTCATTGAGAGGTTGGAGGTGGAGGGATCAAGGGTGATTGTTAATGAAGCCGAGATTGAGTCTGAAGTTATTAACTTCTTCAAAATTCTTTGTAGTAGTAAGGAAGAGGAGGGTTGGGGCTTGGAGGGTTTAAATTGGAATCGAATCAGTAATGATGAGGCGGTGTGGCTCGAGGGACCCTTTGAAGAGGAGGAGGTCAAAAGGGCTGTATTCGATTGTGGGAGAGATAAATCTCCTGGGCTTGATGGTTTCTCTATGCTTCTTTTCCAATCTTGTTGGGAAACTATGAAATTTGAACTCTTGAAGGTTATGGAGGAGTTTTACTACAGTGGTATTATCAACGTTGTCACCAACGAAACGTTTATTTGCCTTATCCCTAAAAAGAGGGAGTGCGTAAAAGCGAGTGATTTTGGGCCTATTAGTCTTGTGACAAGCTTGTATAAGGTGGTATCTAAAGTTTTAGCTTCGAGACTGAGGGAGATGATGGGAGCACTATCTCCCTTTCCCAAGGAGCTTTCGTGAGAGAAGGTTAAGAAAAGGCTGCAAATATGGAAGAAGGTTTGTTTATCCCAAAGGTGGTAGGCTCACTTTGATTCAGGCCGTCTTGAGTAGTATTCCCATTTATTACATGTCTCTCTTCAAAATGCCAATTTGTATCGCGAAGTACGTTGAGAAGCTGATGAGAGATTTCTTGTGGGAGGGTATGGACGGCAGGACGAATTCTCATTTGGTTAAGTGGGAAGTTGTTGGAAGATCACAAAGCAATGATGGCTTAGGGGCGGGGTCTTTAAAATCAAGGAACAGGGCTTTGTGTACCAAATGGCCGTGGCAGTTCTCCAAAGAACCTGATTATCTTTGGCACAAGGTGATAAGTAGTATTTATGGTGAGAGCGCCAATGGATGGAACGTGATTGTTCCGTTGCGTGGTTCTTGTCGTAATCCATGGAATAATATTTCTAGTGGATACCCTGTGTTTCTTCTTGGGTGTAAATTTGTGGTGGGAGGTGGGGGGAGGGTGAGGGGAGGGGTGGGGGTGAGGTTTTCCTTAGACTTTTCAATCTGTCCAGCAAACAGAATTCCAACATTTCTTCAATTGTGAGTAATGGAGTGTTTCCTCACAATTGGGATTTTGGGTTTAGAAGGAACCTCACGGTGGGGGAAATGGATGAGGTGACTAGGCTACTGGATATCCTGGATGAAGTTAGACTTAATCCCTCTAGGATGGACAACAGAAGATGGAAGCTAGATCAATCAGGGATGTTCTCATGCCATTCTTTCTATTCCTTCATTCAGGATAATGGTTCTGTGGAGGAATCCCTCCGTACAATCAGATTTGAAAAAGCAAGACTCCCCAAAAGGTTAAAATTCTTGTATAGCAAGTTGCTATTGGGAAAGTTAACACTTGTGATCTTAAGCAGCGGCATCGTCCTTTTATGTGTTTATCCCCTCATTGGTGTGTGTTTTGTAATTTGGATGGGGAGAGTGTGAATCATATGTTCATCCATTGCCCTTATTCAATCAAGGTGTGGTGGTTACTGCTGAGGGAAGTTGAAGCTGTTTGGGTTACCCCTAAAGGATGTTTTCAGCTGCTTTCTTCCAATTTTGCTGCACTGGGTAAGGGGAAGAAGACTAAAGTTCTCTGGGGCTGTTTAGTACAGGGAATTTTCTGGAACTTATGGATGGAGAGTAACAGAAGAATCTTTGAGGACTATAAGGGTGTAGGGGTGGATGAGCTGTGGGATAGAGTGAAACTTTGGGCGGCTTTATGGGTGTCTGTTACTAACGTTTTTAAGAATTTGGCTGCCTCTTCTGTAGGGCGTGATTTGCGTGCAGCAGTGAAGTGATGAGCTCCTATGTTCTCTTGTTCCGACTTTATGGCTTGTTTCTTCTTGGCTGTGTTTTCTTTTTAGGCTTGTTTATTGTGGATGCATTTGCATCCTTTGTCTTTCTTTGTGGATTCCTTATGCACTTGTTTTGTTCTTGTTTCTCTTTTTAATATTTAAGTTTCTATTTTAAAAAAAATGCACTAACCATAAAAACATGAACTAAATCAAAAAGCGAAAAGAAAATTTTCCAATAATTTGGAAAACGCACCAAATAGGGCTTTGAATCTTCAGTTGCAAGAGAAGCCTCGAGGCGAGAACCGCCAACATAGCCGCCGAAGCCCACCGAGACAGTAGAACCCGACGGCACCAGCGACGCCGCCAGACTATCAAAATTCATACAATCAAAAGTTGGCCACATGAGAATATTAATACAAAATTCAAAAAGCTTTAAAATTTTGAGAATTTTCAACAACAAAAATTACCTGCTACTTGAAGGGCGTGCCTTGCTCCTAGCGGCTTCTCCTTTCTGTTTCCCCATTCCTGTTCAATTCTTGATGACAAAGCTGAAACGACGGCGTGCAGTCAAAATATATATAGATTGAGCGAAATGAAAAGACGCCGCTTTGGAGCTGTTTACTGGTGGCTTCGCGGGTGGGGAGACCGTCGTTTGTGTGATTGTAATTTCTGTATCAGTGGAGGGAAAGGGGGAGGATTCTCGAGATCGTGTACGGAAAGGTGTAGAATAAATAGAGTTGTTGGACTAATACTATTCCTAGTAGAAATGGGGTTACTTTTGTCAATTGCAAACCCCTTAACCGGTTGACCGATCTGTCTCCTACGTGGCACTGAAAAATCGGAGGAGAAGTCGAAACGTTGTCGTATCTCGGACAAATTTTTTACAAAACAAACTTGAAGTCTGACTCTGAGGTTAGTTTGGCAGTTGCTATATAGTGTGCTAATGATCAAATTGAAAGTTATATTCTGACGTTGCATTAAACTCGTAATTGACATGATATTGATGTTTGTATTTACATTGCTCGGTGGCCAATGTGAAATTAGAGACTGTGTTCAGAAGAATAATTCTCGGGTGTTATTGATAGAGCCAAAAGGCTAAGTATTTATAGAGATATTACAAGCTTAACTAGGAAAACTAGGTTACTTGGAGACTACTCCAAATCAATTACAATCAACTAACAAAAGGAAACTAAATAACAATTTAATAATGTTCCTAATTTCCAACACTCCCCCTCAAGTTGGAGGGTGGATATCAAGAACGTCCAACTTGCACAAGAGATTGTGAAAGGTGTTACTCCCAAAGGTTGCTGATAAAGAAGCAGTGGTCTCACTGCTGTAAAGGGGGCAGCTGTGTCGCAGCTGTGTCACTGTTGTAATGAAGGCAAATCTGGAGGCAAATGGAGCAGCGGTGTGCTGCTGTAAAGGTGGTTGTTGCTCCTCTCAAATCCATCGATGTATGAGTCGTGAGTTGAAGGAAGCAGCACCCAAATAAAGTTGTGATGATGTTCAGCGCATGTTGCATGTATGGAGTCTGTTGTTGATGTTGCTGATGTGCAACGATGGTGATTTTGTTGCTAATGTGCAACAAATGTTGTTGATGATGCCTTTTCTTGAGGCTGAATAATGATGCGTGACAATGTGTCTATCTCCCATATCTGCCCCTCAAATCCGAAGCTTGTAGAGGGTCGAGATTTGGAAAAAGAGGAGAGAATGAAAAATAATGATGAAAGCGGTTGCAGAAGCTATTGATGATGGTGTGCAGCTGATGTGTGACAATGTGTCTATCTCCCATATCTGCCCCTCAAATCCGAAGCTTGTAGAGGGTCGAGATTTGGAAAAAGAGGAGAGAATGAAAAATAATGATGAAAGCGGGATTATAAAATAAAATAAAATAAAACGAGCAAAACCAAGAAGATGGCGTGAAAGTGAAAAATATATATATATATATATATTTTGCTGGTTTGAAAAAATGACCCACCGAAAAAAGGATATGACCCATCGAAAAAGTTAGCCAAAAAAAGAAGAAGAAGAAGAATTGAGTGATGTGGAGACAGAAATAAAATATCAAACTTGGCCAAGAAAAAAGTTAGGTAGAGAAAGAAAACAAAAATTGGGTCTGATGTGAAACCTCAAAGAGAAATTGATATATCAACAAAGGAGAGAGTGAACTCTCATGTTGGGTTGTCATGGTGCAAAGAAGCGATGGCAACACAGAGAGAAAAAGGACCAGCAGTTGTGCAAAGGTGCTCTCAGGAAGATTACGATAGATTGCTTGGATACGAGCGATCGATGGTTTCTAGGCAGGGGCAAAGAATCAATGAACACAGTGGCTGGTCAACAGCGGTGGTGCTAGAGCCTCCTGCGTTTGTTTGAGATGTCATGGGTTGTCCAAAGACATGATGGCTCGATGAGCGTTGACGAGGCTCACGGAGGAAATAAAATGGCTCAGTGAGCAGTGACGAGGCTCACGAAGGAACCGCAATGAAGACGGCGTGTCTGCGGCAAGCGTAGATGACTTAAAAAAAATGATGGGTAGGCTCGATGAAGGCCGAAGATGGCGTGGTTTTGGCAAGCGTAGTAGACATGAAAACATGGGCTCAATCTGATTGCAACAGAGAGCATGACTAGAGATGGCTCAATATGATTTGTATAGAGAGCAATACTTGGAGGTATGAAAAACATAAGGAAATTGTAGCGCCAAAGAAGGGTGCGACTGTTGGTTTAGTTAGATGTAGGAACTGTGGGATGGTAGTATGGCTTTGGTAGCGGGAATATTTTATCACTGAGGAGAGGGTGAACAAGACGACTGTACAAGATGAATACCCACCATGGGTGAGGGATGAAAAGCGCCAACGACTCTCAATTTGGCAGAGGATTTCAAAGATTAGCAACTAGGGTTGTGAAACATCGGATTGTGAAGAAAATAAGGTTTGTAAAAAGTTTCAAGAGACGCCCTAGAATCGGTGCTCTGATACCATGTGAAATTAGTGATTTTGTTAAGAAGAATAATTCTCGGGTGTTATTGATAGAGCCAAAAGGCTAAGTATTTATAGAGATATTACAAGCTTAACTAGGAAAACTAGGTTACTTGGAGACTACTCCAAATCAATTACAATCAACTAACAAAAGGAAACTAAATAACAATTTAATAATGTTCCTAATTTCCAACAGCCAACAATCCATGTATATGGAATTCAAGTGCTTTCTAGATATTGTTTCCTTATAATTATCTCATTAGACTATGGTAACTCACTTTGTTTTGAATGCTTAACTGAGTTACTATGGATTGGTTGGATTTCGACGAATTGACAAAGGGATCCGCATGCATCTCTAGTTAGAAATTGTTCATGCGTATTAACACTCATCTATTAGTTTAATTATGTGTCATCTGATTTCTAAATGGATGTTTATCTTATATTCAAATGATTCATCCACAATTATGATAAATAAATAAAAATGATCCATCGCAATAGATCCATAGGGTGTTTTTCTAGTAAATTTTTTTGTTAAGAGTTCTAATCTCAGTCATCTATTAAAAATGTTTCTAAAGTCAAATAAATCTGATGATTAAAAAAAAAAATCATTAACATAAAATCAATAATGAAACGAAAATGAATAATATTTAAGTGGCACAAACTTGGTTGATAAGGAAACAATCGCCCACGTGGCAAAAATTGGTCACTCTCTAAGTACCACCGCAAGATTCTGACCGTAGAAAACGGAATTTGAGGCGTAGAGTTCAAACAGTGAAATAAGGGTTAATATATTCCAACGGTCGAATTGGATTCACTCCATTAGTCCGTTTTAATAAGATACGCCTGTCGAGAGAGATGAGGCAGAGAAGAAAGATTGGATCAGAAATCCCAGAAACCCTAATCGCGGAGGAGAAAGAATCAGAAGAAGGACGATTCTTTGCCTGCTATCTGTTGACCTCTCGCAGCCCCCGCTACAAAGGCCACACCTATATTGGGTACCTTCCATCCCCTTCCCTTCTTTCATTTATTCTTTTCTTTTTTTTTTTTTTTTTTATCAATATTCATTTGAATCTAAATCAGATCAAAATATTGATTTGAACAATTTTCGATCTGAACTTCTTTAAAGTTTGAGACTTTCTTTTAGAGCTTGGATTAATAAGAGAACCCATTTTAAACTCTGTGTCTTTTTGTGTGCTTATTTGGGCGATGCTGATACAGATTCACAGTGAACCCACGGCGTCGTATAAGACAGCACAATGGTGAAATAGCTCAAGGTGCTTGGAGAACGAAGCGGAAGCGTCCATGGGAGATGGTCTTGTGCATCTATGGTTTCCCAACTAATGTTTCTGCTCTCCAGGTCTCTTCATTTCTTTCTTTGCTGTCTCTTTAGAATTACTTGTCTATGCATTGCTCTGTATGATCTGTCTATGTTTTTAATTCGATTGATTGTGACCAAATTACATACAAATTTCTTGAGAATTATGTGTCATTTCGGGATATTTCCAGCTTGGTTGGGACCCATCTTGAGTTGGCACCAATTCTAGGATCAATTTGGACCTGGTTAAATTTGATTAATTGGGATTGAAGGTTTTGTTTATTATTTTAGGATTGATATTAATTGGAAATTTGGGACCTTCTTTCTAATATTCCCTTTGGAACTTTGCAGTTTGAATGGGCATGGCAGAACCCAACTGTATCAAAGGCAGTTAGGCAGGCTGCTGCAAGCTTTAAATCCCTGGGGGGGCTTGTCAGTAAGATCAAACTTGCATACACCATGCTCACCCTCCCTCCTTGGCAGAGGTATCATCTTATTATCTTCCTTGTGAGTTGTGAATGGGTGAATATACATATTCTTTTGCTCTTATTGATGGAAAGTGATATTGTTTGTATGTATCATCAGCTTGAACATCACTGTAAACTTCTTTTCAACCCAGTACACCAAACATTCTGCTGGTTGTCCACGCCTTCCAGAACAGATGAAGGTCAAAGTCTGCTCCATGGATGAGCTTCCTTCATGTACTAAACTATCTGATGACCTTTTGATAAATGAAGATGAGTGGTGTAATGAAAGGGAATTTGATGAAGATATGAATACCAGTACACTACACGATGAAACAATATCGGACTTCATGGGTCATAATTCAGCAGATGATCAGCAGAGTGATAGTGGCAATAGAATGAATGAAGTATATGGATGCAGTAAAGAAGTAGGAGAAGATGAGTGGTATAATGGAAGAGAATGTGATGAAGCTGTGAATGATGGTACGTTACAGGAAGAAACATTATCAGATCTTATAGTTCAAAGTTCAGCAGATGATCAGCAGGATAATACTGGCAAGACAATTAACAAAGCATATCGATGCAGTCAAGAAGTAGGAGAGGATTGTACAGAGCAAATTGGTTTTGTAGCATCGCCAGTGAGAATGCTATCTTCAAATGTCACTACCTCATTTGACACAGAAGTAACTAAAGATATAGGATCTGCTGATGCCATTGGTGTTAAATTGGGCCGACCTGCAGTGGAACAATTGGAACAATTGACACCTATAGTTGCAGATGATGATCAGTCGCCCAGCAGAAGCTATCTCCGGCCTTGTGGAGCTGAGGTAATAGATTTGACAACCCCAGCTCCCCTATGCAGAAGCCATTTATGTGGCAAGAAGAGTAGAGTTGCTTCTGTTTATCCCCAGATTATTGACTTGACTAAGTCTCCCAATTTCATCCAACTATAGAATGTTGGACTTGGACATGTATACTACAACAATCAAACAAGTTTATATATGTTTGATGATTTTATGATTTGGTCGAATAATTTAGAGGAATTTATTGTCATCTTTGCCTGATGGCACATTGTAATCATTATAGTAATAGCCTTCTAATTCAAGTCTTACAGTTTGAGTGAAATAAAAGATCTTTTTCACTCACTTGCTACGTTTCATTCTGTTATTGTATATCACATTTCATCTGGTCTATGAATTATATATGAGACTGGAAGATGTGCTGTGCTGCTAATTCTTTGTTGAAATACTGGTGTTTCCAAGTTAATTAGACCGATTTTAAGTAACAACTAGCTAGCAAGAACCTTTTTTTTCTTTTGTCCAAACATTTAAAAAGTTATCAAGTATAATTCAAGAGAACAGCTCTAATATTTGGTCAAATTAACAAATTAAGAGTAAATTTACTGGACAAATAGAATCAGTTCATTGATATGAATCACTTTGTAACTCAAAAGGTAAACAATTAAAGAAACTAAGGCCGATCAAAATCGTGGTACAAGTACTCAGTTCTCTGCATTGCATACAGTGAAAATTAGACAACCACAACTATCACTTGTAGAATTAATGTCTTATATACCAGCTATGAGCTCATCCATTAACGATTGGATCAGTTACATTAGCTGTGTCAGCTAATGATTGGTTGCCCGCATCCTCAATGTTAGTTGGGTTACAAACTTCCACTACTTTGGTTTCACCAATGTCGAAGGTAGTCAGATCAACATCGTCATAGAACACAAGATCAACACCAGTTAGACAGTTGGCAAATGATTGGTTGCCCACATTCTCAAAGTTACTTGGGTTTTCACCAATGTCGAAGGTAGTTGGATCAACATCGTCATAGAACACAAGATCAGCACCAGTTAGACAGTCAATTAATGATTGGTTGCCCACATTCTCCAAGTTACTTGGGTTGCAAGCTTCCTCTTCTTGGGTTTCACCAAGTAGTTGTTCAACGATGAAGATAGTATTATCCTCAAAGAATGTTGGATAACTCGGATCAACATCATATGAGCCCACAAGATCAACACCAGTTAGACTAGAATAAAGCCTTGTTGTACATGTGATGATGATTCTGTTGATCCCATTTGATGATCTTTTTCCATATTTTTGTTTGTGCTCCTCGTCTTTTGTACTTGATCTTGTAATGGACGCTTTAAGTTTGTTTCCTTAATTTCGGCCCTATCGTTCTTCCTCATCCAACAAATGACAAAATCAAAATCGTAACTACAATCAGTGTAGTCATTCTTGGGACCATCAAAAAGACTATATTCATCTTGTAGCCACCCTGTGTGGTCATCGGAACCTTGATTCTTGTAGCAAAAATTTCTCTTTCGGCCAATGAGGTTAGTGTTAGGGTTTCCATTCAACCAATTTGGAGGATTCTATTTCACTCCAAGTACCGCCTTGGCCAACCCTACGATCCATGTGCTTTGGGGTTAACCTCTTGAGCTCAAAGATGAAATACAAGTCTTGATCAACAAGTTGAGGCCCTCCGTACTCTTTCCAAATCTCGGACAACTCTAACTTAGGCATGGAAGACTTTGTGGTATGGTGGCATTAACGGCTTTCTCTCTACCAAAAACTTGTAGAGAAAGAAACCCACAAGCTCTTGATCAGTGGGGTGAAAATGGAACCTGACGGCACATTCTCATGTGCCATTTGCTTACTGCTAATTAACTAACAAAAGAGAAGAGGATTTCTAAGTTTCTCTCTGTGTTATTGCTTAAGTTTTGGTGCGAACAAAAAGCAAATGTTCTCACTGGTATTTATAAGCAGTGAGTAGTAGTAGGGTGTCTAAGTTTCCTTGGTGAACAGGGAATAGAAATCCATATGAAATGTGGAAACTCGTGTTTTTGTTTGTTTCTTTATTTGAAAGAAAATTGGAAAGTCAGTTTTTTGAAAGAAATTTTGAGATCCAACGGCTGTGGTAAGTAAGTAGTGTTTGTGAACTTTTAACTTTAAGATCCAACTACTTAGTTTACTGTATGAGAGTTTATATGGGAGAGAGAGATCATGTCTGAATAGTTAGTGATGCTGCTTCAATTTTTTTTTGTTGCATCATTTTTATTTAATGTTGTTGTTGTACTTGTATGCATTTTAAGTGAAATAATATTGCGTTTGTAGAATTTTTATTTTATTTTTATATATTTTAAAATGTTCAAAAAAATAAATCACAAAGGTACGAGTAAAAATTAACTCAAAAAACAACAAAAAGTTAGAGTTAAATCATTCTTAAGCAATTTAATAAAGTTGTAAACTCAAATTTTGAGTGAAAAAAGTTGGGGAAAAAACTATTTCATGAGGTAGGATTTGAGATCATCTTTAAAGTTAAATGCTTAGGATTCATAGTGTTTGCCAATAAATTAATTGAATCGGCTCCCATCTTTCATAATCTCTATTTCATCATCATTACATTTATCTAATGTCATAATTATCTGATGTTTTTTCAATATTATTTCAAAACTCCTTCCTTGATGTCAAAGTTAATTATGATTTTTTTTTCTTGACAAGTTGAAGAACATGAGCAACTAATCTTGTTAGCATATACGGATTAGACTACTTAGATAAGGCAGTGTGGCCGTCCCTTTCACCAGAGTTAGATCCTCCCTTTTGTACTTTAGAGTAGTTTAGATTTGTTTAAAAAATTAATATTTTTAAGGAAATTCACCAAATCTATAATCATGTCTATGTTATAACTCTTATAAAATTAGTTGAATCTTGATGTATTAATAGTCAAGAAAAAGAGAATTGTTATTAACACTGCATAATAGTCATATGATAACATCTCCCATAAATTTAAATAAATAAAAAAAGTTGACTAGTAATAATACATATAAGGAAACATATTCATAGAAATCCTTCTGTGGTGATATTTTTGTGTAACTATAATATTGGGACTTTTCTTTCTCTGTTTTTTTTCCATTGCAGAATTTTTGGATCATTAGGTTGGTTTGTTCTAGACAGTTGAACTTGAGATTAAATAGAATTTTTTTCAAAAAAAGGAAATGTTCCCATTCTCTCATGCTCTCATCTCTGTAGTAACAATCCAAAAAGAAAAAGAAGGAAAGATCATTTGCTCATATCTTGTTGTCCTGGTTTGGTTGAGGAACACATCCCAGTACTATAAACAGAGAAAACCACAAGGGAATTTAAATACACCAACACATTGGACCCCTGTAAGATCCAAGCCCCATGTTGCAAACTTCAAAAAATCATAAAGGTTTGCAGCCTGCAACAAAGATCGCAATTTCTTTTATTGAAAAGCAAAAACCCAAGGCCAGTTTTGTGCTAGGGTATAGAAGAAAACGAGGGTGAATGGAAGTGAGAATGAGAGTGGAAATGGGATTGAGAGGGAAGGTGAGAGGAGAGGATGAGAATGAGTAACAAAGGTGAAAACAAAAACAAAAAACAGAAATCTATTTCAAATTGTTTTCACTTTTGTTACTCATACCTCTCATTCTCTCTCTCAATCTCATCCTCACTTCCATTCTCACTCTCATTTTCCTCTATACTCTAGCACAAAAAATGAAAACTAAAAACTAAAATTGAAATGGTTATCAAACGGGCCCTAAACTAATTAACCATAGATCCTAGTAAGTGATGCTCATGTAAACCACACACTGCATAATAGTTCTCAATAAAATGAAATAATCTAATAATGAGATAAAAATGATTGCAGAGATCATAACCAGGGCTTTAACTACTTCATGTCTTGTTGATTCTGTGCCCCTGTTACGTTGTGGCATCGTTTGGTGTTGAGAATTTTGAAAGTTGTTTGAATACCAGTTCTTCTATAATCCTCAATCAATCCAGAAATATTACAATCAAGGCCGCAACCAAAGCATGATCGACAGATCCGGGAAATATAGTCAATCGAAACTGTCCCCTCTTTGGAAAAAGCTGGTGCAATTTGTACATCAGACTAGTCTGCAACAAGACATAACAAAAGAAATAAGACTATATCACATAACCAAGAAACAACACCTTAAATTTCTAAGAACAAAACGATTCATGAAAGAAATATCTGAAGATCTGTGTTAATGGACTGCTAGTTTCATCACTTTGCAAGTTCAAAAGCCGTAATATCTAGTAACTTTGAATGTGCATGCTTAAACAAGACACTTCATGAACATGTTACCACAACACTCTTCTATGATAATCGAGTACCAAAGAGTTTGCTTAAATCTTTATACACGGGATCTGAGAACTTGTTCATTCATATCACCCATGGTGTAATTTGTTAACTTCAACCTGATTACAATAACTATGCAAAGGGCTCCATTTAGGTTCAAGAAAGATGCTGATCCAAGGATACTACATTGATCCCATAATTCAATTTTCCCAAATAATAGACCTGAGCAATGATATATTAACTGGTTTGCAAAAGCCATCTACAAAGACAATAGTTGTGCTGATGAACTTTCATGCAACAGTCTTCAAAGACCCATTGTTGGTTAGAATCCTAAAAGGTGTACCAAGTTTGAAGTACAAAATCATATGCAAGAGCAACTCATACAACTCTTTCACTTGAATGAACTAGCAGTCATTTCAAATGTGTATCCCTCTCTCATAAAGCAATCATACCTGAGCAACTATGTCATTGCCTATGTAGATTGTGCAAGATCTTTGGTAAGGGAAGCCTTTCACTTTGAAATCACAGGTTGAATCTGCTGAATTCTCACCAACAAGAAAAACCTCCAACTCAGTTCTGGTAAGTTTACTTTTCGTCCTCTTCACTCTGAACACCAAGTCCTTCTCCCCAGCATCACCACCCTTGTATCCTTGCCAACATCCCTTCTACAACTCCCCAAAAAGAAAAAATTAGTACCCAAAAGGAAAAAGCAAAAGAACAAGAAAAGTTTTAAGGAAAACATTCTCGGGAAACAAACAGAGGCCAGAGGGGAGACTCACATCGTTACGGCACAAAGCAAACAGAGGATTTCCGGCGGCGTCAAGCAACACACGCTTATTAGATGAAGGCGTCAGAGATTGACGAGTGACCTTGTAAACGGGGTTACCATTAGAATCAACGAAACCCAATTCACCACGTGGCAAGCCAGGATGTTTCTTGGACACAAAAAGATCGACTGGGATTTGTGAATTCGTGCAGGGAGCAGGAACTGATGTTTCCATGAAGTCAGTCATGTTGTTGTGACCAATTTACAGAAGCAAGGAATTCATTTGAATCCCAGAGCATGATAAACCAAAACTTTGAGAGCAAAAGAGAGATAATTTGGTGTTGAGACAATTGGGTTTTAGAATTTGGCGTGGAAACAAATAGGTTTTGGTCTGAGAGGTGGAAAAAATCAGAGCCTGGTTCTTCAGCCGGCTTTATTTGAACTTTTCCAAAGACAAAAGAGAGAGCTGGTGACTTGGAACTGAATTTTCCAGCTCAACTTGGTCCCAATTGGAAGAAGAGACCTCAGACGTTGGAATATAATTAAACCGTATAGCCGGGCGGCTCTACTATTAAAATATTCGTATAAAGTGTATCGCCGCGCGGCTCTACTCTTTAAATAGATATTTTTAAACATTTACATGGTCTAGCCGGGCGGCTATACTCTTTGAATAGATATTTCGAACATTGGTGCATATTTAAAGCGTATAGCCGGACGGCTATACCCTTTTTAACATTCGTATGCATTAAAGGATATAGCCGCGCGGCTATACTCTCTAAACATTCAAATATATTTAAATAGTCTAGCCAGGCGGCTATACACTTTTAATAGATTTTTTTAATACAAATTTATAAATAAACCCAATCCTAGACATGTATTTATAAAAAAAACCCAAGCACTATTTAAACATAGAAACACACCCAAAATCAACCCCAAAGTCAACTTTTTGGGTGTGTTTATAAATGGGTTTTGAGTGTGTGTAAGATGGGTTTTGGGTGTGTTTATAAAGTGTTTTGGGTGTTGGGTTTTTTTATAATTTCAACCTCCATTTTGGGTGTTTTAGTAAACTCCCTTTTTTTAACAGATGTATATATTTAAATAGTATCGCCGCGCGGCTATACTCTTTTAATATATATTTTTAAACAGTCGTATATATTAAGAAAGTATAGCCGCGCGGCGATACTATATTTTTGAACATTCGTGCACATTAAAAGAGTATTGCCGATCGGCTATACGCTTTAAACATATATTTTTAAATATTTATATATATATACTATATCCTCTTTAAATATTCGTATATTTAAAAGCATAGCCGTGCGGCTGTGTTGTTTAAAAATTCAAAAGTATCATTTTTAGGAATTTTTGCGTTGTGCCACCCAATTACAAAAGCTTTCAAATCCTATAAGAAAATTAGAAAGAGAAAGGAAATCCAGGAAAACTTTACACCATGTTAAAAGGAATAAACATCACCACCCTCATCTTAATCTGCTATTAACACAACATCTTCACTCCTACCACCATCACTAACATCATTAATAATAATAGAAGGGAAAGAATATACATTTGAAAGATCAATACCTAAAATAAGTTTGCTGTGCTTGACTGACCCGAGCAGAGTTGGAGGATGCTGCTGAGTTGTTTTTGTTTTATTGTAGTTACTGTTGTTGGTGGTGCTGGTGATGGCTAATGGTGTGGATGGGGAAGATGGGTCTTTGGCACAGGAAAAGAAGAACATGGAGAATTGGGAATTAGGGCTGGGAATCAGTGAGAGAGAGGAAATGCAAAATTGAAGTTTCATCTTAGATAGAGAAGAGAAGAAGAAGAAGAAAGCAAAATTTTGAGAGAGAGCAGAGACCAATTTCACACGACAAAAGATTGGGATTCTTAGAGCCAACAAAGGTTAGACCTTTTGTGTTCCTACACGTGCCTCTTGTTTCATAAATAAACCCAAGACCGCGTACCAATATTTGGGTTTTTGAAGTTTCCCAACCTAAGGGGACCTTGTCTTGCCATTGCTTGGTTTGTAACTTGTAAAATTCGAAATTTTGACAACAAAACAAACCATTATGGATGCATTCTGTTTTCAAATTTGACCTCTCTCACCAATAATCTTCAAATGTCCACAACGATCATAGAAAGGGGGAGACGCGCATGTGAGAGTCAACCTCTAATTTGACCTCTCTCACCAATGATTTTCACAAGAGCATAGTCCATCTTTGAAATGATGAAATCGGTTTGAGTCCCTTGCAACAATCTCCCTCCCTTCAATCTTTGAAATTAGACCAGTTACCACATGACAGTCTACACACACTCTCAGATTCTTAACTATAACAATACGGGTACCGGGAGGTGTGCTGATTAGGCCAAGACCAATTGCCAGTTTCTCACTGTGACCAAGAACTATCTCCTCCTTTGTTTGTTCATCCACATTCTGCATGACCATGCTTGTGTCTGGCACATACCCTTTAGCTTTCAACTTTTTAAATAGATGTTGTAAATAGTTGTAGATCTCTTTGCTTAGGGGATGGGATCTGTCTCCGGATTGAAAGCTGTGAACTGTTTTGTTAATCTCAATCCAGGTACATGCCTTCTCTTTTCTAATTCCTCTATCTAGCATCAATCTTCTCACTTTCGCCACACCTTGCAAGTCCCCAACAAGCCCATAGAAGTTGGATAGTAACATATAGGCCCCTGCTTCTTCAGGTGCTGATTCAAGTAATTTCTTCCCAACACTCCTTGCTAGCTCCAAATTCTTGTGGGAGCAGCATGAGCTTAAAAATGCTGTGAGAAGCCTTGTGTCCGGCTTTACAGGCATCCTCTCTATGAACTTATAGGCCTCACTGAAACACTTCGATCGCGCTAGGAGATCCACCATGCATGTATAATGCTCCATCATGGGTGCGATTGAGTACTTATGCACCATGGTGTTGAAAACCCTCCATCCTTCTTGTACTAATCCAGCATGACTACAGGCATACAAGGCACCCAAGAATGTGACTTTGTTTGGTGCAACACCTTCCACTTCCATTGTGTCAAATGCCTCCAAAGCTTCTAAGCCCCGGCCTTGTTTTCCATAACCCGTGATCAAAGCAGTCCATGAAATTACATTTTTTAAAGGCATGTTTTTGAAACATAAGCAGGCATCTTCCATGCACCCACATTTAGCATACATGTCAATAATAGCATTTCCAACTGGTAAATACCCCAACTCAAATCCATACTTAATCACCAAACCATGACATTGTTTACCATTACTCAATGCTGCAAGATCAGAGCAGATTGCAAGAACACTAACCATGGTCATAACATCAACTTCAGCTCCTTCCAATCTCATTTTCTCAAAGAAAACCAATCCTGTTCTTCCTTCAGAGCTATGACCGAGACCCGAAATCAACGAATTCCAAGACCCGGCGTCTCTTCTTGACATGTTACTAAACAATTCAATTGCTTCTAGTGTTAAGTGAGACCAACACAACCCAGAAATCATGCTGTTGGTGGCAATGACATCTCTTTGAGGCATTTCATCAAATATAAGCCGAGCTTCTGTGATATTGTTGCATTTAGAGTACATGTCAAGAAGGGACGTCATTAGAATCATGTCTCTATTGAACCCATGTTTGATCGCCGTGCAATGAAATTGCTTGCCTTCTTTAATGGCAGCAACTCTTCCACAAGCTCGCACAATTGCTGAGAGAAGAAACTCTGTGATTTTGAACCCATTTTTCAGGACTTGATGAAACAAAACTATTGCTTGACGACTTTGCCCCTGGTGTATAAGATTAGTGATTCTCTTGGCATTTGATAAAGTTCTATGCATCATCTTACTCAAGGTTATTTTGGGAATTGAGTGGGATAGATTACAGTCAAACCATGGCGACCTTCATTTGATATTTTGAATGGATTCTTCGTTCTGGCTCTAAACATGATTATTTTACTCATGTAACCCACCCATCAAAATCCATAATATCCATTTTACCCTTTTTATTATTTACTTGACTTTTTTATTTTATTATCAAATCATTATTTATTGAAATGAAAACTTATTTATTTTTCTCCTCTTAGGATTAAATATTCAAATAAATCCAAAATTGTCCTCATTTAAGATCAAGAAGCTAGTCAAATTATATATGCTCTATGTTGGTTCAATTTATTCAGATTACATGCTAAGTCCAAATGTACAATACAAGGGGTTCTTCCAACAACCTTCTACATAGTTTGTGAAAATGTCAACGTACTCTCATTTAAGAAAAATGAAAAGAATTGCATCTGCCATCTGCTAGCGTTTTTAACATATTATTTAATAGACCTTACGGTGGAGATAATGTGGGTCATTTTAACTTTCTGGGGGCGATGTGAGATTTGACCATACTTTCAAAGGCAATAGTGTAATTAAGCCTATAAATAATGACCAATGGGGGTGTTAGTTGGATTGACCCAGACATTTGGTGTGCTCCCAAGTGACCCTAGGTTCCGCCCCCATTGAACTTAGCCTAAATAAATTCATGAACATCTTGAAAATGTCCGTCTATGTAACCTTCATAACTCTTTGTAGATTCTCTGCTTCTTTTTTTGGTCAGAAATTTCTTCGTAGATTTACTTTCACATATAAGATGGCAGAATTGCTATGAAAACTGATAAGATGTGCAAAAAGCTTCATATTTTGGAAATAATTTATAAAATTTATTTACCAAACGTATGAATGAGAATAACTAATTACTCAAGCCTTTTCATTCGTTTAGGACCAACTAGGAAAATCCTTTTCAAAAAGGACCCTAAAAAAAATATATATAAAATCATCTCGTCTTCTTTCTTGATCTGTTCCATGCCTGCTATAACTAGGTTTCTTCTTCTCCTTCCTTGATGTGTTCCCTGTTAAAGTAGAACTCAACTAAGAAAAATGAAGTACGTAAAAAAATAAAAACCCATAATCGAAATTCGATTTTCGATAAAAAAAATTTCTTTCCATATAATGGAATTGAAAAAAAGATAAGCAAATTGTATGTATGAGAAAAACAATAGAAATCATATATATTACCTCAAGTCCACATGAGTATAGAGTTCAATCAAGAAAGTATATAATTGCAACAACAGTTTTGGGAAGAACGAGCTAAGCTTTTCTTCCATTTCATTTTGCGTCTGCAATAATTCCAACATAATGTTAGTAGTAATAATAATAAACTTCTATAATTAATCAAAAATAAGAAAAATTAAAGAGATAATTTGTATAAATATATACCAGATATTCTTGATTGAACAAATTATCATTAACGTCGAGACAGGCGTTGCTTGAGAATTCAAGTGCACCCCACACATTGTCCTCATATTCTCTTTCACTCAAGACACCTTGAAAACCCTCCAAGCCACCCACAGCTCCTTTGATATCAACTTTCTCATTCCATCGGATGGTGAACAAGTCTTTGATGTTTTTGTTTTCAGCACATTGAACATACTGGAGATGCTTTAGACCATCAATGTAATAGTGAAACCTCTCCGTTGGAGACCGGAGAAGGGGATGGTAAATTATTTGTTCGAATCGGTACCTTAACGTAAACAAAGAAAATGTTTTTAATGAAAAATAGTTTAATAATAAAAAAAACAATAAATAAATAAATCGGCAAAGTTCTTACCACTCCCTTTCGCAACGGATCATGTTAAAAAAGTGAGATAGCTCTACTGTTCTTCTATGATTTTTCCCCAGTATTGCTTCCATTAAAAGTACAAATTCTTGCCTATAACTTCTCAAAACAGTTTCAGGATTTGCAGCAATTGGGATATTGGCTTCATAGTTTTCATCGATTTGTATATTGTCAACATCCAAAGGGCCACGCATTATACCTTTCAACTCCAGTCGGACGACGGACTTAATAATAGACCTTCAAAAATAAAATTAAAATATGAATAAAGAAATCTTTATAATAATAAAAATTTATATTGTAGTTTGAAAAAACAATTGTAGACTAAAAATATTACCGAATTATTTTTTGATACACATCTTGAACACGATTATTCTGCCATGGATCTGTCTTCCCCAACATCTGACTTAAGGTGCAAGGAGCAAATTCGTTTGGTGCCATGTTTTCTTGGTAAAAACCTGATCACAGTAATGTCACAAAATAATAGTTCAATATTCATTGAACAAGAAGAGACCAGTTATAAATAATAAAAACATCCTTTTTGGTACTAAAAGGATACAGAAAAACATATTTCTTTCGCAAATAACATCTAAGTTTTAGTATATTATATTATTTTGGTATAAAAGTTTCAAATAATTCAAACTAGGGTTCTTTTTTTCTTTTTTCTTTTTTAAGGGATAGTCTAAACTACAAGGGAAAGGAGGATTCTCACATACACACCACGGGGTCATTGGGATTCGACTTGAGACCACTAATATGCAAATCAATGCCTTTTTCCATTTGGCTACACCCAATTGGCTTCAAACTAGGGTTTTAAGCCGACAAGTGCTACATCAAAATATATTGGAAGACAAATTGATTTATAAAAGAATGAGAGAGCACAAGTTCTCAAAAGCACTAATAATTTTCTGGATAAACCGAAGAATTTATTAGAACGTACAGAAAAGGGGAAGACCTTAAAACTACAAGGCAAGGAGCCCAAGTGAAACAAACAACAACGTCACAGAAAGAGACCAATTCAATCACACAAAATACAAGTGGCTAGAACGAAAATTCAACAAGCACCAAAATTATTTTGTTCAAAAACTAAAAAGACATCAAGAAAGAACTACCAAGAAGAGTTTAAGAGGCAAAAGGGCAAGAGTGGAAAGTTACCAGTGAGAAATTACATACCTTTTGATCAGAGAAGAGTTGAAGTGGAGAGGAAAGAGATCTTAGGGATAATTGAAACAAGAGGTAAAAAGTGTTGAGTGATATATAGAGGATGGAAATTGAATACACAAGTTACACAGCACACGACTTTCCCTATGCTTGTCGAACAAGGATTCCTAGTTTTGCTCTCCTCATCACATAAAGAAAGTGTTGCTAAAATAAATAAATAAAGGGATTTGCTTCTTTTTGTTTTTATTCTTTTTATTTTTGGGATATTTTTCATTAAGACGCCTTGTTCACCAAGAAGTAAAATATTAAATGGGTAAGGCATTAGGATTAGCCCAAAAAAGTCTTGGAGGATAAGAACTTACCAGTCTTTAAATAGTTAAGTTTTTATCCTTGAAGGAGGAGTGAAGTAATGAAATAAGATTAGGAAGTAAAATTTTAAAACAAGCACATAAATCCGTCACTTCCTCAATGGACAACAATTGAAAATTTTGCAATATAATGACAGAAAAAATTATTTCTACTGCCCTGCTATTGGATCCATCCAGGATGTTAAAAGCATAAGGATGTACAAGAAGTTCATATTCACATATCTAAGCAGCCACTAATTCATCATTGACTTTTACAACGATTTACTTGTTCAGGAGCAAAAACTACAAAGATGAAAGCAGATACAGAAAAGCCAAAGTTCACCTATAAGACCATCTCCGATCTTCACCATCATCACTCTGATCAACATCATAATCAAAGTCATCACCATCATCATTCTCAGCATACATATCATCTTCTAAAAGGTCATTGTCTTCTAAACCCTTCGGTTCCGAAGATTTTTCACTAGAACTCTCATTTTCTTCTGATTCATCATCGGAGGTGTCACTCTCTGATTCCTCTTCAGATATCTCTTCTGGATAATCATTGAGCGGGTTGTTTTCAGCTGAAAACCACCAAAATGAGTCAGAACTTGAATAAAGAGAACTTTTAAAAATAGCATATATGAAAGATTATTTATGATCACCATTAGAATCATCAGTATCATATTCTGATTCATCAGGCCCGTCATATAAATCCTCGTCATCAACTTGTACCCTGAATCAAAGTTATTAGTTAGTTTCAGCAAGAAATAAGGTTGAAACTTAACAATGTAGTACAAAGATACCTACAAGGGAAATGGCTTTGAAGAATCTTCAGTATCTATATCCATTTCCTCCTTCACAGCATACAAGTCATATACATACCCATCTTCGGATGCTACACAACACATAAGAGGAACCCATCAAACACTAGTTAAGAATATAATGAAAAAGCTGAAATTGATATATACATCTCCACAAGAAGCAACTGCAAGTGCAGACCCAGGACAATATGCTATTAAGAATCCTATTGTTCTACCTTTGCTCCAACTAATATCAAATATTAAGTGGATGATAGCACCCAAGGCCACTAATAATTCATTTTCACGTAAAAAAACAACCTTGTTTGGAGCTGTTAGCAGATAAATCTGATTCAATCTCCGAAGCAGCACTTGGAATGAACTCTCTCAGTAGAGGCAAGTAACTATTTAACATCCTCTGGTCCTCCAAAGATATCTCACTGCATTAAAAACATAGGGATTATCATTTTCAACGAGTCTCTTGGAAATACGAAAGGACAAGAGCTCATGAGTTGAGAACTTACTCCTCCTGTTGCAACTCATTAGATCTTTCCTCAACGTCAACGCGAACAACATCATAGAAATGACACATTTCATGTAATTTCTCATGTGATGTTTCTTTGTTTCCCTTTCTGCTCCTCCATATTTGTTCAAAACGTGCATTTTTCGCAACAACCTAACCGAAAGAACTTGAAATAAGACAGCACCCAAGCAGAAATTACAGAATAACTTTCACCAAATACATATTATTTCTTCTTTCTTATTCTCAATGTATAAGGTTAGTAGTGGTACAACTGCCTCAGAATACCAATATTAACTCTAAACAATGAATCAGAAAGTTGGCAATCTGACATATAGAAATATATCTAACTACATGCACGTAACTTCAAGGGTAGGAAGATTTGAATTTATCCTAAATAATGGTTTAGAAATAGGCAAAGCTTAGAATACTCCATGATTGTTAGAAGATGAATTAATTAAAAAAATTCATGGGAACTAGCATAGAATTTAGAGTTTCATGATCTCAATTTGAAACACATTATTAGCAACTCACTGCCTGACAATGATTATTATCACAAGCAAAATATTGAACTAAGAACATATGGACAATAAGCAAAACAAAAAGAACACAGAGCATGAAAAAGTTTAATGCATCATTATCCTCTAAGAGATGAAAGAACAAATCATACTATTGGAAGCACATGAACAAGAGATAACAAATACTTTACTTGGTGGGTTAAATTATACAGATAACATATACTATGCCACGTACCTCCTGTTTCTGTCTAGCTTTAGACAAAATCTGATCTTGTTTCTGCTGTTACAATGGTAATGAAAGTATAAGTTCATGTTATCTTAGGCTCATAAATCGAAGCAAAGTTGTAATAAAGTGCACAAGACCAGGAGGAGAAGGAGACGTGGAGCTTACATTCTCCTTTTTAAAAGTATGTTTGCGTTCTTCATTCCTTGTTTTACGATCGCACACATCATTGGAATTTAGGTCCTAAAAGAAACAATGAGACAATTTCCCCAACTTCTTAGTAGTAGCGACATGAGAATCAAAGACAGCATCTTACATGGTACTCCTGATACATGCTTGTGTGAAACAGTATACAAAACAAGAATAGTTATAGAACAAAATCAACAGGGGACTGCCATACTCACCACGAATGATTTCACAACATCAACAGTGGTGTGAAAGCTGCTTACTGTCTCTACATGCTGCACGAAAACCTTCTTGGTCTTCAATTCCTCTGCTGCATTAAAAATATAAGAAATCAGCACTGAATATTCCTGGGGTTATAAAACTTTCCATCTACTTACGAAATCTGCAAAACTACAAATTCCTTCACTAGTTGAATGGAAAAAACCATAAGTGGAAAAACAAGAAGAAGAAAAAAAAAGCAACAATGTAGATTGCTAATAAATGGAACCTTTGATATCACCAGCTAATCAGATTCTGCAGACCGAATCATAATCCATTAGCAATATAGTCTACTTATAACATCAAATTATCCAACTACTCATAATTCTTTGTTCACCACAACTAAAATTATTATTATTATTAAAGAGAAAAAACAAAAAATGCTGTGTTTGTACACACACATATGCATAAAAGACAATGCTAGAGAAATAAGAGCAACATTTTTTACCCTTCGCAGTTAAATCAGACATTGAAAGGTTCTCAAAATCCAGTAACGGACGCTTCTGCGGCCTCTCATTGATTTCCAGCCCTACATTAAAAAAAAAGTTCCAACAATTATTCAGCAATTTCAGTTATTTAGAAATTCAAGAAAATTTATTTTCTATTCCCCTACAGTTTCTCGGCAACCAAAATGGAAAGAAGAAAACTGGACACAAAGGGATACTCACAGAAAGCGTCAAGTGGAGACTGTAATGCTTTGCGTTTAACCCTAACGATCACCGGCTTGTCTTCCGGTGACTTAGCCAAAGCTGAAGAGCTTTCGCCGACCACGGCCATATTGAGCTGCACTTTGAATTAGGGTTTTGAGTGGAGCCAAGCAATTGACGACGAGCAGCGTACTGTGGATTCTGCAGAGGCTTTCGCCGGGTGAGGGATTCTGCAGTTAAGGATTGAACCGAAAATGGACCGGACGGACCGGGCTGTTAATGGGTCTGGTTGATGTAGGCATAGGCCCACTAAAATGCCTTGGGCTAAGCAAAAACAATATGGGTTGGGCTAGTTCAAGTTTTCTCATGTCCATACTATATTTTTAATTTTTTTTGACAAATCGATATCCAAAACAAGTTTAATGTAGGGGAAAATGGATTGAACTCGAGTGTAGAAGGACGGCCACACTGTTTTGGTCAACTGACTTAACCCACATGTGTTATTCTACTGGACTCAGCAATGATCGTCTAAAAAACTTGAACTCATGGTGAATAGGTGGAGACTGAATTCCACTAAATCAAATGGTGATTTGCCACAATTATCAAGTTAAAGAAAAAGAAAATTCTACTTGAATTAATATTTGTAGTCTCCTATCTGCTCTAGAGAGTGTATGAGGTTTTTCCCAATGGGCCAATGTTAAATGAACCTTCTATTGTCTAAGACAATTTACTCGTCCAACTTGTTCTGGGCCAATGTTAATTTTGTACATGCTATGAGCTCCACTGTTTAATGAATTCACTAGAAGTAGTTATGTAGTGGAACCACCACTGCCCTGGGATGTAAATGAGGTCTTACCATCCTATGTTACAGCATACATCCTTGTTTAGGTCAGTCGTCTACGTGCTAGTGGAAAACTTCCAACCATGTGTTATGCTAATAACTGAGAGTCTCTGGCTCGTACGTGACCGACCCGACTAGCAAAATCTCATTCTTATTCACACTTGGTTTGGCAAAATCCCATTCCCATATGTTGATATCTCTTGCCCTTGCGGCACGTTTGGGTTACTGAAAGAGAGATTAATTTCCTAGCAAGTTATCATGATCGTTTGCCGACCTGATCCTCACCAAACTAAGAAATCAGAAATGCAGTCTTCTGCATTGAAGAGTGACTCCCAACTTTTTTCTTGGGTTTAACTTTATGTCAACTCTGCTGCATTGCATGTGTGGACCTAATTAATTAATTAATGGGAGTTTCACTAAAACACCCAAAATGAAGGCTGAAATTATAAAAAAATCAAACACCCAAAACACTTTATAAACACACATAAAACCCATCATTACACACACTCAAAATCCATTGATAAACACACCCAAAAAATATACAATTGTTAATTTTGGGGTTGATTTTGGGTGTGTTTCTATGTTTAAATAGTGTTTGAGTTTTTTTATAAATACATGTCTAGAATTGAGTTCATTTATAAATTTGAATTAATTAATCAAGGAGCGTAATAAGCAAGTGGTAAAGCCCCTGATGTCAAGCTTAACTATATCAGATTGGAAATTATTTCTTGAATTGGTCCACCAATGGAAATATCATGCCCTGCACCACCAATGGAAAAGCAAAAGAACAAGCCAATATTACTTTTCTTTTCTTTTTAACGCACAAACAAAGCCTACATCTCTGACTTGGTAAATGGCTTTATAGGTGGGTCGCCATGATTGCACCTCCCAAGTGAGACATACTTCTAGTCAGTGGAACACTAGCTAGCCGTGCTATGTTTGAATCCCAAAGTATGAATTGATACATGTTAGAAAGACCGCCGGCCCACTACTAACAATATTTATATTGTATCTAATTTAATTACTTACAGTCAAATTTTCATTGTGAAACTTATATTCTTTCACACGAATTCTAATAAAAAATTAACTACCTAACCAGATATGTAACCGTATTTCCACTTTTAATTTTGAAGGTTAAACACTAGCCAGCAATGACATCATCTCATGTTACAATTTTTCAAAGAAAGGCCATAGTGATCAAGTCAATATTAACTACGGGAGGTCCATGGTAATGATAAGTTACGGGAAGCTAAGTAGGATCCACCAACCAAGGCGTTGCCCACTAATTGTGTCATAAGTCACACCCGTCAATTAGAAGGGTAAACATTTCAAATCCTAATATGAATTATTTTTGCTTACCACTTTAACCTAATATATATTTTTATTATCCTTTTTAACACTTGACATATGTTCATGGGTTTAACTATAGTTTACTTTGTGCTTTATATTTGCAGAACTATGATTATGCTCCTGGACACTTGTCAAGTGTTGAGAATGGATGGTGATGTTGTACCTTGAGTTAAAGTAATGAGTAAAAATGCTTCCAACTCTAGTAGGAGGTCTCGCAAGAATAGTGACTGGTCGATTATTTTTAGAGGGAAAATACTTCCCTCCTTATCATGTAAGTAGGAGTTTCACCTTCCTGTCAATGGCAGTGTGACAAGGGGCGGCCCTGAGGGTGTGCAAGTAGTGCCACCGCATAGAGCTCGAAATTTTTTTCCTTGTATATTTTATATATACTTGAGCGTGCATGAAAATAGCACAAGTGTGTATTTGGTTGAGTTGGAATTCAACGCCTTAATTTTAGTAGGCAAGTTGGGTTTGAGTCCGTATTGTGACTTTCAAAATCTCAGGACCAGCCCTATGTGACATGCGTGCAAAAGTTTTTATTTTTATGTTTTTGATAAATTATTTTTGCATATATATGTCAATCTGCGATTCGCAAAAAGAATGAGTATCTCCTTACAGTGAAAGAGACAAGCAATATATTTTTAATGCATGTCTAGCAATAAGGTTACATATTAGAAATTGGAGGTCATTTTGGCCTCCCAAAATGATATTCATCGAATCTAGCCTCTCACAATTTTTGTTGTTCTAGTAGTGAGGAGGCTCGGGGGCTAAAGTCACAATTTATTCCTCATTTTAGAATGTGTTGGTCACACCGTCCCAAAATATGTCGGTCGCTTGATGAACATATCGTTGAATATATTTATGGGAACCAAAACAAAAAACAAAAAAAAGTGGGAGGCTTAGGTTTATTTGGAAAGGAAAGTAACTCATGACTTCTTTTGACCAAGAAAACCACTCAGAAAAAAAATAATGAAACCTGCTGCTAAATGAAATATGAACGTAAGAATGCTCTCTCTCTCTCAAAACAATACTTTTGCCTTGCCATATGGCGCTCTCCTATTGGAGTGGCTAAAACCTACGCACGGTCTTGTGCCACATTTCTTGTATGCTCCACCACCAGTTCAGGCTTGGGCTTGGCCTAAATTGGCCCCCACATAACCCGAGCTTTAAATGTCTTAAGTCGAAATTCCGTTAATTTTAAAGGATTCATTCATGTGAGTTTTTATAATGAGACGATTATATTGAGAGAGTGTTTTGAGGGCTTCTATCGAGCTGTCTAATAATAAGTACATTATAGCATATCCTTAAAGTAGAAAATCTTCAGTGGCGGAGGAGGGCGTACGTGCACCTACTCCCTCCTCACAATCACCTCATTATATGAGTAGCATGTATCCAATAATTGATGATCAAATTTTAAGTCCTTAAAGGAGGCTGAGCATTAACCATCCTAAAAAAATCTTATGAAAATGCCCAAAATCCAAGGGAGGAATGAGAATAGACAATTACTTCTAAGTCACAAACTCCTCGTAAAAGAATACTTCTCAAGATTTCTAACTCAAAGTATTTGTCACTGCCATTCTTTAAAGCTTCCGTTTGGATGAGCATGGGCTATTTTTAGATATGGGTTGAAATTTTGAGCTGGCTGGCCCACATGGTATATCATGGATGATGTCACATATGATTAAATGTAGAATATACATTAGCATGGGCTTTTTCCATCTCTTGCCTTTAAGAAGATGGTTCTAGAGCACGAGAAGCACGAAATCTAGGATAAGGAATTTCATGGCAAGATGATGATATTCTCTTTACCATGATTGCTTAAATTCAGCCCATGTGTTTGTAGAAGCTGTAACAGAGCCCTTGGAGCTGGACAATCTAAGTAGCTGCAGCCACCAGTTTGCACACGGCTCATTCCAGAGCCATACGATGCCAAAGGCTAATAAATACATTATTTTTGTGATACAAGCGACTTAGGTGCAAGAGGTCACACTCACTTACATGGCTACACTACTAGAAAACCTTAAAAAGAGCCACGGATGATTCTAAACCAATAATAGAAAAGGTCATAATGTACCCGTGGCGTAACTCTCGTCTACATAAATACCCTTCTTATTAAGTCTTAATCCTTAGTCTCAAGTCTCTTATTAGATTATTCTCTGTGTCAAATGATTTTGGGTTACATCTTACAATGATAATATTGTCACGAGCATTTAATTATAAGTGTTTCATTTACACAATAAATTCATTGATGTTATGTTTCTAGCTATCACATTCGCATAAAAACCATTAATTGTAAATGTTGTGGTCGATGGAGAACCACATTGTATGATTACAACCACTAAATAATGCATGATGAAAAGGAAATCATTTTTTTTTTTTTTTTTTTTTGTTTTTCCCCCAAAACCACTCACCACCGACCCGCCCCCAAACCGCCCCCACCTCCTCCCTCCTCTTTATTGGTTGCAAATGATGACAATAAATGTTGGAATTTTTTTATTTTTATTTTGGTGGAAAATAAGTGACAGTATGTTATGGATGAACAAAGAAAAATACAAAGCAACTATGTGTCAAATATGGGTAAATCTTTTTCATTGACCAAACACAACAACATGTTGAATTAATTTGAAGAGAATCACGCACAAACCAAACAATGACTAAATCCTTGATCCGGCAACCAGAAGCACACGTAGTCAGACATACAATACAAATCCTCCGCGCAACTACAGAAACGGCAAATCGGCATCGAAAGCAAAAAGCAAAAAATAAATAAATATCCTAAATATTAAAACAAAACTAAGAAAATCATAACGTCATACCGGCTAAACCCATAATCCTGCATTGGCTAAATCCAAACCCAATGCAACCAGACATCTTCCCCTTTTTAGAGCTCCAAACTATGTCGAAGGGAGCCAACTCCTTGTGTATGTGGGCCAAAATACGATGGGTAAGAGCGGGGAAGAGGTTGGGAAGGAGGCCGCCAAATCTCATACGGAGCGACGGATAATATTTTTTTTCTTTCTCAGACAGTGATAAGTTAACAATTTTTTATTATAGAAAAGTTGATATAGATCCAAATTCCCATCCAGGAGTTGGGTTTAATTCTCAGATTTTGTGACTTTGATACAAGTCCTTTGACTTTTGTGCCACATAGGATTACATTCCTTTTTAAATATTGTATGATGTAATCTTTTGATTTTTATATTTTTAAAATCATTTTTCCAATATTGCCCATTATCTTAGATTACTTACCTTAATGAGATAATTAGCCAATATTATATTTCTTTCCTTATCCGATTTACCCTTGAGCACATAAAACGTAAGAAATAATGAAGTTATTAATTGCAGCAAATTTTTATGGTGGTTTTATAATAAATTACTAAATTTATGGTAAGTAAAGCACCTAATTAGGAAGACTTTTTTTCTTTTTAAATGTTGTACATTGACATAAGAAAGAAATAATGGAGTGAGTTTAGTGCTCAAAGGAAGCCAAACACTCGTTAAAATAGATGATAAAATAATTGAGATTCAGAGTTGGGGTTCATCCTAAGGCACAAATGACCGCTGAAGCATGGTCTAATAACGATTTGCTATGCAGTAATTGTATCGGCTTTTTCTTCTTCTTCTTTTATTATTATTATTATTATTATTTTATGTTGAATATATGCTCAACTTTGAATTAGGTTCAGTCATTTTGTTCTTTATATATGTTCTTTTAAGTATAGTATACCTGAGATATAGGTAATACATTTTTTTGATACATTTTTCTTCATATTATATATATATATATCTAAATTATAGGTGACATATTCCTTTAACCAAAAAAAAAAGTTATTAATTGACTTGTGTTTGTGTTTTTACATACATGAGATATATGTACCACACTTTTTTGCCTTTTTGTTTATGAATCTAAGTTATAGGTAACATACGCTTTACCACTTATCTTTTTTATGTACCAGAGATATATGTAGCATATACTATCCGACTTATGTTTTTATGCACTTAAGTTATAGGTAATTTAATATTCTACTTGTTATTTTTCCACCTTACTTATAGGTAAAATGTTTTGTGGTTTGTTCAACCTATGATATAGATATATTATCCCATGGTATAGATATATTGTCCTATTGTCCATCGCATAGGTATAATATGAGGGTCTTACTTTTATTGATTAACTGGTATATATTAGGTAAATATTATCAAGGAAAGAATTCAAAATTCAATTACAAGGAAATTATGCATTAAATTTAGATTTTCAATATGTTTTTTCTTATTTACCTCAAAGGGTAAAATCGACACAACAAAAAAAGTAAATAAAGTCAAAGGACCTACATTTAAAACTAAAAGTGCGTGGACTAAATCCAACACCATCTAATCGTTTTGGACCTAGATCGAAGAATCCCTTTTTTTTTTACAAGTCTAGCCAAATGTTGGATTTTTATTTTCTAACAAATTATACAAGCGAACTATTTAATCGAATATACTCGTCACTAATCAGCTAAGTATTTTTATTATTACTTTTTAACAAATTTATCCCCTAACTCCACCCTATTCCGAATACGGGAAATTACCTATAGAATGGTTACTTAGCTAATCTTCAAGTTGACTTGATTATAGGGTCAAATGGTTATTAACCAATTGCTGTATAACACTAGAGTTGGCTTGATTAGAGGACACTTTGATTTCAATAAGCATGTCTTGTTTTTATTTTTTATTAACAGAAAAAAGGCATGTATGAACTTAAGACATTTTCTAACATTGAGGCGAGAAGTGGCATTTTGTTCGAGTGCATGTATAACATTTGTCATCAGAAATGATGGTGTCAAAACCCATCCACACCAGCATCAAAACCCACCTACACCACCAGCATCAAAACTCCAGAACAAACAAATACCTTATTGAGAGGTAATCATACATGAAGAAACAAACCAATGAAAAATGAAAGGGAAAACTATGTTCCAATAGCATGCAAGTAGAGAAACGTGAACCAATAGTGTACAAGTAAACAAACAAATTATATTGTTTGTGGGTTACCAATAGTATGCGAAAAGGGCAACGTGAGACCATCCTTCCACAACGAGAACCAAAGGCTATATAACCTATGATATTTTCCACACACAAAGATGCCAAAATTACTCTCACATGTTTATAGTAGAATTCAAATCAAAAGTCAAATTGATATACAAATAAATAGCCAAATCATATCAAATCATAATCAATGTTACGTAAATTTTTTTTTTTTTTTTTTTTTTTTGGTTTGCTTTGATATGTTTAAAGGGAAAAAGACTTTGAAAGAAAAAGAATATTACGGTAGTACAATCACGTGATACATTTTATACACATGTTATAATATAATTGGATATTTATTGATACTATTCCCTAAAAAGAGGATAATAAACTATGCCGTAATGATGGGTTGAAATTGTTAATACAAAGTCAAAAATACAATCAAATGAGAAAATAAAGGAATTAAACAATAAGCAAAGTAGAAAATAAATGTTCAATTATATTTTCCTAATATAAACAAAACCTATATCAGTGGTTACACACTTGAAACTAAGGATATATATAGCTCCTCCCTCTGTTGTTATATGCCACTTGTAACTCTCATTGATCAAACGGACATAAAAACTCTTGTGGTCACTCTCGTTTTGCCAGAATTTTGACTTATTGCTTACTCTTTTCACACAACACCTCTCTCGTCCTACCTCCTCTCCAAAGCCTAACAAATAGGTACACCACGCTTTATAAACCAAACTTCTGCACAGCAAAAAATAGTTTCCACTCCAACTCTCTTAATATATTTATCCTATCATGTCTTCTTCTTCTTCTTCTTCTTCTTCTTCTTCAACAGCTTTCCAATGGCTAAGCCTTGTGGGAATAATATGGCTCCAATCCATCAATGGAACCAACACCAATTTCCCAGCTTACTCATCACAGCTAAAAAAAGTCCTCTCCATGTCCCAAATACAGCTCAACAATCTGGCCTTTGCCTCTGATGCTGGAAAGCTCTTGGGTTGGTTTGCAGGCATTGCTGCTATCTACTTACCCCTTTGGCTTGTTCTTTTGATCGGTTCGCTTCTCGGGTTAATCGGCTATGGCATCCAGTTCCTCTTCATCACAAACCAAATCCCATCTCCCTCCTATTGGCTGATTTTCTTCCTCACTGTTCTTGCTGGCAATAGCATCTGCTGGATCAACACTGTCTGCTATGTTGTCAGCATTAGGAACTTCCCATGTCACCAGCAGATTGCTGTGGGGATAACAACAAGTTACCAAGGACTGAGTGCCAAGATCTACACAGATATTGTTGGTGCTGCATTTCTTCCTCGCCTCAGGGAAAAGCCAAGGCCTATTTGCTTCTGAACGCTCTGTTGCCAGTTGGGGTCGGCGTTGTCGTGGCTCCATTGGTTAGAAACATTAATGTAATGGGAAGACCAAGAAACATGAAAGCTGGGTTTATTTCGATGTTTCTGATAACAATCGCCACCGGAATCTACGCCGTGATCAGCAGTTTAGGGTCGATTTCTAGCGGATTAACTCCCCTGCAAAATGTGATAGGTACCGGTGTGTTCCTATTGGCCCCTTTGGGAATTCCAATTGTTGAGAAAATGAGAGAAAATTTGTCAAGAAAATGGAACTTAAACAGAGAGAGAAGAGTGCATAGTTTTACCATGGAGGAGAATAGCAATGGTATAGGGAGCTTAGAAATTGGGGCAGTGAAAGAGGGAGAAGAGTTAGATGGTAGGCAGGTTCATGAGCCTTGTGTTAGAGAGGAGATTGGAGTGAAGTTGATGGTGACAAGGCTAGATTTTTGGTTGTATTTCTTTGTGTATTTTTTCAGTGCAACACTTGGGTTGGTGTTCTTGAACAACTTGGGACAGATAGCAGAGTCCCGTGGCTCATCCAGGACTTCATCTCTGGTCTCTCTATCCTCTTCTTTCGGGTTCTTTGGGCGCCTCATGCCTTCTCTTCTAGACTATCTCTTCTCAAGGTAACCCCTCCCTTGATCATATCTCATATGTCTCGAATGTTATATTGTCAGACAATCAATAGACACCACATATTAAAACAAAAACTCAGCGTATAAATGGTCTGAATTGAGCGTCCCATAACAAAAAAATATGCCATACTGTGTGACCAGAGAACATAATTTTAGTAAATTTATTTTTTCATTTTTTATTTTTTCAGGAGCAAGTACATGATTTCAAGGCCGGCGTTGATAGTGGCATTGGTGGCTCCAATAGGAGGGGCTTTCTTCTTGCTTCTCAACCCAGCAAGCTTCTCCCTTTTCCTCGGCACAGCCATTATAGGAGTGTGCACTGGAGCAATAACTTCAATTGCAGTCTCCATAACCACAGAGCTGTTTGGGACCAAGAATTTCTCTGTGAACCACAATGTGGTGGTGGCCAATATATCAATAGGGTCCTTTGTTTTTGGCTACTTGTCCGCTATTTTGTACCGCAAGGAAGGAAATCAAGAAGATGGGAGGTGCATGGGAATGGCTTGCTACAGAAGCACTTTTGTCATCTGGGGTTCTCTTTGCTTTCTTGGGACTGGCCTAGCTTTAGTGCTTTTTGCACGAACACGAAAATTCTACTCCCAAAGATCATAGAATCTGTTTTTTAATTTTATAAATCTTAAATTTTTAGAAACATTTATAGCTCGTATACAGGGATGACAAATTGGCCATGTTGGTATTTATTGCATCCCAAAAAGAAAGACAAAACAAAAGAAAAGAGAAGCAATTACAGTATAGGAGGTAGGTAGATGTTGATCCAACTCTTTAGGTAGTAGCTAGCTAATGACCAACTTTTTTTTTGTTTTTAATTTTTGTCATTCTCTGTAGGGGGAGTATTATACTAGGTTGTCTTAAGATTGTCTCATACATGATTCGAACCCAGATGAACTTGAGGGCGGAATGAGAGAATTTGACCTACTTTTCCACTGTGGTGTCACCTCATATGCAACCTTTGTTGTTTGTTACATATATATTATTAAGAAGTTTTGTCACATCATATCCATTTTCCCATATAATTTTACCAGTAATGTCGTTAAACTTTTCTAAATTATGGACAAAATTGCTTTACTCTAGTATTATCTAAAGAAAATTTACATAATCAATAGTTCTAAATAACAAAGAGGGTTTGGTTTTAAAAAAAAAATATATATTCTTTATCTTTTTTCTATCAAACAGTATTAAAACTGCAATTATAAATTACTCTACAAGGGCAATACAAATACAAAAGCCATAAGTGCCACTACAATTACCCACAAAAGGGTCAAAATCACCACTCACAAATACGAAGAGATCCATCAACAACGTCAAACTCATACAAGTTACAACATACTTTCCACTTAAAGCCACAAAAAATCAAAGACAATATGACGTAACTGCATGTCTAGAAAATGTTTGGAGCATATATTTTTTGTTTTGGAAAATGTTTGCAGCATGTATTTGAATAAGAGTGAATAATTTGGCTGCCAATGTAAAAAATCGTGCTGTATTATCTCTCTCATGGCATTTATTTCACCTTTGACCCAACCAATGACATGACTATATATCGAATTTCCAAATGGAAAGACAGGATTATATATGGATAATTAATGTCGAGTCAATAGCCTTTCAGATTAATATAAGGGCAAATCATTATAATCTTATAGATCAACTAATTAAGTTACGTACTAAACCTTCTCACAAGGAAAAAAAAATATTTGTTTTGACGTTTACGACCAAAAAAATAAAAATCTTTGCTCCGACGTTCCTGATTTGCAGAGGTGTTAATTATTGTATTTATTTACTCCAAATTAGGAACGTTTAATTCAAAAATAATTAGTAATTCTTGCACAAGTTACTGTTGTTGACTAATGTGGAAAAACATGCTTTGCATAGTTTTATTTTATTTTTATTTTTATATTTTATTATATTTTTATATTTTATACAAGTGATAATGGAAGAGGAGATAGTCAAACCTAGGACCTTTGATACAAGGTAAATACTTTTAATCACTTGAATTACAAGCTTCTTGCACATATAATTTTATTGAAGTTATAAAAATAAAAATAAAAAAAATTACACATGTAATGGATGGTTTTTTTTTTTTTTTTTTTTTTTGGGTAAAAATGTAAGTCAATTGATTGGAAGACCAAAGTCCTAAGTTCGGTTCTCCCACTTCTATTATATATAAAAAAATCCAAATGCATATCACATGTGCACATGAAACACACGTCTCCTGAGGCCGTGTTCAAAATCTCAGATGGAAGTCGATGCCTTTTGAAATAGCAAAATAAACTTTTGAATTTGAACCCCACATATATCATGCATATCACATAGGGTTGGGGTAAACTCAGTTTGTTGTTGGGTCCTACCAGAAATGCACAAATCACACAAACAAGAAAGATGCACGGCACTTTTCTCTGTCCTCATGTAAACCCGAAATGATGCAAAGCTAGCTCATGCTTACTCAAGAAGAGCTCATACAATTAGAAATCAAGATAATCCTCCACTACACGGAATTACTTTTTCCATGTAAAATAAAAAATTCACGAAAATATTATCGTGTGTATATCAACGTGGTGTATCTAAATTCACTCGTATAATAACATATATACATCAGATCATATGTAAATTCTAACTAAACTCGATATTCTATATAATAAGAGATTGAATGATATCTCATAATTAATGTGTATTCGATATATGATGTAACATATGTTGACGTGGTACGAGAAATAGTCCTGAAAATAAATTAGGACCGATATTAGATTCAAATCAAAATCAAATTAATAAACATACATAATTTTGGCAAAACACGTATATATGTCATATAATTCACAAACATTGAAGTATATTGTGGGCTTGATGATTATTTACTTTGTCTTCCGTGTGCTGTAAAGCAGTAAATGTAGCGTAAGGGGCAATCAGACCAGGCACATGGGCTTCTTCTTCCTGCATATTGACGACGCAACTTCAGCGCCATAACTAAAGCTACCCCCTCCTGTAGTGGGGTCCATCTGATTGTCTTGTATAGATTGTGGGGTCCATATCGTTCCAGACGGGTCGTGGGGTGGGAGTCCAACACATTCTCAGTTGATTCTATTTTACTCTTGGTGTCGTCGGGAATTCCAATTGAAGTCCGCGTCATCCGTTGATCATATTTGAATATTTTCCTGTTTCCAGAGGAAATTGTTGAGGTTGATAGAAGTTTCCAACACTTCAATTTCCCATTCTCTTGTAACTTGTCAGCAGTGAGGATTTATAGCATCACCAACCGCTATATGTTGAATCACATTGCGACCATAAAATGATAAGACGCGAAAGAAGAAAATTGTTCAAACCGAATATCAAATTATTCCATAAATCGTGAAATTCAAATTTAACATTTTTCACTTGACGGGTGCCGTTCGCTGTATAATAGGGACCTTTGCCTCCTTCTTTGCCCATTCTTTGCCCAACTGTTAAGCTTACGTTTGAATGACATGTGGATGATGTATACTTGCTATATCTTTGTCATTTTCAGACCAGTAGTCAGCTTTAATTTCCACCAATATCAAACAAAGCATCAACACACGACCAACGGTCAAGGTGCATGTTAGAAACCAACTACTTGGGGCGCATCTTCATTTCATTTTATATAATAATATTACATTTTTTTTTAATATGTTTTTGTGTGTATGAAATAATTCTTGATTTACTTCCCATTGTATTTGTGGTTGAAGAATTTTCTTGGTTTTACAATAATCTTTCGAAATGAGAGGCTCATCTAGTCACAAACGTTCCTCAGAATGAGACAGCAGAACGTACGAGCCAATAACAGACTTCCACATTATTTTCGCATCTGATATCAAAAATAAAAACTCAGAATGATAAAAATCCGACGTTACAATGAATTGAGCCAAATTGATAAATATTTAATCAATCAATCAGCTTCATTATCAGTTTGTCACTTTCGCAAATTCCCGTTTTTAGCAGCCATGTAAAAGATCATATGGGCCCAGCATTTTCCTAATTTTTTAAAAATGTATTTTTCAGCATGCGGTTCAAGTTAATTGGTGGGAATTAATTGTGTATTGTGCTCACACTTTTCTCAGTGATTCATCATTTTAATTCGGTGGGATTGGATATTTATATATTTATTACCTTTTTTATGGGGGATTCTTTATATATTATATAGTGTTGAAAGAAAGTTAGCTGGATGAGTAGCTATTGAATTGAATGACAAATTTTATTAATTTCCTCTGTCTCAAATTTCAAAGTTCCATTAATATCACCGTACTAGCAGGTAAGGGTTTGTCTACACAATAATTTTCTGGTCTGGTATGTGGTTCAGAGTATTATTGTTGCTTCTTAACTAGCCTCCTGGGGAAGCAGAAATAATTATATGAAAACGAACCGATTAATTATCAACGGGTGTTGGTTGGATTGGCTCAAGTTTTTTGTATGCTTTCAAGTTGTCATGGATTCAAACCTCTATTATACCCTATGCGAGAGTTTCCCCCTCCCCTTCTTAACTTTGGGATGAAAAAAACTACAATAAGAACCCATTAATTATAGGAGAAATAGGATCCAAAACGACATTGTTTTAGATGAATTTAAAGTAATAAATTAGTATTCCATTCAAATATTTTTTTGGTGTGATTATCAAATCGCCACATATTCCATTCAAATTATACAGGCTCACCAATATTTAAGGCAAAGTGTGTCCAATGCATCCTTTTCAGGCTCAAGTGTCCGAAATATTTTCAAGAAAGAGGCCCAAATTTTCTTAATGAGCCCAAATTCTTAACACAATTTCATAAGTGTCCATATGGACTGGTTATGTTGGTTGGTGCGTTAGGATCTAAAATTCAATTTGGTATTAATTATTCATAAGATTTTTATTTGATATAGAGTACAAATTGATCCAAACTATGGCTTCTTTGCCACATGAATAACTTTTGTGCAACTCTTTTATTTTGTTGCCAAAATGAGGAAGGAAATGAGGAGTTTTCTCACGCACACGAAGAGTTTGTTAGTCAAGACCATTATCCACCATTGCCACTTTTTCTGCAACACTTTAACTTGACCAGACATTGGAAGAGAGGAGGAACCAGTAAAAATGATCTTCTAGCTAGTTAACTCGTTATGCTGAATCGTTGTACTTGATCAAGACCATTTTTGACTCTCTGTTTTTCTCTGTGCATCTTGTAATTTTGTTATAAAAACAAAGTTTGATAATGATCATATTATTCCAATTAATCTTTACTCTAACATGCACAGTGTTTTTTCTTGAGTCATAAACACTCAATTTATCTTTGTATTGTAGGTATGTGCCAACCAAACCTTTTGTCTTTGGTGTTTATCTTATGCTTAGGAATTAATTCTTTGGATGACCAACAGATCTATAAGCTCTCTCTCTCTCATCTCTCTCTCTCTCTCTCTCTCTCTCTCTCTCTCTCTCTCTCTCTCTCCCATTTTCCTATTTGTTTGTTGCCATTGATATAATTTGCATGTGAATGTACTTTCTATATAAAAACTCTCACGTGAAGAAACCTTGTATCTGCAAAACAGTGTATGAGAATAATTATATCATATATGGTATGTCTATATGTATTTAATTTTCAACTATCACTTAATAATGGTGACACACATACAGTACTTGAATAATGAACATGCACACCACAGCTAGTTGCATTTAAGAAATTATCCAACTAAGGATGTGACAAATATTGCAAGTGTACTGCTATAGGATTTGGAAAGAATATCATTGAGAATGTACCCCGGAATCTGAGCTAGGGCAACTTGTCCAATTAGGAAATGTTACAGAATGTATTATATTATGGACATGTCACGAGAAGAATATTTGGAGAAACTGGAATTTCTCAGGATATATATTAGACAAAATTAATCATCTTCAGACCAAAAGATCACAGGGCAACCTAATTAACATGGCCTTATTATGTCATATGCTCACATAAGAGACATTTACAGCTCATATGCATCACTGGAGAGTTAATGTCGTCGCCTCCTTTGTCCGACTATCAATCTAAACTATACATGCACAAAATCATATCTCGAATTAACCTGAAATGATTTATAGTTTCGTTAATCTTACATCTTATATTGCTAAACAATCTAGTAAGAGAATATTTTTATAAGAGCGAAATTTCAAGTGAATTTTGTTCACCATATTATAGAGATCAGTATGAAATATACATTAAAAGGCATCACCCTCACATGTATACAATTAAGCACAATTAAAAGGCACACAATCGTACGTGTTTTTCTGTTTGTAATTTTGTAGTTTTCTCTAGTTAATAGTACTACCCAGATGATAAGCACCAAGTCACCCTCAATGTTTACTTCAATAATTAATTTTTTTTTCCAGTACATGATGGACTGTGTGTCTATATATATACGTGGTAAATATACGTTATATCATAGCTGTTATATAGAATTTTGAGATGTTGATATGATTTGACATAAAAATAATATTGATAATGGAATTTTTGGTGTCTGGAATCCACATGCGAGATTATTACAATGGAAATAATAAGTGCCCCCCGCTTATAAATTTCATCTGTTACAAATAGATGGAGACAAATGCATTATAAATATATATATATATATATATATATATATAAGTAACATTGGAAACTTATCTGGTTTTGGTGCATCAATGAAACCAAAGTGATGCAAACGAAATATAGAAAAAAACAGTGTGTACTTGAATTACAAAATGTACCATAACTTATATGCATATGCATATATATAATATATAGAAATTCTCTTATGCGGAAGTCCGGACATTATTATCGTGCGGACGCTATATATTTTCTACTACTCATTCCTGGTTTCCTCCATGCTTATAATGATATCCGCATAATAATAATGTGTGGACATCCGAACGAGAAAATAACTATATATATTGTACATTATTTTTCATGTCCACTTTTGTGAGAATGTGAAGGTAAAGAGTCTCACATTGGAAAATTAAGAAACCTAGCAAGGACTTATAAGTACTCCCTCCATAGCCAATTGGTTTTGGGGTGAGTCCCACATTAGAAAGTTAAGGAACCTAACAAGAGCTTATAAGGAGTTGGGCTACTCCTCCCATAGCCAATTGGTTTTGAGGTAGAACCTCAACTTCCTTCAACTTTATCTCGGAATTCTTATGACTTTTCAATTTCGGGTCCATATATTTTCACATATTTTTATACAAGTGATATTGAGGAGGGAGGAATTGAACATGACCTCAAATGCATTGGTAACTGCTTTAAAAGCACTTAAATTACAAACCCCTTGGTATAACTTTATCACCTTTTAATTGAACTACAAATTTTAAAGCTCCCCTATCAAGTTGTATTTTTTTTTATCACAAAATTAAGAGTAGAGGGAATAAGATATAAAGAGATTGTGGTTGAAAGACCCTATATATATGAAATATATGAAAGATGAGAACACTGAAATAAGTAGAGCGCATGTTTAAGGATATATGCAAAGGGACAAGAGGAAGGGGTAACTGTGCATGCATGGGGTAAATTGTTTGGTTCTGATGATGAAGCTGGGGCAATCATGTGAATAGATGGTTACCAGATTGTCCACACGTTGAATGCAAACAACCTTGAAAGCAAGTGCTCCAGCTAACACATGAGCTACTACGTACTGATTCGCGAGCCAGAAACTAGCTACTATCAATTATATATATTTATATAATAATATATACCCGGTAATTTTTTATTACAAGACTTCCCATTAGACAAATGCATATGTTAACAAATCGTGAGCAGAGACGAAGCTACAATTCTCAGTGTTTATGGCTGCATTTGGCCTTCAAGACGATTTAGTTGAAGGTAGATTGCTGCTGGTTTCTTTTAGTCGAGAGCATGGTTGAAAATATATCTGAATGAATGGTGCAAACAAATAATTGCCATCAGGTTGGACCCCCTATGCAATATATGCATGTGTATAGCTTAGTTTGGCAGTATTATTTCAAATTTTCCATAGGAATAATGTTGGTCAATTTATGTCATAAAGTGAATTATGATTTGAGAGTATCATTTGCATGTTGTGCAAGAATGCAACTAACTAGGATACGACACATTTGGTTTTGATTGGCATGCATTAGTACTATTAAATTGGCAACTTTTAAAGGAATTAAGTAAAAACAAAGAAATGGCAAATGGGGTTTTGGAGAGAGAGAGAGAGAGAGAGAGAGAGAGAGAGAGAGAGCCCGTGAAGAAGGTTTGGAGGCATTCAGAGCACAAAAACTGAGCATGGTTTGACGCTTCCTTTGCTACTTTCGATGGTGTCCCAATCACGAGTAGATTCCTTCTTCTCACGTAACCCCACCACCACCCTCTCCCTCTCTCGATCACTCTTGCTCTCCTAATACATACATTCCCATGCAAAATGTACCTCTGTTTCAACTTTCATGTATACAGTATATATATATATATATAATTTCCATTATTATTATTTCCAGGAGATGTCATGTCCCCGTACACACCCTCTCTTCCTACCTAGCTTTCTCCTTCTCGATGCTTCTTCTACATCCAATTATTGCTTCTAATTTCATGTATCCACATTTCCAATTTTCCATATCCATGATGGTTACCTCATGGGAAAGGAGAAAATATCAAGTGGACTCCGACTCATGTTTATCTAAATCAGTGAATATAAATAAGATATTATCTTGATTTATTTTTTAGGTTACATATATATGCCGTGAAATAGTTTCTTCCTTGACTATCAACACAATGTACAGATTTTGTGTATGAATGTTTTAGATTACATATAATTTTTTATATTTCTTTTCAATTTGTTCTAATAGTATATATTCTTGAAGATAGATATTTAATTATATATCTCACAGAAAAAGAGAGAGAGAGAGAGAGAGAGAGAGAGAGAGAGAGAGGAGAGAGAGAGAGAGAGAGTAGTTAAGGTTGATCTAATAAATCATTCCACAACTCTTTTTTCACTTTATAAGTACAGATAGCCATCAGCAAGAAACAAGAGAGAGAGAGAGAGAGAGAGAGAGAGAGAGAGAGAGAGAGAGAGAGATAGAGAAGCCATGGTGTCCAAGGTGCAGAAGAGAGCATCAGTGTCCAAGAAACTGCAATCCCTTCGTTCCATCTCCAACTCCCATGCGGTACTCATCTGAAACATCTCTTGTTCTTGGCTTTGCATGCCTCTCTCATTCTCTCCTCTACACATAATTATTCCTCCTTCACACGGATTGTTTATTTTAGTGGGACAAATTAAAGATAACTCTATCACTTATCTTCATCTGATCTTCTTGAAACCTGAATTCCGAGTCTGTAATTTCTCTGGTTTCAAATTAAGGCTCTTTGCAACCTCGATATATCTCTATTGATTTCGTTATTCCCACTTCATTTTTAATCCATATATAATTTGATGTATTATGTGTGTGTGTGTGTGTGTGTGTGTGTGTGTGTGTGTGTGTATTATTTCTCCCTTTGAATTCCCTCTTTCTCCTTATTATTAGTTCCTTAGACTTTTACTCGTAGGGTAGGGATAAAAATTAAAATTCAGGAAGATTGTGTCTCTGTGGCTGACTATGACTATGACCTGACCTTCGTCTCCATGTGTTTTTGTGTCTATGTGTGCAGCACAGTAAAACCTCAATTATATTGGATGCATCCAAGTATATACAAGACTTAAAGCGAAAACTGGAGCAAATGAATCAAGAGATCATTGCCGCAGCGCGTAGCTCATCTGCGGCGCAAAATCCCTTCACGGTGGGTAAAATCTGAATGCACACCAAATATCCTTGCTTAAGTAATTTGTATATAATTAACTCAACAATTAATTGAGGGGTTTTATTCATTTCAGCAACTCAAAGTTGAGCCTCGAGAGGGAGGCTTTCTTATCAAGATGTTCGCTGAAAGGAGCTGCAGTGGGTTACTTGTTTTCATATTGGAAGCTTTTGAGGAGCTAGGCCTTGATGTGCATCAAGCTAGGGTTTCTTGTTCCAACAATTTTCTTCTAGAAGCAGTTGGAACAATTAATGTAAGAATAATATACATGCAGCACATATAGCACTGCACGTACTCAATTGAAACAGACAATTAAAGTTATGCAAACGTGGCATCTATATATATATATATATGTATATGTTAATTTATTTTGACATGTTTGATGATCAAATATTGTGTCATTTTCTGTTGAATTTGGTGTTGCAGGATAATCAAAGTGCTGACCAGAAAGATGCTCAGGCAGTGAAAGAAGCGGTGTTGCAAGCCATTCAAAACTGGAGTGAAGTTACCCAACAAGAATAATAATGCAAGCAGACTCTCAATTCTTGAACTCATCGTTTTCTACTTTCCTTTTTCAGAATTAATGTCCTCTCTCTCTCTCTCTCTCTCTCTCTCTCTCTCTCGTTTTTCTTTTCTTCTTTCCACTCTCCCCTAATGTTTTTGTACGTCCAAATCAGTGGTTGTCTCAAGCATATATATATAGGTTACAGATTTATTAATGTTTTGGTTTATGAATGGATGAGACATATAGCCTATATCTAAAGAGCCCTAAAATTAATAGGGATTTTTGTAGAAATGTCACCTAAACTTATATATCAATTTCAATTTGTCACATTAAAGAAAAATTTAAGCAAAATGTCATCTTAAGTTTTCAAAATCCATGATTTGTCACCTGACTTTAACATCATCCAATTTTCCATCCATTTTGAAGGGTATTTTAATCTTTCCAATATGTAAACCCTCTTTTTTTATATATATAATTTAAATATAAACCTATGTAAACCCTTTTGCTTGGAAAGACTAAAATACCCTTAAAAATGGATGGAAAATTGGATGACGTTAAAGTCAGGTGACAAATCATGCATTTTGAAAACTTAAGGTGACATTTCCCTTAAATTTTTCTTTAAGGTGACAAATTGAAACTAATGTATAAGTTCGTGTGACATTTCTACAATTATCCCAAATTAATAATTAAAACCAACTTACATGCATATCTAATGAGAATTTGCTTTGCTTTAAAATATATATATATATATATACATATATACAATTATTCTTTTATCTGGATGTCCGCACATTATTATTATGTGAATGAGGAGGAAAGCAAGGAGAGATCGTATAAAATACATGGTATCCATAAGATAATAATGTCCAAATGTCCATATAGGAGAAAATATATTTATATATACACATATGCGCAAACTTTGATGTGAATTTGTTGCCACTCACTTTTGTTTCTTCTTCACAATTTTGTGGAAAAGGGAAAACGTAGTTGGGGTGAAAGGCCTTTCGTACCTTAAAGTTCAGTATTATTCATTTCGTATGTATATTTTCATGAATGCCAACCAAAAAGAATGGTTAGTCCACCAATAAAGGTGATCTAAATAACATGTGCCTTTATTTTGAGGACATTTTCTATTGAGAGGGGCAATAACATATTAAACTCACACATATTACATAAATGCTAGGACTCGAACTCATGAGCTCTTGGAACATGTGACTTATTATATGGCTGAGAGTATGAGAATCGTTAATTACCATGGTGGTGGTGGTGGCATATACATGCATGTCATAAATATAACACCTATTGGAAATATAGGAACTTTAGGTGCCTCTCTTGAGACCTGAATATCCAACTTTGAAACGTATGTGAATGTGAAAAAGAGAAAAACTTAACTTGTTTCTCAATCCTCCCCTGTCAGAAACATCAAAGATGGATTTGGCCATAAAACTTTGCACATAACTCATTGTTAATCGCTGCCTTTACAGAAGATTAGGGGAAAGAATAGAAATTTTGTGAAGGGAAAAAAGTGGGCATTTTAGGGGAAAGATTATATGGGTGTAATCATCAAATTGGGAGGGTTCTATAGAATTTTCCCATTGAAAATTTTAATTTTAAGATGGGTGAGCAAAGAGATGGTCACAACAATAGCATCACTCCAATTTTGGGCAAAATTGGACGGTTACTGTTCCCACGTCTTTGGGCTTTAAGAATCTGAAATAAGGCAAAAATACTCCCGATGCATGACACTCCCTATTTTGGTTTTGTTCCACTCATGAGTTTTGCTAGGCACAGTCGCCCACACACACATGGATGATTGTCGGTTCCACTCTAGTACAGCAGATGACACAAATCATACAATGAACGATTTGAGAGATACAGGTTGGCAGCTTGGCAGCTTTTGCCATGCCCTTAATGCAGTGGTTGACTATCAAGCAGTAGCTGCATGGACAACAACAAAATGTCTGTCCTAAAGAAAGACCTGAAACCCAACTGAACTACCATCAACTTTAATTGCTAACCAAACACCATAAGCTCTGGAAGAATAACAACATTCAAAGTATTATGTTCAATAAATCACAAACGAAATATGCATCAAATAGAAAGGTAAACAGAATAGTTGTTTTGACCCAAAAAAGAAAGAAAAAACAGATTAGTTGTATGATGTCAAAATTATGAAAGAAACAGTTGTGAGCAGATGAGACGTACAAAAATTCAACAACTCAAGAACATATTTTAAAGCACAGGAAATCGAGACCCAACTAATGAGATCCATAAATGTGCAGTATGACCTACTAAAGGCAGTTTGGTTTCCTTTCTTCTCTCCCCATGGAAATAAAGTCTGATCAACACCTGAAGATCCACCTAAAAAGTCAGCACCAGCAGTGAATAACCAGGGCTTCCTTGGATGGAATTTACAGTCCTTTACACCTGCATACAACCACAGTGCACAAAAATATTAGCTTCTATCAATATGTCCGTTTCTAAATTCTGCTAGTGAAAAACTTTTTGGGGTTCTGTATTTTAACATTGAATCATGCTTTGATACTGAGTTGACTAGAAATTTGGCCTGCAACTCTGCATTTCTGTTCCCTAAATCCTTAGAGCATCTTATGAAGTCCCTATTCTAGAGTGTAAGATATCTCACCTTATTATACCTTCAAAAACATTGAAGCCCGTAAAAGTATGTTCATGACAGACATTAAAGCCAGCAATCAATAAACTTTTTGCATACGCTAGCCTCATTATATTCATTTTGTTAAAGCACCCAAGAGAACATAAACTAAAGAAAGCTATCAGTCTCACCTCTCCCATTTGAGCTTGTATTACCTCGGAGTATTTTCAACGGACAAATAAGTTGGTAACCATGCCATGAAAAACATATCCAGTGCAATCATCAGCATCTACCTTGTCTCATTGGTTTAGGACTGGTGCAACACTGTCAAACTTTTCCTTCCACACTTTCCAAGCATTCCTGACTTCATCCAATTCTGCATCAGGAATGCCTGTGTTTCTATCTAAGTTTTCAACCCATTCTTTCCAAGGATATCCTGAAGGTTCTAAGAACTTTGAAACTTCAGGCAACATAACAGATGTGTAGAACTCGTCAACAGCCTTAATAATTTCTTCTGATTCAACCATTGCCATCATTTCAGGCCTTGTTACATTTCCAGGTCGTCCTCTGATTGAAAATCTGTTTCCTCTTAAAAACAAAACTTCAGATGGGGCAAGTGGTAGGATTATCCGTGAGAACATGGCCAGTGATAATGTCAAAATATCTCTTGGGAGTAACTTGCGCTTTATGGCCACGGCAGTTCCAACCATTTTGCGAATCTGGTAAGCACATAAAGAGTATTGTTATTGAATTAGTTCTCCAAGTAAGAAGCAGCCAAACGACAGGAAGAAGAAGCCTAAGTTATTTAGGTGAAATCTGAAATACAGATGAGAGGAACTAGAGAGGTTGTTGTACCATGTGTATGCATGTGTTAAAGAATTTTCAGGGTCACACTAAAATGACTTACTTGATGTAACATGAAAGACTCTCCCGAAATGGAAAGTTCAACATAATCATGTCCAAGCGACTTCTCTAGCTTCCCACAAGAACAGCGAAAAATCTTTCTGAAATGAGAAGCACTTATTCTATCTCTTTCATCAGGTTCATATAACCATCTTGCACGGATGACTGAACTAGCACTTTGATCGTTGCCACCATCTCCCTGCTTCTCGCAAGCATTGCGTAAGTTGCCCTCACTATTGCTAGACGGTGAAGAATTTTGGTTCAGTACCTCGGCATCTGATTCTGGTGTGTTTGTTCCATCCAAATTTTCATCCACATCACTTTCCTCATACTCAGAGGCTGATGCCTCTCCAGTTGATCTCCCTGTTATTGACACACTTCCATGTCTACGTGATTTTTTTACAGGAAGCTTCCTCCTGTATTTAGATCGTATGGTATAATTATGAAAAGGATGTTCTCCCTGCAGAGTACATTGACAGACACTGACTGTTCAACTCAATAATTTTTTTTTTTCAAGACAGCGACTAAATTAGGTGCTGGAAGGAATCACAATGGTATAAAGGAAATGAATTTGAAGACAAAAACACCACACCTCGAAACAATTTAGTATACTATTGAAGTCTGAGATGTGATAATCAATTTCTGCTGCGCTGAAGTGGCTTTTGATTCCAATAACATCAGCAGGAAGGAGGTATGAATACATGCGGAGATTACACTCCTTTCTAGGATCAAAGCTCCTAAAAAAACAAGAAATCAAATTGACTACCATAAATAAACTTGTAGAGAAAAATCAAGTGCATGTCATTACAATAAGAAGGGATATCTCAGGAAAATCTAGGTTAAACTAATATCTGCAAATTGCAACTATCACACTAACAAGGAAAAGCATGTCGTTACTGTCTAAATACCAAAATCTCTCACTCATTTCATACCTATTGATGGTATTCTATAATTTATACTAGAAAGGTGAATAACAAATGATCTCACCTCTGCGCAGGCAAAATGCTAAAAACTTTGATATTATGAGGAAGATAATAGTTAATGTGATTCACAAGGGCAATGCCATAAGGGTCTCCATCCCATGCTTTCTCCGGGATTTCCATTTTAAATGATATCATCGTCGCTAATGAGTGAACCTACAATATAAATTTCATCACAACAAATATCAAAAACCAACATCCTCATAGAATGCAGCAGCAAACAATAAGGTTGCAACAAACAAACAGAAATCAGTTATAAGTCAGTTTCATTACTCCTTTATCTGTTCGGCTACTTCTGGCCCACGCAATCTTGTTAAGGTTCCCGAGATTACTATCGCTGATACCGCCGGCATTGAATATGGCCGTTTCCAGTTCTTTTTCAATAGCTACATTTCAAAATTGTAATATGCTTTTTAGCTATATCCCATCCACGTATGCTAAGCTGATTCAAATATGTCTGTTACATGTCAATGACTCAATGTTCAATTTCTTATGGCATGGTCTTTTAACATAACTAGTTCATCCAAAATTTGTAGGATTTATCAGCTCTATCAGTAATTTATAAAAATCAATAAATAAATAAATAATTTTCGTTATTTTCAAGCTAAAAGAAAATTTTCCACGGGCAAGGATGAAGAAACTTACTAGATAATGAATGTTCGTCTCGTTGCATTTGCAAGCCTGAAAGCAAATACATAAGAAAACTATAAAATATTGAACTTTGCATATAAAAGGCAAAACACAATGAAAGTATCGAACTTTAATGTAATAAATTAACAACAAAGAGATTTGAAACGGACCTCGGTAATCGGAGCCGACGTACCCGACCCGGAGAACCACTTTCTTCTTTCGAACGGATTGCCATTTGTCAAGGTGGGTTGAGGTTTGTTGTTGAGCAGTAGAGGAGATGGAGGAGGAGATGGAGGAGGAGCAGTAAATAAGGTTCAATCTTAGGGGTAAAATTGGTTTTGAGAAACGGAAGCTCTGAATTGGGAGTCTTGGAAGCCACAGCGAGAACGGGAGACGCAGAGAAGAGATGGCCATGTTTGAAATTTGGAGAGCAGGGAGGCTGGACTGCAGCCACAGTTTCCTGCGGCTTGTGACTGGTGAGTGTACAAAATTTTGTGCTAATCTTTGGGACCTGCAAATTTATTTTTGTGCTAATTTATTTATTTTTAATTTATTTATTTATTTAATTTTTTTTTTTTTTTTTTTTTTTTTTTTTTGTGTTGTAATAAAATCGGCATGTGTTTAACTTATGTCAATCGGGTCTAGCCTAGTAAAAAAAAGGCTTTAGTGACTCCTCTTCTCTTTCTAACTTTGACAACAAATAAAAAAAAATTAACCTAACTTATATATGTTTGTGTTGTATTAATAGAAAATGACATTGACTTGCAAGTTAATGGTCTCAGATTCACACCTTTATAATAGCACTTTTGGTAATGTGTGAGAGAGAAACATCCCTCCCCTTATTATTTAGATAATCATTTGTACTAAAAACAGGAGTTATATCATGTTACATGAATAATTAGGATTGCATGATATTCGATTGTCGTTTGTACTACACACATCAACAAAAACTTTATATCGTAAATTAATAATAATTGACAAAAAAATTTGCCGCTAAAGATAGAGAACGAATTGGGTTATGAATTTTGGTTTTTGTATCAAGTAACTGATATCAATGTGTAAGATGAAGCATAGAATTTCTTTGAGTGCTACTGCCATTCGATGTTATTAATCCATGTATAATTGATATGCATGATTTTAATAAAATAAATAGTACATTTGTTATATGTTATAATATAAGTAGATTAGTAACACTATATGACAATGTGGTAATTTAATATTCACATAAAATTACTCGATTAAGCATAACTATAAGGGATTAATAATAAATAAAAATAAAAATTGAAATATATTTAAAGAGTACAGTCGCGCGGCTATACTATTTCAATATTCGAATATATTTTAAGCGTATAGCCGCACGGCTATACTCTTTGAATATTAATATTTAAAACATATAACCGCGCGGCTATACGTTTTAAATATATTCGGAGTTTTTTAGTTTAATATTTAAAATTAAGAAATATATTAGCCTGATTTAATTACTCTAATTACTAATTATATTTCAATTCTTATTTATTTAGTGAATAATTATTATTTAAATATTTTAATTTATTTAATAAATTACTCAATATATAGTATTTAATAATTTTAAATTATTTTGTGGAATTTGATTTTTAAAAATTTCATACAAATTAGTTTGTTTAGTTTAATATTTGCATTTACGTAATATCTTAGCCTTATTTAATTACTTTAATTAGTAATTAGTTTGTAATTATTTTTTTTAGTGAATAATAATTATTTAAATATTCTATTTAATTTAGAAATTACTTAATAAATCGTATTTAATTCTTTAAAATTCTTATGGACTTGAAAAAATATTTTTAATTTCCAGAAGTATTTTAAAATAGTTTCTATTATTTAAAAATCCTAGAAAATTCTTTTAAGTACCCAAAAATATTGTAAAAACTATTTTAGTATTCCAAAAATTGATTTTAGTCTCCAAACCTGAAATCCAAGTCTTGAACCAAAAAAACCTAACTTCCAAACTTGTTCCAAAACCGTTCTCAAGCATCAAACCCTAACCATAAGCCGACTATAGGGCACTTATGACTCGATTAGGCTTGGATACTCATATAACTCGACGTAATGTTTTACGATTAGGTTTTTGATATCACTGTACAACATAACCAGACCTAATCCTAGTTAGTTGGGCTTGCTGATTCGTTGCTATTTTAAAGGGTAATATATTTAAATAGTACAACAGTGCACTATACTTTTTAAATATATTCTAATATTTATATTATTTTATTATATATTTTTTTAATCAAAATTAGTTTTTTTAGTTTAATATTTGTAATTAAAAAAATATCTTCGCCTTATTTAATTACTTTAATTACTAATTATATTTTAATTATTATTTATTTATTTAATAATTAGTATTTAAATATTTTAATTAATTTCATAAATTACGCAATATATAGTAATTAATTATTTTAAATTATTTTGTAGACTTTTAAAAAAATATTTTCGTACAGATTAGTTTGTTTAATTAAGTAATATCTTAATATTATTTAATTACTTTAATTATTATTTATTCAATGAATAATTAGTATTTAAATATTTTCATTAATTTCATAAATTACTTAATAAATATTTTTATGGACTTGAAAAACTATTTTTAATTTTTAAAAGTATTTTAAAAATATTTTGTATTATTTAAAAAATCTGGAAATTTTTTTTAAGTAACCAAAAATATTGTAAAACCTATTTTAGTATTTCAAAAACTGATTTTAGCCTCGAAACATGAAACCGAAAAACCTGACTTCCAAACTTTTTTCAAAACCGTTCTGAAGTCTCGAACCCTAACCATGAGCCTACTCTTCTTTGAACCAAATCACAGTTATTTTAGTCCGATTTGAAGTTCGAACAAAAGCACTTGGTTTATTTTGGTTCGGCCGGTTTAAATGATTCGACCAATTCGAAAGGGTGGGATTTCGCCCACCTACAGCCCCTTTCAGAAAAAGCCCTCAACATAAAAACACTTTTAGCCCATTCAGAATTAGCATCAAGTCCACAGCTAAAAGCCCATGGTACCCTAAAACAGCCTAACGTTGTAGATCACGGTAGCAGGCTATCATTTGTTTCATTTTGTCTTCTTCCCTGGCTCTCTATCTTCACTTTCGCCCTGTTATCTTCTTCCATCACTGGTTTCCGTTAAACCCTATATAACCCTCCGATCCCAAACCCTAGAAAATCCACACTCCACTCTCACACCCTCCGTAAACGACGTCGTCCCCCTTTACCCCATCACAGAGGGACCCATGAATCCCTCCACCCTCACACCGCAGCGTTCCGTTCTCCACTCGCCGTTCCTCAACCCCATCTCTCTCCCCGCCGCAACCTCCGGACAGACCAGACGACGCCGTTTCAGAGTCTCATTTCCCCGAAACTCAGCCACCCCCTCGGACCAATCAACTGGCTCCACGTCAACGCCGCCTCCCGATGTATTTGGAGGCAAGAGAGAGCTCACGGGCATCCAGCCCGTCGTCGAGAAGCTGTCGCCGCCGCTCCGTTTGGCGACCTCGGCAATTGTCATAGCCGGAGCTGTGGCTGCGGGTTACGGGTTGGGTCTCCGGTTAAGCAAGTCGCAAAACACAGCGTTTGGCGGTGCCGCAGTGCTCGGAGCCGCCGGTGGGGCTGCCGCTTACGCTTTGAACTCTTGTGCTCCTGAAGTCGCCGCCATCGATTTGCACAATTACGTTGCTGGGGTCGACGATCCCAAAGCTGTTAAGAAGGAGGACATAGAAGACATTGCAAGAAAGTGAGAACCAAGTAGCAAAATTCTCAAGGGGGTTTTTCAATTTACAGCGATTTTAATTGAATTGAATTTTAAAATTTGTTAATTTTGCAGATATGGTGTGAGCAAGCAAGACGAGGCGTTTAATGCCGAGCTCTGTGATTTGTACTGTCGTTTTGTCACTTCTGTTCTTCCTCCTGGAGCCGAAGAACTTAAAGGTGACGAAGTTGAAACGATCGTGAGCTTCAAAAACTCTCTGGGCATTGATGACCCTGAAGCAGCTTCAATGCATATGGAGGTGGGTCTTTATTTACTTATCTGTTTGTGAAAGCAAATGTATCTACTTCTTTCTCCACCTCAAGCTTGTTAGCAATTTTCAGATTGGTAGGCGAATTTTCAGACAGAGGCTTGAGACTGACCGTGAGGGTGATCTAGAGCAGCGTCGGGTAGGTCTTTTCTGCTCGAAACTTTGAGCTTGTTGCACCTGTTTTGAATAATTGAGGTTCAGGGCTTTGACCATTGTTAGTGAATCTCCAGTGCAGGCATTTCAGAAGCTGATTTATGTTTCAACTCTTGTGTTCGGAGATGCTTCGTCTTTCCTCTTACCTTGGAAGCGTGTTTTCAAGATCACCGATTCCCAGGTATCCTAGTTTGCAATTGCTGTGACTGTTAATATGTTCATACTTTGTGCTGTATACTTGGAGTCATTTTTCTTCCCATCTTAATAGTTAATTTGTCGTGGTCTAAACTTAATTGGGTCAAATTCGCATGATATCATAATTCAGTATTCATTGGTTTTTTTGGCTGCATGATTCACGATTCTCTTTTTCTGGTAGGTGGAGCTGGCTATCCGTGATAATGCCCAGCGTTTATATGCTTCCAAGCTAAAATCAGTTGGCAGAGGTAACCACATCATCCATTAAGGCCTTTATCATTCACTACCCAGTTAGAAGCAGGATATAAACCCTGACCAATTGAAATTTGTGTTTAAATTTGACCTATTGTAGGGAATTGTTCATGCGCTTGTTTGATTGTTTGTTATATTCTAAATCTGTATTTCTCAAACGACGACGTCCTTACCGTTGGCATTTATTAGTTTGATGGTCCATTTTAAGACGCTACAATTTGTTAATTATCTCAAAGGGAGTGGCAGGTTAACATATGATGTTACTTGCTCAAAGTCTCTCTTTTCAAGTAATTTTTCAAAAGAGAATTTCAATAGATGATCTTAGCAGTTTGGTTATACAAGTTTGTAACGCTCTTACTCAGTTTATGTTTTAATTTCTGACAAAGTTGACTATAATATTGTCAGATATTGATGCGGAGCAGCTCGTTAGGCTTAAAGAAGCACAACACGCGTATCGGCTTTCTGATGAGGTACCTTCTTTGCAATGTGTTTGCTAGACCTGCTGCAGTTTTCTTATAGTTGTTTCTCAATGTGGATAATTATTTTTGATGCAGTATGCAGAGGACTTGTTCAAGGAACACGCAAGAAAATTAGTCGAGGCAAATATTTCAGCAGCACTTAGTATAATCAAGTCCAGAACAAGGGCGGCGTATGTTCACTATCCATAAATAACTGCAGCTGATTACTATGTTTATTTGTTGTAAAACTTAAGCTGCTATCATCTAAATTTAGCTAGGATTTAGTTGTGTATGATTCCTTTTCCTTTTCTGTATGAACTAGTCAGAGAGATTATGTTCCTGCACAATTGAATGTAGAAAGATATTTTATTCTTTTTCAATTCTGTTAAAGATTTTTTTGCTCCAGTAAGATTAAATGGTTGTTCAAAATTGTAACACTAGTAGCATCTAACAAATTTAGCTTTTTAGTAGGGGAGTCACGCAAGTTGTGGAAGAGCTTGAGAAGATGCTAGCATTCAATAGTTTGCTCATCTCACTAAAGAACCAGCCAGATGCAGCTCGCTTTGCACCTGGGGTTGGGCCAATTTCTTTACTTGGTAAGAATCTGCACTGGTTTCTTGCTTGTATGTTTCTAATCGCTCAGTTTTGTACACCCTGCTGTGCTTACTTGTATCTCTGAATTAGGTGGAGAGTATTATGGTGATAGAAAGATTGACGACTTGAAGCTCCTTTTCAGAGCATATGTTACGGATTCTTTATCCACAGGTCGCTTGGAAGAGAATAAGGTAAACAAAGGCTTGTGTGCATACTTTTCACTTTATGAACTGCATTAACAACTGCTATGACTGCTGCTGCTGCCATTTCTTCTATTGTTATTCATAATTAACTTTTGCCTGTGTAGCTTTCCGCCTTGAATCAGTTAAGGAATATATTTGGTTTAGGCAAACGAGAGGCAGAATCCATTGTGCTTGATATTACTTCGAAGGTATACCGAAAACGTCTTTCACAGGCTGTTAGTGCGGGTGAGTTAGAAGCAGCAGATAGCAAAGCAGCCTTCCTTCAAAATATCTGTGAAGAGCTGCACTTTGATCCAGAGAGAGCAAGTCAGATTCATGAAGGTAATGGAAGTTGTAATGCTTGTCATATGCACAGCTTATTTTTAAATATCCATTGTGGATACTCGCTATCTTCAGTCAGTTTTTATTTAATAATGTTTATGCAATAATTGGCATCCGATTTTAGTTATACATTTGATTCTCTGATATTTGGTATTGGCTAGTGTTTTAGTTGCTGCCTTGCTGGTTTGAACATTAGAATGGAAAGAAATCAAGATTGAAATGAAATGGAATCAAAATGAGAATATAATTGGCATTATCCATCAGTTTAGGGGAATGGACATTCCATAGGGAAGGCAATTTCCTTTTTTAGGTCAATCAAGACAGTCAAACGTGCATTTAGGAATATCTGTTCCATGCCTTAGTTCATTCCAATGAACCAAACACTACCTTAGTGCTATAATGGATAGTCTGTTTGTTCCTCTTAAAATCTGACTTGTTTTTCTTGTTTAAGAAATTTACCGGCAAAAGCTTCAGCTTTGTGTTGCTGATGGAGAGCTGAACGAGGAGGATGTTGCTGCATTGTTGAGGCTACGGGTGATGCTTTGTATACCTCAGCAGACTGTTGAAGCTGCCCATTCAGATATCTGTGGCAGTTTGTTTGAAAAGGTCAGTGCATTTCTTCTTTTAATTCCTCTGTCTGTTATCTTATCTGAGATCCATGGTTATCATTGGACAGTACTATTTTCCCCAAGACCCTTCATTTGCATGTGTACACTTACCACGAAGATTTGTTTCTTAGTTTTAGTTGCATCTTAGCTCAGCCTTCCTATGAGTGGAACCGTTATTCATGAAGTTTTTAGATGCTTTAATATGTTGAAAAGCAGTCTGCTATTGTGAAACAAGCTTTATACTGATTTTTGTTTCTGTCCAGGTTGTGAAGGATGCAATTGCATCTGGTGTTGATGGTTACGACGCTGATGTAAAACAAGCTGTGAGAAAGGCAGCTCATGGTTTGCGATTGTCTAGGGAAGCTGCCATGTCTATAGCCAGCAAGGCTGTGAGTATCCACTTTGATTGCTTCTTTTGATGTGACATTTGTGAATTTGAATTTAACGTCTTCTTTTCTTCTTTGCTTACTTTTACTATCATGCAGGTCCGAAAGATTTTTATTAACTATGTAAAACGAGCACGGTCAGTTGGGAGCCGTACTGAGGCTGCAAAAGAACTTAAAAAAATGATAGCTTTCAACACATTAGTTGTGACTGAATTGGTGGCAGACATAAAAGGGGAATCATCTGATACCTCTCCAGAAGAGCCAATAAAGGAGCAAGAAATAGAGGTTCTAGAGGATGAGGAATGGGAATCTATTCAGACACTTAGAAAGATAAGACCTGACAAGGAACTTGCTGCAAAGTTGGGGAAGCCTGGCCAGACTGAGATAACTCTTAAAGATGACCTTCAGGAAAGAGAGAGGACTGACCTATACAAAACATACTTACTCTTTTGTATAACTGGTGAAGTTAAGAGGATTCCATTTGGTGCTCAGATAACTACAAAGAAGGATGATTCAGAGTATGTGCTACTAAATCAACTTGGGGGGATATTGGGTTTGAGCACTACGGAGATAGTGGAAGTGCACAGAAGCCTGGCCGAACAAGCTTTCAGGCAACAGGCAGAGGTGATTTTAGCTGATGGACAATTGACAAAAGCCAGGGTAGAGCAACTTAATGAGTTGCAGAAGCAAGTTGGGTTACCTCCGCAATATGTGCAAAAGATAATAAAGAATATAACAACTACAAAAATGGCAGCTGCCATTGAAACCGCTATTGGTCAGGGGAGGCTCAATATTAAGCAGATAAGAGAACTTAAAGAATCAAGTGTTGATTTAGACAGCATGATATCTGAAACCTTGCGAGAGAGCCTGTTTAAAAAAACTGTAGACGAGATATTCTCATCGGGCACTGGAGAGTTTGATGAGGAGGAAGTCTATGAGAAAATCCCGTTAGATCTCAATATTAATGCTGAGAAGGCTAAGAATGTTGTTCAAGAGCTTGCACGGAGCAGATTATCAAACTCACTTATTCAAGCTGTGTCACTTTTGAGGCAGAGAAATCGTCAAGGAGTGGTAATGGATTTTGTTTATCTGTTATTATTTTACTCCTGCAAGTGCTGAGTGCTAATTTTGGTTGGTGGATACTTTGGAAATGGGCTGGTAAGATTTGACTGATTTGCACAGAAAAATCTGATGCCTTGCTTCTGTTTGCAGGTTTCTTCTCTTAATGACTTGCTGGCTTGTGACAAAGCTGTACCTGCCAAGCCACTTTCATGGGACGTGCCAGAGGAGCTAGCTGATCTGTTTGCTATATACCTGAAAAGTGACCCAGCACCAGAGAAATTATCGCGCTTGCAGTATCTGCTGGACATTAATGATTCTACAGCAGCTTCTCTCCGGGAGATGGGAGATAGATTACAACCTATTGGCGCAGAGGAGGAAAACTTTGTATTCTGAGAAGGCGCAATGGGGAAAGAGCCTGAGTGGCTCATTTTTGTTCATCATCTTGTTTCCATGATAGAGAGCAAATGAGAGAATTTATAATGTGATTATAGACAAGTTGTCAATCCAACATGAAATTATGAAAGTCTGGGTAGCTGCAAAATAAGATTTGTTGTATCTTTTTATTTTTGTTATACGAGGAAGTCATCTACTGAGTAAATGTTTTATGAATCAGGGAAGCTCACTTCTGTTTTGGAATTTAATAGTTACTATGCACTGGCTTGACACAAAACATTGCATGCTAAGGCCATGTTTCATCCTTCAACCCTGATCGCGTCAGTTGCTGCAGAACTGTGGGATGTCCAGTCAATCAATCTCAGCAAATTAAGCTAATTAGCGTCTTCAATACTCGTACATAACCCTTATGTCAATAATTCGTAGCAAAAATGCTGACCAACCAGACATGAAAATCTTGTAATTTTTACTGTCACCTGAGTTTTACTTGCTCTGGAAGTAATCTGCTGACATTGACAATCCTATCAACTTGGGGGATTGACTTTGAGTCAGATTTAAGTTAGGTTAATGTGCACACCATCTTTCACTCGAGTTCGAATTCTCCTCGTAGATTACAGTAGTTATAATATCACATTGTGAAAAAAATAACTTGGCGGATTTTGAGGAAAATCATGGCCAAAGACAAAATGGGTACTAGAAGGTGGCAATTATATTAGATGTGGTATTAGGTCCACTGAGTCCATGTTATCTCGTTTCCTTTCATGATTTCCCTTTAGCTTATATGGAATTGTCAAACATGAAATAGCCATATTCAAAGGAAAAATGAAAGCTTTGAATTTAATCCTCCAGATGCCCACTGAATTCGTATAACAAGTTTGGGGCATTTAGACTTTGCTTACCCTTCTGAAGCGCTTTATGGAATTTTTGTTATACAGATGTTGGAAGTTTCTAAAGTTTGGGGCAATTGCAAAAACATTTTTTTCCAATTTCAACCAGGTTCATGCAAAGGTGGTAGTAAAATAACATATGCAAGTTGCAATTTACCTTTTGTTGGTTTGACTAAATTTGATTCCTCCATGAAAAACATGTTCACATATGTAACATAACATCAAACGTAGTCTGATGGTCAAATCACTATTGTGTTTAGTTCTCCCTCTTTCTCCCCTTAACGCTGTGTAGCAAACAGTAACGCAGTAAAATTCAGCGAGACATCCTCTGCATTACAATGATAGGTCAGCCACTTTTTTTTTTTATGAAGTGGAGTTTGGGTTGAAGAGTACTTTAGATACTAAAGAATAATAAAACTGTTGAAATTTCAATGTTTGATTTTTAATAGTTAGACAATTTTGGTAGGTTTGGATAAAGTTTTAGTATTGACTTAGAACCATTAATAGTAAATTGGCAAACAGTTAAAAATCCACTAAAGCAATCCTCTATTTATACATGTTTTAAGCTCCATTCCACTGGAGAAAGAAAAAAGTGAAACAAGTTTCTTGCCCTCTATTTTTTGGCATTATGACTTTTATCTCACACTATAACAGATTCTGCTTCTTTGTGCTTTTGATGCTGCTTAGGATAGCATCTGCACAATTGTCCTCAGATTATTATGCAACAACGTGCCCCCGAGCCCTTTCTGTCGTTAAGAGTGCAGTTATTAATGCGGTGGTGAAGGAGCATCGGATGGGGGCGTCCTTGCTCCGTCTCCATTTCCATGATTGCTTTGTTAATGCATGTCCTTTCCCACCCTCCCTCCTTTCCCACCAAGTTTATATTTGATTGAGCTAGTACTTGTCACTGTGTTTTAATTTCATATATGTTAGGAATTGTGTGAAATGTTGTCCAAAACTAGCTGAAATGACCAGAGAGAGCACTCTTCTTGGTGCCTTCATGGCAGTATGACTCAACAAGAGAAAGCAGCATACACAACTTTGTTATTTCTAGTTATAATTTATACATATTTGGCTGCAACTTCATGTAATAAATATGCTTGTTGTAGAAAGAAACTAGGAAGCTTTGCCTGCATGCATATGAACAATTACAAAAGGATTAATTTATTGTGTTCTTGAAGTTCAATAACAAAAATCACAAACAAAATCCTTCTTGGTCATTATTAGTATTGATGAATTTTTCGTATGGTTTTCAACAGGGATGTGATGCATCTGTATTATTAGACGACACTTCAAATTTCACTGGGGAAAAGACAGCTTTACCAAATGTAGGATCATTGAGGGGATTCGAAGTGATAGATACTATAAAATCTCAGCTAGAAAGTATCTGCCCCGGTGTTGTTTCGTGTGCAGATATCCTTGCCATTGCAGCCCGCGATTCAGTTCTTTCAGTAAGTCACATTTTTGGCCTAAAAGAAAGAGTAGAAGTCATGAAAGTTGAAAGGAATAAGTAATTGCTATATAGTTAGATGATGTTAATTTATGTTTATGCAGTTTGGTGGCCCTTCATGGACAGTTCAGTTGGGCAGAAGAGACTCAACCACAGCAAGTTTAAGTGATGCAAATACTGAACTCCCATCTCCAAGTCTAGATCTTAAAGACCTCATCTCTTCTTTCTCAACTAAAGGATTTAGTGCCAAAGAATTGGTGGCTCTCTCTGGTAAGTACATAATGTAAAAAGCAACAAAGTATTTGGGTACTTCTTGAAATTTCAATTACTTGACTTCCAAGAAATTATATTTGATTCACTTACTTGCATAATCTGTCTCCTCTAATGAAAACCATTCATGTTTACGACTAGGATCTCACACAATGGGTCAAGCCAGGTGTCGAATGTTCCGAAACAGAATATATAATGAGACTAACATCAATTCAGAATTTGCTACCTTCTTGAAATCAAACTGTACTCAGAGCTCTGGGACTGATGACAACCTTTCTCCACTGGATATTACAAGCCCGGTTTTCTTTGATAACGCTTATTTCAAGAACTTGGTGGATAGCGAGGGTCTCTTGCATTCTGATCAGCAACTTTTCAGTGGTGGTTCAACAGACTCTCTGGTTACCACTTATAGCACCAGCTCTGGAACTTTTTATACAGATTTTGCCAATGCCATGGTGAAAATGGGGAACCTTAGCCCGCTTACAGGAACCAGTGGTCAAATTCGTACCAACTGTCGCAAAACAAATTGATCCGAGGCGTTGAAAGTGATCTAGTTCAGTACAAATCAAGTGATATATGAGATGAAGTAACTCTTTATTTTAATTTTTCCTAGTTCTTGCCTTGATTAGAATCGGTGTGAAATATAATTATGTTGTATGCCAATCTCAAAACAGAAATGTAGAATTACAACTACTATTTAATAAGATAGCTGATCTGAACTACAAATTCATATCTGTAAGTCAGAAGACAGCATAAACTATTGACCTCTGCTATTCATACAAGTATTTTGCACAAAGACATTGCTACCTTGTTCAGAATTATGTGGCCTTGTGCACAAATAAATTTTTTGTTTAAAATCAGAGAACAACTGAATTGCAAAAAAGGTTGAAACAAAATCATACGACAGCCTTTTTTTTTATGCTCACCAAACACAGCCTTACTATCCTGCAATTGAGTCTTGTATCCCCAAAATCTCGATCAGAAAAGGGCCAAAATCTGATTAAAGTGTATTATGTTAGCTTAAATCTATACCAAAATGGCAGATGTTCACTGTCACTGTTGAAAAATCTTTGCTTGGATAAGTGCCTAAGATTGCGAAAAATGGATACAAACCACATTTCATTTGTTGCTTTCTTTGATGTTTTTTGCTTCCACCAATAATTTGATTATTGTGCCTGCACAATACATCTCTGCAGTTTTATTTATTATTTATGCAGAAAACAATTCAAGGAAAAAAAAAACCTAAATAATATAGTAGACTGACTTTATGAGAATTTAAGAGTAGAGAATTCTGTGTTTAGAATGACAAAATAACTGGATCTATAATCTTTATGCCCATAAGTTGGTGTTGGATCCATATTACATATGTCACAAGAAAAAACACTTACCAAGTAATGATTTATTTTTTATTTTTTTATTTTATGTAGGTCAAAGCCTCTGTTCTAATTGTTCTAATAACCAAATGACAAATAATAATAATAATAAAAATAATAAAAAGGGCCGAAAAAGATTTTTTTTTAAAGTAAAGATTTAAATTAAAAAGTCAAACTCAAATCCTTGTTATGTAATGTAACAGTTGAATATTTTCCAAAAAGCATTTAGAAATATCCAATTCTGATATGTAATTAATGGATTTGAAAATAATCTATAATATGTAATTAATGGTTGAACATCTATAATATGGAATTAATTGTTGAATCAGATTGATTGGTATGGCTAGAACAGTTCATTTGAAAATTTCGAAGGCTGTCTAGCCTTCAAGTTTATCATCCTTTCTTTTCTGGGTTCTGTTATCAGCCTTCAAGACCAAAACTAGAACTGCATAGCTTGTTCAGATTTTGAGCAACTATTTTGGCCAGTCTTTGTTTGTTTGTTCAAATGTAGGCTGACAAACAGTGCCATTTGCTAATTAAATACACACCAAAATTAGGATCAATAACTAAATACCATAGACATATATTAATAAAAGCGTTCAGCAATTATTCAAACTAGATTTTTGGAATGTTTAACACAGTGGACATAACAACTCTCCAATGTTGCTTCACTCTGTTTTCAAGTAGACACATATTAAGTCTTAGTTGATTTTCCTGCAATTGAGCCTTATCTCACCATCAGATCCAGTGAGAGGCTTTATGTTACCCATCTTGACCATGGAAGCCCCAAAATCTTCTTCGAAATCCTGGGGGCTATTAGCGTAATGCTGCACCAGATTATCGCTATCACTGCCATCACTTTTAAAGAGCTCCTGATCAGAATGGAAGAGACCTTTTTTCTGCAGCAAAGACTTGAAGTACACGGTATCAAAATGAGTCGTAGTTGAGTCTATTGGCGCAGTGTTGTCGTCTCCACCATTTGCAGGACAACCTTTTTGCAAGGAGGCGGCAAACTCTGAGTCTATATTGGTGTCATTGTAAATCCTGGCTCTGAAAGTGGTGCACCTAGCTAGTCCAATGGTGTGGCCCCCTGAGAGGAGGATCAGATCTTGCAGGCCTAGACCATGAGATCGAAAGATGGAGAGAAGCTGAGAGAAGTCGAAAGTTGGAGCAGGAAGATTTCTGTTTGCATCATCCAAGACTGCAGTTGTTGCATCTCTTCTACCCAATTGTACTTCATAGGAATAGGAAGGACCTCCCAGCTAAACACAAGCAGCACAAGAGTTGGACTAATTTATCCATTTTTAACTAGGCTAATTTGTTATTATGGTGCCAGGCTATGAAATTGTATGATTGATCAAGTGTATTATTAGTTAAATGCACGGTTCAAATTGAGAGTCCAGCAACATAACATGTCAAATATAAAATGGCTAAAAAGCCTTTTAGACAGTTTTGACATTGAAGACTCTTTTTTAACACTTACAATCTCAACCGAGTCACGAGCTGCAACTGCTAAGATGTCTGCACATGATACCACATTGCCATAGCAATCTCTATTGAGGGCTGCTTTAATGTCATCAACCACATCAAAACCTCTAACCGAGTTCAGATTTGGACCAGCCGTCTTCTCACCAGTGAAGCTATCCGTATCGTCGAGCAAAATTGATCCATCACACCCCTGTCACCAAGATGGAAAAATTCAAACTAATCAATATGTCTTAGTATTAAAAATCTTCACGATTTTTTAAACATAAGTATTAATACAAATAATCCAAGATGATTAATGTCAAACAACTATCTCCTTTTTTGTTAGGTAAAAACTGTACAGTTTCCAAATCTCAAGTGATCTTTTTTCCTTGTCCATACAGAGGTGAAACTTGACCATACACACTCTAAAAGTGTTTGGTTTTGTAACACTCATTCAAATAAGTATTCATATGATCAATGCTTCAGATTCACAGTCTGACAACAGACAGTATTTCGCTACCTTGAGGAAAAGTATGGCTCTGTTTGTATACAAGAAATAACAAAAAAAAGAAGATATTGAACACAGCCACAAAATGAAACCTACATTGACAAAGCAGTCATGGAAGTGCAAGCGTAGAAGCGACGCTCCCATGCGTGCCTCCTGGTTAATAGCTCTCTGGACTACTGATCTGATGATCTGCAATGCCTGAGGGCAGGACTGCTTATAGAAATCAGAAGTGAGTTGCGCAGTGCATGTAGTTGGGACCAACACAATAGCAGCTGCAACAAAAAAAGTAGTGACAAAAACATAGACAGATTGATGACAATTAATTGCTGCCATGGTATATACGTTAGTTGAGCTAACTACTCTGGCTAATTTGCATGCAACAAGTTGAAGAGACTGAGTGTTCATATATAGAGGTGATAGAACACTGTTAGCTTCCTATGTTTCCATCATTAATTCTAATATCCTATTATATTAGACTAGCTGATGTCATAGATGATTAATTCAGAACATGTTAGTTGTCAAGAGATTACTAAGTCCATTAATTCTCTATCCCGGAAATAATATAATTGATTTTGTACCATGTTACACTCCATCGAATGTGGACTCGTTCCGACCTCCTTTGTTTTTGTATAAAAATGTTTGGGGCTTTGACCCCTTGTGTATGATCAAATTTGTTTCTGTTTACCACTATTTCTAAAAGCCTAAGTTATTAGATGTGAGCTAACAACTATCCTAGTATTCCATTTACTGCTTCATCCATTTGTTTAATATCCATTTTTTGTCTTGCCTTGTGTGGAGTGTGCAATATAAACACAACCCAGTTCTCCTCCCCTTCTCTTGCACCTCACCGCCGGCCGCCAGCCATAACTAGAACTGCATAACCTGTTGACTTTTGAGCATCTATTTTGGCCGGTCTTTGTTTAAATGCAGGCTGACATTATATCTTGTATGCCATTGGCCAACTCAATACACTCCAAAATTAGATTAATAACTAAATACCATAGACGTATATTAATAAAAGAGTTCAGCAATTATTCAAACTAGATTTTAAATGTTTTACACAATGGACACAACAACTCTCCAATGTTGCTTTACTCTGTTACTTTGAGTGGACATATTTTAGTCCTAGTTGATTTTCCTGCAATTGAGCCGTATCTCACCAGCATATCCAGTGAGGGGGTTTATGTTACCCATCTTGATCATGGAAGCCCCAAAATCTACTTTGAAATCCTCGGGGCTGTTAGCGTAATGCTGCACCAGATTATCGCTATCACTGCCATCACTTTTAAAGAGCTCCTGATCAGAATGGAAGAGACCTTTTTTCTGCAGCAAAGACTTGAAGTACACGGTATCAAACTGCGTTGTGGTTGAGTCTATTGGCGTCGTGTTGTCGTCTCCACCATTTACAGGACAACCCTCTTTCAAGGAGGCTGCAAACTCAGGGTCTATATTGGTGTCATTGTAAATCCTGTCCCTGAAGGTGGTGCATCTAGCTAGTCCAATGGTGTGGCCTCCTGAGAGGAGGATCAGATCTTGCAGGCCTAGACCATGAGATTGAAAGATGGAGAGAAGCTGAGAGAAGTCGAAAGTTGGAGCAGGAAGATTTCTGTTTGCATCATCCAAGACTGCAGTTGTTGCATCTCTTCTACCCAATTGTACTTCATAGGAATAGGAAGGGCCTCCCAGCTAAACACAAGCAGCACAAGAGTTGGACCAATATATCCATTTTTAATTAGGCTAATTTGTTAGAGTGCTGTTAAACGAACCCTAAAATTAACTTAGTACACCATATACTCTAAGTACACCATAATATTTAAATCAAAATGTAAAATTAACTAAGTACACCCTAAGAGCATGTCCATCTCAAAAGGCTAAGGCTAAGGCAAGGGCTGCTACTATTTACGTGAATAGTGGCAGCCTAGCCTTTTTTGGTTCCACCCCAAAAGGCTAGGGCAAGGGCAAGGAAAAAAAAGATTTTATGCAACAAAATATGAACAATTTAGAAATGCAAGAAATAAAATGATTATGCAAGAAAAAAATAAATATGAAAGAAAATACAAACAATTTACAAATGCAAGAAAAAATAATTACAATTAACAAATATTGGAAGGAGAAGAGTTTGTCTGAGGATTTGGTGTGGAAAGTGAATAAAATTGTTATGTATTTATAGGGAAAACATTCATAATTTTTTGGTTTTTTTTTTTTTAATTTTTTAAAATTGAATTTTTTTCAAATTTTTTGATTTTTTTTTTGCTCGCTAACGTCAGCGCCTTTGGGCTTGAGCCCAGGCAGATCTTGCCCAGGCTGCTTGGCGCGCGCTGGAGGTCCAAACCCCTGCAAAGGGGCCTCTTGCCTTGGCAAAAGGGCCTGCATTGGAGGTGGCCTAATTAACTACCAAAATACGCCGGCTATACCCTAATACTTTTTGGTCATTTTATATTAGGGTAAATTAGTATCACTGAAATAATAGTGTCACTCTCTCTGCCTTTGACAATCTGCAACGGCCAACGGTAAGTACCAGAACCCAAATTTTTTCTTTTGATAGTTCTCCTTTGAAATTTAAAGAAACAAATTCAAATCGGCCAATATTTTGTGCGAAAAATCTCAAATTCTTTTAGCTAAGGCAATAACAATGTAAAATATTGGGTTGTTTTTCGTCCAAGATGGAAATTTGTACTCCAAAACCCATTTTGTATTCGGTTGTTGACAGTAGGGCCTCACCATTGATGGACTCACGTAGCGAATTGATGTATGAATTTATGGTACTACGTAGATCAAGCAGAGGAGACAATAAATACTATATGTAGATCAAGCAGAGGAGACAATAAAAAAATCTACTTTTGACGTGTCAAAAACCAACCATTTTAAAATTTCCACAATTAATTATTTGAGGTTTGGTTGAGGATGGATATAATCCTATTAATTTTGAACAACAATCATCTTTTCTTTCTAATTATATCTTGAATTTGCAAGAAATCATTAGGCAGAGGACATCAAGGAAAAAAAAAGCTAAACGAATCTTAAAATTAACTGAGTACACATTAATTTTGTTTTTGTTTTTTTATCATTTTATATTAGGATAAATTAGTAATTCAATAAATAGTTTGGTAATATGGTATACTCAATTAATTTTAAAATTTGTTTAGCAACACTCATTTGTTATTAGTTAACAACATAACATGCAAAATATAAAATGGCTAGAAAAATCCTTTTTAGACAATTTAAACATCGAAGGCTTTTTTTAACACTTACAATCTCAACCGAGTCACGAGCTGCAACTGCTAAGATATCAGCACATGAGACCACATTGCCATTGCAATATGTATTGAGGGTTGCTTTAATTTCATCAATTACATCAAAACCTCTAACAGAGTTCAGATTTGCACCCGCCGTCTTCTCACCAGTGAAGTTCACTGTGTCGTCCAGCAAAATCGATCCATCACACCCCTGCCACCAAGATGGAAAAATTGAAACTATAGTCAATGTTTTCAGTATTAAAATCTTCATTAAAGTTTTTTGAACGTATGTAATAATTCAAAAAACGCTCTATGTTAAACAACTATCTCCTTTCTTGTTAGGTAAAAAACTGTACAGTTTCTAAAGTGAGATTTATTCCTCAACCTTTCACGCTCTAAAGTTACTCAACCTTTGGTTTGGTTTTGTAACACTCGTGCAAATAAGTATTCATATGATTAACGGTTCATATTCACAGTCTGTCAACATAATCAACAACAATATTGTGCTACCTCACGGAAAAGTATGATTTTGTTTGTACACAAGAAATAACAAAAAACTAAAATAATATAAAATGTTGAACAAAGCCAAAAAATGAAACCTACATTGACAAAGCAGTCATGAAAGTGCAAGCGTAGGAGCGACGCTCCCATGCGCCTCTCCCGATTAATAGCTTCGTTGACAACTGATCTGATGATTTGCAATGCCTGAGGGCAGGACTGCTGATAGAAATCGCAAGTGAGTTGAGCAGTGCATGTAGTTGGGGCCAACACAATAGCAGCTGCAACAACAAAAGTAGTGAACAAAACCAAGACAGGTTGATGAGAATTAGCTGCTGCCATGGATATGTACTAGTTGAGATAGCTGCTTCTGATTAATTTGCACGCAACAAGTTGAAGAGGTTAAATGTTCATATATAGAGGGGATAAAACACTGTTATTAGCTTCCTATGCTTCCATCATTTTAACTAACTCCTATATTAAATTAGTGTAGTCTCCATTCAATAAGATGATCTCATAGAAGATTAATTCAAAACAAATTCAATAATCATCTTATGCATAGACTAATTACGAGATTAATAAGTCCATTAATTCAATAATATATGATTTCATACACTCTCCATTGGTAGTGGACTCGTTCCAGCCTCCATTGATTTTGTATAAAATGTTTGGGGCTGTGACTATACTATTTCTGAACGGGTAAGTTATTAGATGTGAACTAACAATTATCCTAATATTCTATTTACTTCTTCATGCATTTGTTTTATGTCCATTTTAATATTTCTTATTTCCTACAAAGACCTAGCCTTATCTTTTTTTTTCCTAAAAAAGTATTATTCTATAAGCACACCTTTTCTACCACTCTATTGAAAATATAAAAGAAATTCTTGGCTGCAAACAAGAAAAAAATAATTATAATTATAATTATTACACACACATGCATGCACTTTGTTTCAATTTTTGATTCAATGTGTTGTAGTTAGAGCTTTTGAGTTTGTGAATTTTGTTTTTTGTTTTTTTGTTTTTTTTTGTTTTGCCAGAAGTTTATTCGTTTTAATATCGTCCCTAACATTTGAATCTATTTTCATACTTAATCTAATCTTAATTTTCTTTTTCTTATTACATAGAACAACTACTCAATTAGAGCATCTCCGAAGGAATAGTTAAAAGGAGCTGATTAGCTAAAATATAGAGAAATATGTCAACAATGTGCTTCAACCATACTATTACTTAAAGGAAAATGTTAGGCTTATCGCATTTTTATACCACATTGTGTATCACTTCTCTAATAGAGATGGGCCCCATTGTATCGATGGGCTCCACCTCTATTAGAGAGGTGGTAAGCCTAACATTACCCTTACTTAAAATAAGGAGCGTCATGGGAGTAACATGTATAAAATGTTTTTGTGCAATTTTAGCAAAATGAAGGGGGCCTTGGAAATCCTGTTAGCATGTGAAAGTTTGATTCTTAAGGAGTAGGAGGCCTAATAACTTTAGCTCAAGTGTCATTAGAAGAAATGATAGACCTTAATTAAATGCTTTAATATGCAAAAATAATGAAATTAAAAGAACTCTAGTCTTATAAGAAATATTATTAGATTGAAATTTCATGAAATTTAAGGTTGAACAGCTAATTTTGTTTTCGGAGAGCTATATCCCGAGTTATATGCAAAGGTTTGACATTTGTGAAAAAACAAGAAATATATACGACTTTCGGTGGTCAAACATATCCTCAACATCCCTTATTATTATTATTAACTGACCAACTCTTTTTTTAAAATCAATATTAAATGACCAACATGAGTTGGCAAGCCTTTATCATATACATTAAGCCACACGTCTTTGTATCATTTCGCGAATGACATGCGTTCGAGGTTTTTTTTAGACAAGCGATACTGGGGAAGGGGAATTCAAACATAAGACTTGGGAAATTCAAACATAAATCTCGGATATAGGAGACTACTCTTAAATACTTAAGTTACAAGCCCCTTACTAGAGTAATGCAAGGTTAAAACCCATTATAGGTGTTAATGGTTTGAAATAGCTATAGGCACGTATAATATTGTGTGGGAAATTTTAGCCATCTTTGCATGGGGATATGTTGTATGAAACAAATTAAAAACCCTTTGGGTCAAAGGATTTTAGGCACCCCACCAGAAATTACTCATATTGCGGAATTGGTCCATACATTAAAATAAGTAAAAATTAAACAAAAGCTTCATTAGTCCATGAGGTCACATTAGCCGTATGTATTATTAATTTACATGGCAATTATTGGTTGATGAAAATAACCAGTGGGGAAATTCAAATTTCCTCTATATAAGCCCTCAAGCTCCTTGATCGTCATCACCCCTACTCAGCAATTTGAGAAGAAAAAGAAACTAACCTTTGTCATGGCTGGTCTTCGATCTTTGCTAGTGTGTATTGTAGTGGTAGCTGCCACTATTGTAATTCCAACCTCTGCACAACTAAGTGCTAGTTTCTACAACAGAGTGTGCCCTCAGGCTCTACCAGCCATCAGAAGAGTCGTCAAGCAGGCCATCTTTCGTGAGCCGAGAATCGGAGCCTCTCTGCTGCGCTTGCACTTCCATGACTGCTTTGTTAATGTAATAAAGCTATTAGTTGATTGTGTGCATGCATTGCACTTGCAATACATGTACATTAAAATGCAGATGATTTATTTGGCTGATTTGAATACAGGGCTGTGATGGATCGATTTTGCTTGATGACACTTCTAGCTTCACCGGTGAGAAGACTGCCTTCCCAAATGCGAATTCAGTCAGGGGATTCGATGTGATCGATGACATCAAAAATGCCGTCGACAAAGCTTGCAAAGGCAGCGTGGTCTCATGTGCGGACATATTGGCAGTTGCAGCTCGTGATTCTGTATTTCTTGTAAGTACAATGTTCACCAAATAATGTGTCAGTATGCGCATTTTTGTATCTTACTTAAAACTAAAGTACCCTACGATCACTTTTATCGTTGAACACATATATCCAGATCAAAACGTAATGAAATTCTTGTTTTTGCTTATTTGTGTTTTAGCTGGAAGGGCCTCTTTACCAAGTACAGTTAGGTAGAAGGGATGCAAGAACTGCAAGCTTGAATGATGCAAACAGAAACCTTCCACCTCCAGTTTTCAGCTTCTCACAGCTACTCTCTAACTTCCAAGCTCATGGACTGGACCTAACAGACCTAGTTGTGCTCTCAGCTGCCCACACCATTGGACTTGCTCGATGCGGCACCTTCCGACCCAGGATCTACAATGACACCAATATAGACCCCAACTTTGCAGCCTCTGCCCGACAAAACTGCCCATCAAGTGGAGGCGATGACAACACAGAGCCACTGGATGCAACTACGAGGAGATTCGATACCATCTACTTTAAGTCCTTGCTGCAACAAAAGGGTCTCCTCCATTCCGATCAAGAGCTCTATAAAAATAATGGCACTGATAGTGATAAGCTGGTGCTGAAATACAGCAGGAACCCATTTGCTTTTGCAAGAGACTTTTCGGCATCCATGATCAAGATGGGTAGCATCAAGCCTCTTACTGGGAATGATGGAGAAGTGAGATTGAACTGCAGGAAAATCAATTAGTGTGTGGTCTCATGATCATTTAATGTTCATTATCTCGTTATGTACCCAAAAAAAAGGGACTATTTTAAAAGAATAAATACAGATTCTCTTTGTCCAAGTTCTTTTCCACAATTGATACAGAACATGCAGGTGCATGGGAATTTAAAGTTTCAGATTCAACTGTTGATTATAAATATGCTTCGTGGTTACAGTGCTTCCGCATTTATATTAACCCTAAATGGGTATTTGTATTTTTTCTTGTACTAATCTTTATGGCTAATAGCCTTTGTACTTGATTTATAAATGTAATATATCGTTTCCTCTCAAAAAATTCCAAGAACAAGCTGATTAACATAAATGGAAAAGTTCATTAAGTAATTATTAATTAGTAGCCGTTTGATACTTTTCCGTCAAAAGTTCTTTTCCACATGAAATGCGTCCTTAATTCAAATTATTAGAGCCCTTAGCTAGTTATCTCAGAAAGGATCAGCAAACTCTTTGTCAATTCATTTCTACAACACTAGCTACTGATTTAAGTATCGGAGGGCAGTTTGCCAATCTCAAAACAGAAATGTAGAATTACAACTACTATTTAATAAGATAGCTGATCTGAACTACAAATTCATATCTGTAAGTCAGAAGACAGCATAAAATATTGACCTCTGCTATTCATACAAGTATTTTGCACAAAGACATTGCTACCTTGTTCAGAATTATGTGGCCTTGTGCACAAATAAATTTTTTGTTTAAAATCAGAGAACAACTGAATTGCAAAAAAGGTTGAAACAAAATCATACGACAGCCTTTTTTTTTATGCTCACCAAACACAGCCTTACTATCCTGCAATTGAGTCTTGTATCCCCAAAATCTCGATCAGAAAAGGGCCAAAATCTGATTAAAGTGTATTATGTTAGCTTAAATCTATACCAAAATGGCAGATGTTCACTGTCACTTTTGAAAAATCTTTGCTTGGATAAGTGCCTAAGATTGCGAAAAATGGATACAAACCACATTTCATTTGTTGCTTTCTTTGATGTTTTTTGCTTCCACCAATAATTTGATTATTGTGCCTGCACAATACATCTCTGCAGTTTTATTTATTATTTATGCAGAAAACAATTCAAGGAAAAAAAAACCTAAATAATATAGTAGACTGACTTTATGAGAATTTAAGAGTAGAGAATTCTGTGTTTAGAATGACAAATAACTGGATCTATAATCTTTATGCCCATAAGTTGGTGTTGGATCCATATTACATATGTCACAAGAAAAAACACTTACCAAGTAATGATTTATTTTTTATTTTTTTATTTTATGTAGGTCAAAGCCTCTGTTCTAATTGTTCTAATAACCAAATGACAAATAATAATAATAAAAAAAAATAATAAAAAGGGCCGAAAAAGATTTTTTTTTAAAGTAAAGATTTAAATTAAAAAGTCAAACTCAAATCCTTGTTATGTAATGTAACAGTTGAATATTTTCCAAAAAGCATTTAGAAATATCCAATTCTGATATGTAATTAATGGATTTGAAAATAATCTATAATATGTAATTAATGGTTGAACATCTATAATATGGAATTAATTGTTGAATCAGATTGATTGGTATGGCTAGAACAGTTCATTTGAAAATTTCGAAGGCTGTCTAGCCTTCAAGTTTATCATCCTTTCTTTTCTGGGTTCTGTTATCAGCCTTCAAGACCAAAACTAGAACTGCATAGCTTGTTCAGATTTTGAGCAACTATTTTGGCCAGTCTTTGTTT